ACCATACTGGCTAATATTTGTCGGTCAAAACACAAGATACTGTGAAGCCATACCATTATGGTCCAAAAATATTTTAGATGTGAAAACTGCTTTGACAATATTCGTTGACAAATACCATCCAACAAAACTGACATCTGACTGTGAAAGTTCTTTCAAATCAGATGATGTAAAAAACTATCTGCGTTCAAAAAATGTAAACCAATATTTCATTGTCGACCAAAACCATTCTGCTCTTGGTGTCATTGACGGTTGTATAAAAATGTTAAGAGACTTAAACCAACCACAAGGTGGTGAAGCAAATGAAATGTCATATGACGACAAATATAGACACTTCTCCATGGCAAAGATGAGACAAGTTTTAAATATTTACAATAGCCGTAAACAAAAAGGTTTGGGAAACCACTCCCCCGAAGAAATGAAAAACAACCCTGACTTAGAGAAAGACTATATATTTAATAATTTAGTCAAAAGAGACAAACAAGAAAGAATGCCGGGCTTCAAACTTCAGAAAGGTGACAAAGTAAAAATAGAAATACCTAAACGCGACCCATATGAAAATACTATTGACTATGACAACAATGGGAACCCGACAGGTACTCACATTCGTGTTCGTAAAAATAGAAGAAAGTATACAAGAGAATATTATGAAGTTTTAGGCAAACATGGCAAAATGTACACACTGCAAGCAGAAGATAAAACTACTATTGTCAGACCTCGTTTCAAACTTGTCAAAGTTCAAGGTGGTATACTTTCAAAGACAGTTCCTAACAAATATAAGACAACTCCTGACGAATATGCTAAAGAAGTTGAAAATGACGACTAAGCATTTCTATACCATGCGTAAACTGTCATGTAAGGTGGCATGTATTCTTTACTTTGTCCCGTTGTTTGCGTATATCCTGAAACGCGATGTGTATGGTCTCCTTCTCCCCAAGTGTCATCCCAGTAACCATTTATAGCAAACTTAACGTCGTCTTTAACATCATATCCTTTACCTTTTGTCATTTCTGACCAACCCCAATATCTATGCTTATGCCAACCTGCTTGAGATGTACTTAAATTTATGTAGTGACTGTGTGCAGGTAAATTTGCACCTGAAATCGTTTTACTTCCACCTGTTTCCTTTGAAGAGTTTGCACAATACAAAAACCTGTCGACTATTTGAGTCCAAGTTCCAAAACCCAGAACTGTTTCTGGATTTGTTGAGTTCATTGACGTATAAATAGAGCCTATAGGATATAATGTTTGAAGTATTTCTGTCTTTAATGTTTGAAGCTCTGTTTTGTCTGCTTTCTTGTCTAACATTGCGGGTAGTTCATATGCTTCAAAGTTTCTGGCATGATCTTCGATATTCCTGCAACTCTTATCTAAATTGTTAAGAGTATCTTTTACGCTTGTACTCGGATTCTCTAAAGGTGCACTTGAACCAAGGTCAAAGTTCAGTATTATGTCGTCTGCTCTAACAGTTGTAAAACTTGTATGTGTATGAGTCTTATTTGCTTTCTTCTCTAACTCATCGTTAACATAAGTTTTATCTGCTTTAAGGTCTAAACATCCTGAAACCCATCCTGTATCAGCTTTAGTTTTTAAAATCTTCGATGTCCATTCATGATACCATTCAGCCCTTTCTATAATTTCATTATCTTTTTCATCCACATATTCCTTATCTGCTTTCTTCTCTAACTTACTAGCCACACATTCCTCATCCGCTTTCTTTTCAAGGCTAACGTTTAAGTCTGTTATTTCAGATATAGAATGTGTATGTCCAACGGCACTTTTCCTGTTTAAGGTTTCTTGTAAGTTTGTAATATTTGCAATGGTATGTGTATGTCCAACGTCACTTTTCCTGTTTAAGGTTTCTTGTAAGTCTGTTATTTCAGATATAGAATGTATATGAGTCTTTTTAGAATATTCGTTTTCAGCTCTTGTCACTTCACTTGACATTTTATTGTCAACATATGTTTTGTCTGCTAGTTCAGGATGAGTATGTTCTTTTGTTGCATAAGCATTGTTAGCTCTTTCTTCTTCTTTTGCTATTGCATCGTCTACATATTCTTTGTCAGCTTTGTTGTCAACATCTGCTTTCAAAAGAAGTTCATTTATAGGTTTCTCGTTTAAAGTTCCTTTTGTTGGATTTATACAGACAGTATTGTTCTTCTTGTCTTGAAATAGAAACTCATCTGTCATTGGGTTTAATGTCAGTTTTAAGTTTCCTTCTTTCAATGACTCAGATATCTTAGAATAGTTTGAAAAGTTTGTTGTGTTCTTATTTAGAGCTTGCATAATGAGTTGTCGGTTGTGTTGTATTTCTCTCATAGACGCTGTTTCATTTGACATTTTTATTCTAGATAAAATATGCTTCCAATAGAAAAAGAAAATTCAAGAGTTGCTACAACTAAACCATTAGATGAACTTTTTACTAATGTCGGTCAAAAGTTTGAGACAGAGACCGTAAAGCATGAAGGCTATCGTTTTGACTACCCATTAAGATGGCTAAGAGACCCATCTGTCACAAAAGCTATTGGCTTTCGTAGAATGAAGTTCATTTCAGAAGCCATACATGGTTTCCCATTTACGGTCGGTTTTGAAGTTCGATACTATAACAAAGAAAAAACGTATGTATGAGAAATTTGAACAGGGAAAACTTTTACAAGTTAGTTTGCTTGTAAACTTAGAAACAACTCTTCAAGCTTTTCAAGAAAAAATAAACGATATCTATATCGAATATGCAAAACAGTATAACATTGACGAAGGAGAATACCATCTCGATATTATTTATGACAGGAAAAATGCAACTGTTAAAATCAATAGAATAGAAGACCTTGGAGAAAACGTTTATATTTCTACAAAATATAACAACTTGGCATGGTATAGATTTATGAGGATGTTAAATCAGCCTGCAGCATATCCAGTACACCCAGACTTTTATGAAGTCGAAAACCCTAATGGAACATATGAAAATGTTTTCGACCAAGATGCTATTATTGTTCATGCTTCATTTTCTGGCGCCCAAAACTCTTTCTTATGCTTGGCAAATGACTTTTACGAAAAACCTACAAAGTTATACGAACCACCAAGTGGAAGTATTTCAGACTTTCAAGTATGGTTTACTACAGATGGAAGAAAAAGAATAATTCCATTATACCATGCGTTTTACTTAGAACTTAGTTTCATATACAACTACTATCGAACGGTAAAAATATAATTTTTTAATACGGTTGAGGTGTTGGATTTGGTTGCCAACTAGACTGTGGTGCAGGTTCAGGCTGTTGTATAACAGGAGCTTGTTCTTCTGGTTCAGGGTCTTTAGGTATAATACCAACGAACTGACCTACCCTTTTACCAATATTTTTGACACCGTTCCAAATTCCTCTTCCGACAGATTTTATTCCATTCCATATACCTCTTCCAACATTTCGAAAGAAGTTTCCTATCTTACTGAAGAAACCCATTTTACTATATGTAAAAATCTAATGTCCGCCTAGTCTCTTACGTTTCCTGTTGAGTTCCATAGCATTCTTTAACTGGAGCTCATACATTCTGTTTCTCCTCTGGTAGAAAACATATTCTGGGTCAACTCCTGTGTTCGCGTCATCTGCATAAAGTTGTTTATATCCCACTTCAGGGTTTGTATAAAACTCTTTCCATCTCATATTTGCATACCATGGTGGCAAACCTAACGCAGCGTCATTTGACATGGCAGTTTGCATTTGTACATCTGTTGGCACTTGACCATAGTTTGCCATTGCAGTTTGTATTCTAACTTCATTTGGAATATTCTCTGGGTTTGGTTGTCCAGGTTGCTGTGCATTCGCTAAGTTCTGTGCGTCCATTTAATATTAGATAAAAATATCTCTTACGAGTACATATACTGAACATTTGCAGGCATTGGTTCATCTTCATATTCTCTGTACTTTTCTGCCACGTCAAATAAATAAATGACACAATGGAAAAAACCTAAAACAAGTAGTCCTATTTCAAACCACATTTACTTACTAATAAAATTTCTTTGTTATGACACTTTCTCTGGTTTATAGGACCTCTCTCATATTCTATCTTGTCATATCTAAACTCATAGTCATGTATGTCCTCTAACCATCTCATAACGGTTTCCAAACCACTTTTATCGGATGTAAAGTAAAAGCATGGATGGTTATGTATAACGTCTAAAGTTTCTAAAGAGTCTCTCAAAGTCCAGTCTACTTGGTATTGAAAATCCCATGTGTTATAGAACGGTGGGTCCACTATAAAGAAAACATTTTCCTTGTCTTTATATTTTTCATACAACTCTGTCCAATGACATCTCACAAACTCTATACCCTCAATATATTTTTCTATGTCCTCTTTGAAAACATTTGTATAGTTAAGATATAAAACTTTTGACATAAGTGTTTCAATGTCATGAACTCTTATAGAACCACTATATAATAGTCTAGCAGATATACTATCCCAGTCTATATATTCTGCTTTTTTCAAAACCTCTCTCACAATATTTTTGTTATCTAATGGTATACGTTCCATCTTACCTATAGGTATCTTTTCTTTTAACTCTTTCAATATATTGTTTGTGTCTGGAATATGTTTGAGACGGTCCATATAGTTGTCGAAGTCATTGCATATAATCTTTGAGTCTGGGAATATTGTATGGCACAAATGGGATATATAGAAACTTCCACCGAACAAATCTACAAATGTTAGACCATTCGGTAGTTTCTTAAGTTCTCTCAATATAATATCTTTACATTTACTCTTATTTCCAAAGAACGGTAACGGAGGTTTTGTAAAATTCATTTATATATAATAATAAAAATGTTTTTTCCTGAAAAGTGACAGAAAAGTGACAAAGCATGAAAACATATATAATTTGTGAAAAGCGACACATTATATAATGTTTTCGACCCAGAAGAAGGCTTCTTCCCAGAAGCAATGGAGGAAGAAGAAGAGTCCTCCGAATTCACACCAGAAGACTAACAATTTTCCGAATAAAAACTTCATTTATACTAAACATCTTCGGGGCTAGAGGGCACGAAGTGCCTGGAAGCCCCACTACTTTTTTTTAATAACAAATCAAAAACAGATTTTGCTTCATTCCTATTTTGATTACATGATTGATTGATCGCCTTGCTTTCCTCATCATTATTTACGGATTTCTTTGATTTACCGCGAATTGAGTAACTTGTTGTTGATATTAAGTGAACATTTTGAAGATTTGCACTTCTTCTCATCAGTTTTCTATATTGAGCTTTAACAGAAACATCAGTCCTATTTTTGAGCTTTTTGGCAATGAATTTCCATTTGCGACCATATTCTTCGACAAGCTTTAAAAGATAATAATTTTCTTCCATTCTGAATGGCTCTCTATTGATTTTTGAATCCAGGTAATTTATCCATCTGTCTTTGCATTGCCTTGAATTACGAGTTTCCATTTGTTGTGCTACAAATTGCCAATTAATTTCGTTAATTCGCTCATATGATTTGACAATCTTCCTTAGCTTCTCGTCCTCTTTAGCAGTGAAGGGACTTTTAGTAAATATTTTATCCTTAATAGTCTTTTTAGAATCCATTTGGTGCAAATTAATGAAATTGAAATCAATTCAAAATTGAATGCAAAAATATCGGCATAATTGAAATGGAATATAATAAAATAGTTTATTTATTAATTATATTCAATGTTATTACATGAATTCAATAATATTCCATACGATTTTTTGCCAAATCTGAATTGAAAAGAATTTTTATCGATTGAAACTCAAAAATTTGTTTGAATGTCATCTTTCAAAATTTCATCCATAACTAATTGTTGATGAATCATTAAGCCACATCAATTACCATTTGATATCCCAATATTGCTTTTCAAAGATAGAAAAACCGTGTCAAGGCATTTTCAAGAATTCTGAATTTTTTCATTGTTGATATCTAGTAATTAATCTAATTAACTGGATATTAACACATTCTGCTTTCAGAATTTCAATTTCATCAAAATTAAATGGGTCATTATTGATTTTGTAATTTAATCGTTATCGTCTTTTTCTAAACGTGCATTTTTTGCTTTCGGAGCTATTGAACATACATTGGCCCTTACCAGCAATTGAAAACTATTTTTCATTATCAACAATTACATTACTCCGAGTTATTCATCAATCAATGAAAATCGATATATAGTCCATACTTCAATTTACAATATTGGCAAGTCCAATTTCACTTGGCATATTTAACTCATATAGAAAAACCAGTTGGAATCGGCAAAATTATCTTTAATTCCATACATAAGAAAAAAAAATTATAAAGTTCTTCAATAATAGCAAACTAATAGTTTAAATAGATTTACAAGTATCGCCCATCTACTTTTGATATAATTCACATATTAAATGTAGAAAACTGGTTTAAAATAAATATTTCAAAAGTTCGAAAACGATTTATGAAAAAATAACGTGATGACATTTACTAAATTTGCTCTGTATTAAAGTATCGATGATAGAAAGAGCATATTTTGTAAATATTTCAAAAATATTTAAAAGTCGGAGAAATTGTATTGTAATGTACTATAATTATGTTACAAATCCGATTCAATACTAATCCTTCGCTATTGAAGTTGTTTGAGAAGGATATTCTCTAAATTCTTGATAAATCTTTAAAATCTAGAGTAATCGTTTTGTAAACTTAACAAAACTAAAATGTATACCAATAGATTGGCATTTTCTACGTTTTCAAAGTGAGAGAGTGTAAATTTTTTTTTTTATCCTATTAAGGTTTTTAAAAATTTAATTAACTTAATTTATATGATCTGAAATATATGACAAGTTAATATGGAGAATTCTTTCAACCCAATTTCAATTTATTGAATTTTCTATTCGAATTCAAAAATTTTCCCAAGAAGAAAAAATAATTAGGAAATTTAATATGTTATTACATAAAATATTTTATTTATTCAAAGAATTCAATTTTTCTATTGGATCAAAAAACTTGTGTTAAAGTTCGTATTTTTAAGATAACTATACTTTTAGAAGCTGTTTTTATTTTTTTCACCGGGATTTTATTAATTTAATTCTTTCAAAATTTGAATCTTATTGTATATCACCGGACTATGATCATAATAGAGTTGCAATCTCTAATTATAGCCACATTAGTACTCGTGGGTCGATATATCATGGGAGATACAAAATTATTTGAATTTTCTTTTATTTTTTTAAAAAATATTAAAAAAAGTAAATAAATAACTAACAACACAGCATCACTTTTCGTAAAATGCTTTAATCCTAGTCCTTTTCCCCTTAATTTTTCAATCTCTCCCAGGTTGAAATTTATTCGGGAATTTTTAAAGATGCTTGGTCAACATAAAATTTCATTAAATCTTCCACAGGAGTCATAAACTCTGAACATTTGAAGCGAGCATGAACTGCATCATTCAAATTTTTAAGAAGATTTTTGTTCGAAAAGTGATTCAATACGGCGATTACATGAATACAAGGTAATCCGTATAATTCGATGTGCTTACATGTGCATGAATATTGTGAATCTGACATAATTTTTACGCAATATGTATAGCGACCAAAAGTTGCATAATATAATTCTTGAATTGGATCATATAATACCGAGCTAAACATATCTGAATGTTTCAAAGTTTCATTTAGATTTTTGATAATATTATCTGATTTAAAATCACCTGTTAAAACATTTTTAACAAGATTGAATTCATGTTCAATGAGACGGATAATTAGTTCGGCGGGTTCATATGTATCCCATTTATCTTTAATTTCGGCATTAAGGGATTCAATAAGAGATGTTGTGAGTATGCCAGCGGTGTAGTCAGCGAATCCTTCAAATGGGTTAATACTATCTAAGTACTTAAAGAGATCCTGATTATTTTCGCGGTTTGGATATTCTCTTGTAAACGAGTTTCTAACTTTTTAATCAAGTCAATTCGTTTTTGAGGATGGTCTGCGTAAGCGACTTCAACAATTTCGGAATAGACATTGATGTATTCCCTTTTTGTTGCAAAATGACGTAAGCAAAATTTATGATCGCAAGAAAAGCCTGATTCTCTAACAGCAGCTATAATTGCCGGACCTTGATCGGAATAAATATTCTTGAATCTGCTTGGTGGAATAAAAGATTTCAATTTAGTGAGCATATCCTTAATTGTTATCGTATTTTCACTAACAGACCATGCAAATGCAATAGGGATAAGTCTATTATTTGGTGCAGGTGTACCAATAATGAGTAAGTTTCCTTTTTTAATACAAAATAAAAACGTTCCATCAATTTGAATTATTCCGCAAAAAGCTTGTGTTTGCATGTAAAAATGAGTTATTGGAGGAATTACAATAAATGAATAAATTTGAAAGTCTTTTGAATTTTCAGGTAATTCATCACCTTTCTTAAATGTATGCAATTCAATTTCATTGTTAACTTCTTTAACTAAAATCATTTCGCAGAATCCTTGTTCGATTTTGTTTATGATTGAAAAAATTGTTGAGAAATAATTGTAAGATTGAATTCTATCCCCTTTTGTGGTTCCTTTAAGTTTATTTACTATATTATGGAACATCGTATAAGTTGCATTGGGAATATTCAATTCTTTTGCAAAAATTTCTTTGCATTGAGGAACATTATCAGAATTTGCTAATTCATAGACTTTTTTTCCTGCTTGCAACTTAAGAATTTTTGGTATATTGTTACTCGGCTTGCATTGCTTTGCTCTATGCTCGTGTTTAATTACTGGAATGAAGAAAAGTTGACCATTTTCATGAGTCTTTACAAGCTCCATGCAAAATTGGCAGTTAGGACAACGAAACTTTTTTCCTTGCTCAAAATTTAATGGATAAAAAGAATTATATGAATCTTTTGCAATAAATATAGCAGCTTCTGTAGGATCTGTAAATTTTAATTTGCTATATCTTTCCTTGAGAATTGGAATTGGGGATTTTCAGGTATTTCCATTCTATATTTCAATTTTTTACGGGAATTCAATTCATTTTGAATTAAATCCAGCATATCAGCTCCATCTCCTTTTTCTTCATCAACAATAGCTTGGATGGATACTGATATAGTTTGATTCTCTTCCACTATTGTCGGTTCGCTTTCCGACATGAGATAAAATTGAAGGTTTAACGTACTTTTGATACTCTGAGTTAAAAAAAGATTTTCTTAACATAATTTGATTTATTGGTCCTTAAAAAATTCTGATTCAAAATTGAATTGAATCGAACGAGTTTTCCTTTTGAGTCATTTCAAATATTCATGAGAAAGAAAAAAATTCTAGCAATTTCAAATATTTTTGATTTGATTGAATTCAAAAGTGTCACAAATATTCAATGAGAAAGAGAAAAGAGATCGAATATGTTGTTTCTGAGCGAATAGTCAAGCAATATTTCGTTAAGTACAAAGATCAGCATCCGGAAAAAAATAAATGGGTATATCAAAATGAGATTCCGCAAGAAATATTTGAAAAATATCTAGAAACGAAGAAAACAGAAAATATTGATGAAATGTTACGCTGTACTCGAATTGTTCATGTTGTTGATCAAGATAAAAAAGAATTTTATCTTGAATTTTCAAAAAAAAATCAAATTCATCACATATTAAACAAGAATCTAGATGAAGAACATCAAAAGGCTTATATAGATTATCTTGAAAGTTTACTCAAACTTGAAATAAAAAATAAAAATTAAATTAACCCTCGTTAGGATATCGTTGCAAATAAAGATCTGTTTCTCAGAAAGATCCTGATTTTCTGATAAATATTCTGTTGTAACTTCTACAAGGTTTAAGATATGAAAAACATTTTTGACTATTTCATCGCTATCAAATCTGCGGAAACATAGTTAGTATACATATCAAGGGTACGGCGGCATTGCGCGCCTCCTTACCCATGATATGTGAATTTGACACTTTACGAAACCGTTAACGTATATTTTACAACACAAACGACAACACTAACTTAACCTTAAATATTTACAAAGCCGCCAATCACTTCACTTCACTAACGTTTTCACAAACGACTTCACTAATGTAAAAAATAAACGTTCTCACTTACAAAAGTATTGCAACTCCTCCCATTGCTGTGCTTCATATAACAGCTCATAATCTTCTGACTCACTTTCTTCTTCATATAGGTCAAAATCACTGTCATAGTTTATACCTGTAAGTTTTGACAAAGCTAATGAAACACGCTTACCGTTTGTATCATATGCTTGTATAAACTTTCCATTATGCTTGTAGTCATAAACGCTCAAACTAACTTTACCCTTTCTCCCTCGTATCTGATAGAATGTATTTTCACGAGGAACGAAGAACAAATTCTTGAACTCATGACCGTTGTAGTTTGTTATCTCAATAGTTTTCGTCATTTATATAAAAATAAAATAAAAAATAAACTTAAAATTAATGATATCACCACCCTCACACGTATGAAAACATAGCACAAAAATAAATTTAGGTGAAATCTCACCTCTTTTTTCACCCGGTTTTCCACCCTGTTGAATTCATTGCTTTATAACTCTCTTCCTTTCTCCAACTCTTCTAACTTCTTCTTAAGTTCAGCAATGTTGTCCTCATGAAGTTTAATCTTCCTTAATATACCTTCTCTATCTAATGGTTGCTTTATCTTTCTAAACTGAACTCTACCATCCTTCATAGTATGAATGTAAAAACCTTCTGGAATAGTTCCTGATTTAATGTATTCTACCAAAAACTTTTGTTTCATTGCTTCAGTGACTTTAGTCGTCATTTCAATCAAATAAAAATTTTAATATTAAATAAAAATAACGTTATTTTTTCAGTAAGGAAACGCAGGAGTTTTACGATTTATTTGAGGAGTAGGTTCTGGTTTAAATGTTGGAGTCGGTTTAGGAGTTGACTTTTGAACAGGAGTTTGTACTTCCATAGGTTCAGGAGTCATTGAAGGTTTTGCTTGTGAAGGTGTTGGAGTTTGTTTAACTTCAGCTACTTCAGTATTATTTACAACATTTGCTTTATTTCTTTTCAACATCATAACTGCTCCTGCTGTAGCTAGCAAACCTAGTGGGAGACCATATTTTATATAAGGACTTGACCAAATGCTATTTTTGACAGGAGCTGGTGGAACACCTAACCTTGGTGAGACTGCTCTTTGCCATTGTGCAGCTCGTAAGAAATATTCAATAGGTGCTCCATAATCGTTTGGTAAAGATTGTTTCACAGATGGTGAAGGTTCACGAGAGCTTGATGAAGAACTCATTTATAAGCTTTAAAAATAAACGTTCATCCTTTATTCCTCACTGTCGTCCGTAGCTAAGTTATAGTCATCTAATCTTATTATTGGGATGCCATTAGCACGCACCTGAATGGCAAAGCAACAATCCCTCATAAATCCAATAAGTGGCTTTGGTACATTTTCAGTTGCTAGTTCAATAGGTCCTTTAACAGACAATTTGTATGTTATTGGAGCAGTAGATGTTTGACCTTGCTGGAAGCAAAAGTCCACTTCTGTTGGAAAACCACATAAGAAATGTGTGTTGTCATAGCTATCCCATTTATGTTCCACACTACCATCATCCACCAATGACCTCATAACATCTTCATTAAATCCTATCATATCATTGTTTGTATTGCAGGCGTTCGCAACCATTTCATAAAATACAGGTCCATATGATTTTTCGGGTTCTGCAGGCATATTTCCATAAGCTCCCATGGAAAGCTGAAGATATTTAAACTTAGGGTTCTCAAAATTAACATAATAGTTGTCTTTCTTTCTAAATAGTGCCCAAATACTTTTAACATTAATAGGCGTATAAGCTGCTGTAAATGTTGCACTTGAACTATCTGTATTCTTTGAGAATGAACCGTCCATAGGAATCCAATCCATAACTTTAACAGGAAAACATAAAGCCTCGTTTGTATAATGTTCTACAAGTTCTGTATAAATGTTAGGGTCTAAAGAGAATGACTTTGGATGAATGAAACATTCATTAAAATCCATCTTTGTTCGAAACAGTTGCTGGGTTACAGTTGTAATAGTAACTGTTCCACTAGCTTCTACTGCCTTCGTTATCATAGTGAATGGTTCATTCCATGGAACAAATTTATTTGTCGGTGGATTTGAATCTGAAGCAAATGCAACTTTAAGAGTTGGATTGAAAGCAATGATATCATTTACAGATATAGATGTGCATTGTAAGGCGTCGCTACTGAACTTTACTTTAAGCTGAATGTTTCCTGCAAAAGCTGGAATAAATCGAATAGCTTCTAATGGAAGGAATCTTCTAACAGGAATTCTTAAACGAAGCTTAAAATCAAATGATTTTCCTGCTGTAATTGGACCACTAACAATTTGTCCTGTTCTGCATGTTCCCGAATGACTCCATACATCTTCATGTCGAGTCTTTGAGAAAACATCTACTTTCTTTATTTGTTCGGTAGTTTGTGAGTTTGAAGTTATATATGCTTCTTCTCTTGCGTTGTCTTGAGAATATACGATACGACCATTTGCAAGGATTTGATATCCAGCAACTGCATAGAAAGCGTCATCGAAACCAATCCAAAATCCTGGTGGGTTTGTTTTATTGGAACCTGAACCAATTTCTTTATCTACAATAAATTGACCTTCCATTTTATACGTAATGAATGTATTGTAAAGGTCCAACATATTTTCACCAGGAGGTGAGAGATTGAATGTTACCCATGTGTTATCTTTAGCAGTTCCAGGTTGTGATGGAATCTTTGCGTCAGAATATTTTCTATTAGTGTCACCAATTTGAACTGCATTGTCTATGATATCGAAATATGAGCGAATCTGATGAATATGCTCTGCTGGAGTAAATTCGTTTAACTGTTCGTTCTGCATGTATTTACTTCGGATAAAAATATCTATTTACTTCATTATTCTCACTCTTCTTCTTGGCATTCGTGGCGGAAGTTGTTTCTTGACATTTTCAATGAACTGTACATTCTCTTTTGTCTCAACTTCTTTCACTGGCGGGTCAGGATTCTTTGACTCGGTTTGTTTTTCAATGAAATTCACGAACTTTGCAATAAGCTCTTGGTTCGTTATTGAAAGTACATCTGGCTTCTTTTCTTCTTGTTCTATTGACTTTTCAGTTTGAATAGAAGGCTTAACATGGGCTTCGTGGACTTCACCCTTGCCATGCACCTTAATGCTGTCGCTCTCTGCATTTGCTAATGGTACCTTTCTTTTTCTTACGTATATTTTACCATCTTTACTCTGACTTACGTAATAGAAAGGATGTTGTATTCCTCTTGCGTCATTTAATATAATAGACTCTCGCTCTGATTTTGACAAGCTCATTTTACATCGGTTAAAGTTTTAAGTTAGATTTTTATCCGCAGTCAAATGACTCAGACAATAGATGTTGAAGCATTGAAGAAAGAAATTCGTGAGCAAATTTTATCCGAACTGAAGGAACAAAAACCAGAACAAAAGCCAGAGAGACCAAAGAGAAAACTTAGTGAAAAACAACTTGCTGCATTAGCTGCTGGAAGACAAAAGAACCCAAGACTACTGGCGAAAAAAGCTAGAGAAGAAGCTGAAGCAAAAGCTAAAGAAGCTGAAGCAAAGAAAGAGTAAATGGGTTATTTTTATCGAACTAAATGTATAGACAAATACCTTTATCTGTTGCGTTCAGTAGTGAAAACCCTGACGTCAAAAAAAGGGGAACAGAGTAACGTTTAAGTTTCCAACAGACTGGATTGTGAACATAAATGAAGAGAAGTACATTGGCATAACATCTATGTATATAACACGTGCTTTCAGAAAGGTTGACTTTATACTTCAAGTCGAGATAGAAAATGACGAACAGTCTTTAAGCGCCCAAAACATTCACATATACAAATACTTCAATGACGATACGACGTTAGAAGACTGTATAATTACATTTTACGAAAATTTTCAAAAGAAGTTTAACATTGAAGTACAAACTTTACAGCCTTTACGTGAGTTTCTTGCACAACTGAAAGAAGAAGGAATTGTAGAAAGATTAATAGCTTTTCATTACGAGTTTGTAGCAAATGCTGATGGAACTCATGACTGTCAATTCATTGTATTCTCACCATTCAATGAAGTAGCTAAAAAGAAAGAAAATCCATTACGTATAAGATTTCAAATCTCTGAACCAAGTGATGATTTCAAGAATGTTTTCAATTATGATGCAATGCTTCCGAGGAAAAATGAATTTTCCGAAATTAGATTTCCAGGTATTTGGGATAGAAAGCAAGCTATATTATATTCAAACTTAAGTAAGGGCGTTGAAAATGAGTTCATTGGTCATACAAGAACTTCACCACTTCCTAACCCTAAATACTATAAATTAACTGGATTCAATCGTGAGTTTTGGATAGACATGTTCTCCACTCATGACCATAAAGCACCTGTTTTGCTACCTCCAGACCATAAGGACTGTCTCTACATTGAAGCACAACTCTTAAACTCTACCATCGCAGTATTGTAAAATCTACGCTAGCTTTATTTTTATCACGAATGACCTCATTGCTGACCTCATTGCTGACAAAAATAAATGAACTCATTGCTGACAAAAATAAATGACCTTATTCATGACCTCATTCATGACCTCATTGCTGACAAAAATAAATGACCTCATTCATGACCTCATTCATGACCTCATTGCTGACAAAAATAAATGACCTCAGAACTTCAACTTACGAATAAAGCTTGTTTTAGTCGTTATTGAGAAGTTAAACTTTTCAGCAAAGCAAGGACTAGAAGACTTACATAAGTCGAATGCAATCTCTTGACCGTCATAAAGTGCTTTGTAAAGTTTCATTAAACTGAACTCAGAGTCTTTGTCATATGTTCCAACAGGTATGTGAATGTTCTTATCTTCATTGTAATAGCATTGTATAGCTTCAGGAAACATTTCATTAGCTGTTAAAGCAAGAACGTCTTGTTTTACACCTTTACAACGTGCATGAAATGCAACTTCATTTAAATCATTCGTGAGTAAGTCTATGTAAGTCTTCTTTCCACAAAATATTGACTTGTATGCTAAACTTTGTTTTCCAGGTGTTATTTCTGCGAAGTCAGAATGGAACTGACCTAATGTTTTACCAATAAGTTCTCTACCGTATCTCTTCTTAAACTCTGCTGCAAGCTTTGGTATGTCTTCATTGAAAATATGCATGCTATCGCAGTCCTGGTAAAATATTTGAAGACCCATATCTTCTGCAGTACAGAATACTTCACACATTATTCTCTTCGACATAGACAGAATGTTAACACCAAGTGGACAGAAGTTAAAGTGTCTGCAAATGCTTTTCGTTAGCTTGAAAATAGTTTTATCTGAACCATCCAAACCTTCGAACTTCACTATATGGTTGTAGTTTCTGATGGCATATCTTATAGCATCTTTGTCATTTACTATGGTTATTTTTGACTCAATAGGAGATAGAATAGTTTTGCCATAAATACTGTTCAGAATGAGCTTTATATTTTCTTGCAAAGGATTTCCTTCTTTCTTATACTTTAACCTTAACTCAAACAACTTCTTTACTTCATCTCTTATTCTAATATCTCTGTTTCCATCGTAATAGTATCCTTGCAACACTTCACATTTGACACCTTGATATTTTATGAGGTCTTGTAATGTTATATGGTCAACATACATTAAACAGCAAGTGTTTGAACTTCTGGGAACGTTAAGTTCTGGATTTAGTTCAGGGTCACAAACTATTAAAGGAAAGTGTCTATGTATTCCAATCTCTGTTATCTTAATGAGAACAAAGAAGCCGGACATAAACTTTTCACCAATGGGTTCCTTTTGGTCGTCATCGAATAAATGTCTCATGAGATCCTCTGTGCTTAACATCTCATCCTTCATAACCTTTGGAATACCTTCTAAAGTATAAAGTCTTGCTATAGCTGATGGATATAATGAAACAGCGTCGAAATCAGCAATGAGTTTCTTTTCACTCTTTTGTTTCATGTTATCTGACAGCATACATCTTCCACCTTGAATACAGCGTGAAATAAATTCTCTTGGTTTATTTGAGAGGTCATATAAATTTCCATTCGGGAAGTACACTCTGTTCTCAAACAATTTGTTAGCAATAGAACAAATACTAACGTAGTCATATACGTTTAAATCAAATTCTTTCAATATGTCATTGCGGAACTTAACAAAACCTTCTCTTAAAATTCTTACATCTTGTTTGCAATAGAATGTGCTATACTTTTCTAAGTCGAAGTGGTTCTCATCTATTCTGCAACCTTTGATGGAATCTATGTTTTTCATTTATTGGAATCCTTAGCGAATGAGGAATCTTTTCTTTCGTGGAAGCTTTGACCAAAAATAATGTTTAGGTGAAGAGGTGAGATCTCACCTTTTTTTCACCTAATTTTTCACCTCTTTTTTCACAAGCGTTTTACATGAATTGTACGATGTATATTTGAAATCCTAAACAATTTCGTAGCTTCTATTTCTTCGCTGAGGATATCAAAAGTTTTAACAATGCCGAAGGTTTCTTTATACTTCTTCTTGACATCAGATAGAAGGAAATCTTCTGCTGTTGGATAGTTTTTATTAAGAAATGTCAACATATCCATTTTATTTTCTGCTGGTTTTTCTGCTTCTTTCTTTAAGTCTGCATAGTCGTTTCGCATTCTTTCTATCTCTTTGACTGAGTAGTTATATTTTCTTATTGCTGCTTTACATTTTGAACATTGCGGCATCGTTTTTGCGTTATACATTGAAACATTACCAGCTAGAACAACTAAGGCGTCAATGGTTTTCTTTAACTCAAAAGCTGCTGGTTTTATCTGTTCATTCCATATTTTACCTCTTCTATCTTTATCTCTTATCTGCCATACACATTTTGCAACTAATGAAACAAAGTTATCGTATGTCTTAAATTCTTCGGATTTGTAAAGGTCAGAAATATTTTTATAAACCATGTCGCAATCTTTGTCCATAACTTTATGGTTGCAATGATATCCTAGAAACTCATAATTTACTTTACGTATGAATTTCTTAATTTCTACTGAGTCAGTTGCTTTGACTTCAATTTCGTCGAATTCAGGAATAGTTAGTTTTTACTGCTGAATTTCAGGTAGTTTAGGCAAATGGTCGATGAGGTCCTCCATTTCATAAAGATACTGTTCATTTGTTTCATCTTTCGCACTACAGTCTAAATTACTTGTTAAAAGTTCTTGCTTTATCTTCTGGATTTCTGTTTCAAAAGTATATGAAGAAGGAATAAAGCTTTTCATCTCTACCAACATTGACGTAGGATTCATGACTAGCGAGTTTGGTGCTGTAGTTGTGGACAGAGTCCCGCCGTTTGTGGCTTGAATTGTTGTTGTGCCGATTGTTGAAATCATATCTTTTATACAAAATAAAAAAATAAATAAAAATAAAACTAACTTTATTTTTTCTGTCTTAAGGAAATTCATGAAAATTCACGAGAAAGCTAAAGCAATCTGAGCCGCTAAGCGGCGAGGGTGAAAAAAGAGGTGAAAAAACGGGTGAGATCTCACCTCTTCACCTAAACATTATTTTTGGTGTAAATTTATGACAAAAATAAATGGTACCATTAATGATATCATGACTGTTCTCATTCATGTCTGATTTACATCTAATGAAAAAGTTTAGAAGAATTTTCTTATTCTTTCTGGCATATTTTTGTCTTTCCAGTACTCCCGCTCTAATGGTCCCAGATGTGTTGACTTTGACTCTCTCAAGTTCTTAGATGGTATAACATCTTCAACGCCTCCTTCATATCTTACTTTATAAGTGTCATCGTTTATGTTGTAGCCAAGTATTTCAATAACCACTCCTCGCTTTGCTTCGTCAATGGTTTCAGCAAGTTTGCCATTACTACTTTCAACTAATTTGTGACGAGGGTAAAACGCAATAGAGTCGTCAGCAGCTTTTATAAGATATCCATTACCTTGCGTAGAGTCTACGATATAATAGTTTCTACTTAACCTTAAACGTTTCTTTGTCAACGGTTTGTCGTCAAGAACTACACGAACTTTTGTACCAGGAATGAGGGTAAATTGTGTTGAATTTCTGATATTTTGTGTTTGGCTTCGTTTCTTTTGTATATACTTTTCTTCTTGTTGTTGTGTCATTGAATTTGGTGTATGTCCTGTTGTAGAATGTGTTGAGGAATTATATACTTCGAGAAAATGTTTCATTGTTTCTTCGGTAAAGTCTCGCTCTTGGTTTAAATCTCTGAGCGTTCTTATGAAGCGGTTTATGATGCCGAGTATGTTATGGTTATGGTCTTCAGTAGTGTAGTGAGTTATGTTATGCTTAATGAGAAAATCTGTGATTTCATTGCTGAGGTATGCACTGTCTTGGTCTGATGTTAAAGTACTTGGGCTATGTTCTGCTACAAACTTTTGTAAAACTCTTAAAACTTCATGAGTTCCTTTATTCCTCATTGGATATGCATATGCTTTACGAGTGTTAACATTAATGAAGATGAGGAATGGTTTATGTCCTCCTTTTCTGCTTTGAATGAGAGTGTCAAATTGGTATGCGTCAGGAGTGTTGGAGTAAATTGGTAAAAAGTAGTCGTAAGGGTTTATTTTTGTTTGATGTACAACATTTTTGTCAAAGAACCTTTTCACTTCAGCTCTGTTAGTAAATCCCCAACTCTTTGCAGCTTCATTGAACTTCTTAAATGACCTCCATGGATGTTGTTCGAATACTTCTTTCAAGCTCATTTATGTAAAGTTAAAGATTTTATTCTAGGCTCAAGCGCGTTCATTGAACTCTATACCATGCGAATATAGTCACAAATGGTGGCATATAATCTGCACCCGAGCCTGTTGGATTTGTTGTGAAAGTGTGTGAATGATTTCCTGTGGTTCCACAGAAAATACCTGCGCTTGAATCTACTGGGTCACTTGAAATATCATATCTATGCATTCCCTGTCTATCCGAACCTGCTGCAAGATTTGTATAACCTCTTTTTGTTATTGAATGTGAATGACTACCTGTTGTGTTTGTAGTTCCTGTATGAGTGTGCGGTGGAAGGTTTGCTTCTTTAATTTTCTTCGAACCTCCTGTTTGCTTTGAAGAGTTAGCACAGTATAAGAATTTGTCTACAATCTGCTGCCATGTACCAAAACCTAAAACACTTGCTGGATTTGTTGAGTTCATTGACGTATAAATAGAGCCTATAGGATATATGGTTTCAAGAATCTGAGTCTTCATTGTTTGAAGTTCATGTTTAACATTTATAAATCCTTTGCCATCTACAATATTTATATTGTTTGTTATTAAACCATTAGGAAAAGTAGGAGGATAAATTCTTTGTTCTTGTACAGTTGCACCGTTTCTTCCTGTTTTTGTTACTATTTCGATGCATGCTTTAATTTCTTTAATCTTGATTGTTTGAAATTCTTCATGTGTATGGTTCTTGTCGGCTTTTTCCATTAAGCGCAGCATTTACTTCCGACTTCTTTGCATAATTTTCATCTACATAAGTTTTGTCGGCTTTCTTATCTAACATTGCTGGTAGTTCATATGCTTCAAAGTTTCTGGCATGACCTTCAATATTCCTGCAACTGTTATCTAAATTGTTAAGAGTATCTTTTACGCTTGTACTCGGATTCTCTAAAGGTGCACTTGAACCCAAATCATAGTTCAATATTATGTCGTCTGCTCTAACAGTAGTGAAGGATTTATGTGTATGTTCTTTGTCAGCTTTCTTATCTAACATTGCTGGTAGTTCATGTGTTTCAAAGTTTCTGGCATGACCTTCGATATTCCTGCAACTGTTATCTAAATTGTTAAGAGTATCTTTTACGCTTGTACTCGGATTCTCTAAAGGTGCACTTGAACCCAAATCATAGTTCAATATTATGTCGTCTGCTCTAACAGTAGTGAAGGATTTATGTGTATGTTCTTTGTCAGCTTTCTTATCTAACATTGCTGGTAGTTCATGTGTTTCAAAGTTTCTGGCATGACCTTCAATGTTCATACATCTGTTATCTAAATTGTTTAGTGTATCTTTTACGCTTGTACTTGGATTCTCTAAAGGTGCACTTGAACCAAGGGTATAGTTCAATATTATGTCGTCTGCTCTAACAGTAGTGAAGGATTCATGTGTATGGTTCTTGTCAGCTTTACTATTTAATGTAGCTTGAAGTTCATTTATATCGGAGATATTGTGTTTATGAGATTTCAAAACTTTGTTCGTTGCGTCAAGTTCATCTTTGTCAGCTTTACTTTTAATAGCATCTTCAAAAGTTATTTTTGCCTTAACTCTCAAAGTAAATCTTGGTTCAACTAATACACCTTTAACAGAGAAGTATGAAGCATAAATTTCATCGTTATAACCAAATGCTTCTGGTGCTTTACCTGTGTCATACTGTGCAGTACAGTGTATGTCATAACCTTTAGCACGAATGAATTTATATCTTCTTTAATTAACATCTTCCGTCTTCACTTCTTCATCCTGTGTTAAATATCCATGGTAGTCCGTTATAATCTGTTCGTCTGAACTTATATAATGAACATGGTTTTTATCTGCTTTTTCGGCTAATTTCTCTTCTATCTCATTTATTTCAAGTTCATGCCTACCACCACCTCCAGAAGAAGTATTTTTCTTCAGCTCTTGAAGAACGTCCACTTCGCCATCTTTGGTGTCAATAATGAGACTTTGAGTTAAAACCTTTCCTGTCTTAATGGATGTTTGTAAAACTTCTTCTTCACCGTGTTCGGGGTCATGGTCGTCATCATATCTTGTGAAATCAGAGATGTTGTCATTCATTAAGCATATCTGTCCCAAAAGTTCTGCTACTTGAAACTGGAACAAAAGATATACAGAACTTTCATCATCTCCTAAAGTCAAGTCTGCTTTCTTAAGTATTTCTTGAATGTATGCAATGAGGACAGAGTATCTTGGAAAATATTCGAACAATATTTCATTTGCCGTTGGTTTTGGTGGTTCTTCTGGAGTTTCTGTTGTTTCAGTTCCTTCTGTAGGTTCTGTTGGAGTTTCTGCATCTCTTGACTTCAATGCTCTTGCTCTCAAAGACCTAAATGTTAGAGCACCAGGTTTTACAAAGGACTTTATAAATGCTTTAATAGTTCCTGGTAAGTTATTGTTAGCATTAAGTAAGTTCCTTATGCTTCCATCATGTACGTCCATAGCACTATGTAAAAAATCTATACTTTTCTTGTAGTCAGCAATAGACTGACTGTGATTTTTTAAAGATTTGTCAATACCTTTAAGCCAATCTTCATGCATGTCTGATACTGAGCCAAGAATATCATTTGCTTCCTTTAGTGTATTTTGTGCTTCTCGTAAAGTATCCAATCCTGTACGTGCATTGTTTGCTATACGTCTTACAGTATCTATTTGACTCCTTGTTTCTTGCATCCAACCAGATAAAGTTTTAATAGTATCAGAACCATTTGAAATGAAGTTCAAAGCATTTTTAACGTCATCTAAAGCTTCTTCACCAAGTACTGCCCATATCTTTCCGATTTGGTATTGAAGAACTCCATATGAAGCAGCTGTTAAACCAGTATTTATAAGGTTCCATATCCATGATTTAGCAGTTTTTCCATCCTTTCCATCTACACCATCCAAACCGTTCTCGCCTTGAGGTCCTTGTATTCCTTGTATTCCTTGTATTCCTTGTGGTCCTTGAGGTCCGGTGTCACCTTCTCTCCTTTCAGTTCATCTTTATGTTCGTTATAATATTCTAATGTCATAAGGTGTACATCATTACTGCTACCAGCAACGCCGAGAATTTGTTTCTCATTCATGACTAAATTCTTTAGGCATTTAATGTTGTCGTCAAATCGAAAGCTCTTTAACAATTCAATGAGAACATTCAGTACTTTCACTAATGAGGCATCTACTGTAGAATTTATATATTGCACCGTTCCATCATTTATGATAGGAACTTTACTTGTTGTAATGAATGGGTCATACGTGTTAAAAGTATCGAAATCAATGACTTTTTTAGTTTTTCCATCGTCAATGACTAAATCATTGCCTTCAATGGTTAAAGTTGAGTTTTCGTTTACTAGTTCATGTGCTCTTCTTGCTTCATTTGTTTCATACGCATATGCAGCAATAGTCATATTTTAATGAGAATAAAAAATGTTGTTCTATTTGCAAAGTACAGACCCAAACGAATACGGGACAGTAAAGCTACAAACAAACTTAGGTCTTCAGAATGAAGCGCTTGCTTTCAGAGTTGTTGACTTCAATACTATCGCAACTTTTGTCATAACAGATGAAACAGATTTCATGGAGATTGAAATAGATGACAAAAGAAGTGTTATAACATTTCCTAACAGAGCTGGGTATAGAATAGATAAAATTGCTGGAGTCATAAATACTCTCATAAATGAAGAAACTATTGACAACATAGATGTCGAACTCTCTTCTGAGGGAACATTGAAGTTCAGTTATGCGAAGGAGTTTAAGATAACACGAATGAGTCATAGAGTTCAATTGCTTCTGGGAGCATACCATATGACATTTCCTTTGAAAAGTGTTGACAAACGATTGAGATGAAATCTGTTCCATATGTATGTTATGGCAATTGTTTATACATTGAGTCAAAAATAGCTAATGTCACAGGTATTTCAGGAGTTAATAGTAAAGGTTCAGTAGAATATAAATCCTTCTGTTATGCAGTCAATTCAATGTTCATTCCAAACGTTCCTGTCATAGCAACTCATTTAGGTAAATGGGTTCGCATTAGTCCTCATAATTTGAAAGACATGCAATTCAGACTTGTTGACTTTCAAGGAGAGCCTGTAGAACTGAAGGCACCAGTGCGAATGACTGTTGAAGTTGACTTTTTAGAAAATATTAAATGCAACAGCTTACAAGAGAACTCAGAGCTAAAAATATAAAGTATGAATGTTATGTATTAGGTCATGAACTTTGGTTGTTGCTGTTTGATGAAACAAATGAATTAGTTATGTCAGTCAAGAGAACAGAAAAATATTGTGTTAGTGAAAACTGCACCAAGTCAATAAGATTGGGTTTGCATTATGAAGATGAGTTCGATACTGTTGAAGAAGTTTTGGATAGATATTACAAATTGCTAACTTGAAATTTTTTTGACTAACGGCGCAAAGCGCCAAGATGGGCTCAAAGAGCCCTCCTGACTGCTTTAATTTACTAAAACATATTTCAAACAAAGTTTATAGTCAGTAGATAGTTTTGTATACTCGTTCGAATATTTATACTTAAACTCAACTCCTGTAGTTCCTGGTGTTTCAATGATGCGGATGTTACCTATTTTCATGAATAGTGGAGTTTGACCACAGCATTCGATTTCAGGGTCGAGATAGTCAATGACACATTGTTTCCCTGTTATTCGTGATATAACATTTTCAAGGTCCTCCTTTGTTAGAATTCTTTGGTTCTTACTTATAAGATTTGTCAAAAGCTTCTTATCGTCTTTGAGTAAGATAGTTTGGTATAACTGAAGAAGGTAATGGTCTACGTTATCTGAAGGATTTGTTTGAACATTTGTGTAAGGGTTGTCGTTGGCTTCTCTTGAAAGAACTTGGTCAGTGGTGGATACTCTAACTTAACATCTGATGTAGCTTAGAGCGTTTGCACTTGAAGCTGAGTTTAAATTCACCGACTTAAGTTCTGGTTCTTTTCTTTCAAACACTCTGAACTATAGTTCTTTATGACAATATTGTTTGTCGTTCGTGAGTCAACATTTGATGTTGGTTCAATTGGAACATTAACGGCACCAGCTAAGATGGATTTGCTTCTCATTTCATATAGAATAAAAACCTTTTATATGTATGAAATGAACAATATACTCGACAAGGGTTTGAATGTAAGCTAACGAATGAAATATTGTTGAATTCACTGAGACAGGTGCTGTGTATAAGATGTAGAACTACTGAACAAAAGCTAAGGGAAGAAGCAGGAACATGAACAAAGGGTGGAAGCCTATAAAAATTTATGTCAATGATGGCTCAGGAGGTTCAAACATAAAGTATGCAGAAAGTTATAGAGTTTATGCTCTCAAAGGTGAAAAGCCTTCATTTAAGAACAGCTATTCTAACGCATATCCTCAAAAGCTAACGGATGGGGAAGTGGATGATATGAATGACAGCAAAAATATTAACAGAAATGGCGACAGAGATGCATGGAATTTGTTTACCATCAGTCAATTGAAGGTTAAGCTTTAAAACAATGTTGGTCGTTCCCATGGAATATTTTTGACTTTAATGGTATTAGTCATGATATGAATCTCAAGGTATGAACGAGGAGAGATGAGAGACTTATATGCTTCCCAAATTTCTTCAAAAGGTAATGTTATACCTGACTGTTTCCAAATGAGTTCAATATCATAACGTGAGAAACCTTGAAAGATAACGAAGTCAGTTATGAGACGTTTTATGTTTAAAGCTAAAAACCTCCATGTTTGCATAAGTATTGCTACAGTTAAATGGTAATGTCTGACTTTAGTTATGATGTTAGCTAATGGTGAGTCTGGTTTTGACACTAAACCTTTTCCGGCGAAGTCGTCACAAACTAATAAAGTGTTTGATGGATATTTTTTGAAGGGGTATTTTGAAAGTTTTGACAGAATGTAGTTTGTAAGTCGTTTCATATTGTATACTCCTGAGTATTGACGTAAGTGGTGTTTGTCAATAATTCTTTCCATCTCCTCAGAAGTCTTTTGCATTCCTGACTGTATAAATTCAACGATGGCATAATATTTCCTCTTACGTCGAATGTAACGTTGAAGAAATTCAATGAGTTCACTGTCTGGAACTTTAACGACAGAGGCTTGAACTTTTGACATAAATGTTTTCGCTGTTGAGTCCATAGAGTCTGAAGTTGCTGATATAATGATTTGGTCATAATATGAGTCATTTCCTAAACGTTCTGTTATGAGTATATGACGAATGAGGTTAAATGTCTTACCTGAACCCATCTTTCCACAATAGAAATAAACACCATTTGAACAGAACTCATAGTCCTTACTGAAATGAAGAATGAGAGAAGAGTTAAGTTTGTCTGTAGTTTCATTCATGTCTTCATCTACGTCATGTATTAAATGCTTCATTTTATCTCCATTAAAAATGCAAGTCAGAAATATTCAGAACATAGCACCGAGTCTAACTGACAAGAGTATAAAGATATACTATGAACACGTTATGATGAAACCTACCAAAATTCAAGAAAGTCAGTATACTTATGAATATCCAAGACACTGGGTAGAGTATGTAGGAGGTGAGAAAGCTATTGAAATCAGGCAGGTTCGAAGTATTCCAGCAGGAAGAACAATATTATTGAAGAACTTTAATGTTTTGAGGTATAATGATGAAACAAAGAAGCAAGATAGTTTCCCTGTTGCTGTGTATGTGAACTTAGATACAGGAGATGACATGAAAGTTTTTAACACAAAGCTTCAAACGGTAGTGAGAGAACAACTGACTGCGGAAGGACATCCATTACCTTCAGAAGTTACTATAGCATATAATTTTGAAACAAACTCAATAGATTTTAAAGTCGTCTCTGCAAAGAAGTCAGGTTTTACATTTAATGAAGCAGATGTATATTCGAATGAAAACTTCAAAGCTATTGCCTGGTTAGATAATGACGATTGCTTTAAGAAAATATTTAAATACAGTGACTCAACGATGTCAATAGATGACCTTCGTGGAATGTTACCATCGACGTTTACAGTAGAAGGTTCAGCAGGATTGCTTACAAGATTGTCAATTGGTGGTATTTGGTCTCGTGAGAACATTGTTATAAAATCCAGTATAAGTGAATTTGCTGAAGAATCTATATTATGTCTTTCAAACTACATGTATTCGCCGCCGAAGCATTATAGTATAACAAACTTTGTCAGTAAGTTTAACATAAGACTTGTCGAACCTTCTTCAATGAAAGATGTTGTGCTACCCAAAGACGGAAAGGATGGACTCATTATTGAGATGATTTTAATAGCATATTAAATGAGCTTGTTCTTGAAGGTCATTCATGATGAAATAACTGTTGTAGAAGATGTTAGCAATTGTTCAGACATTTTGAAGCGTATAGATGATATAAGAAAGAAGTTTATGAATGAGAACGTTTATGTTTCATTGACTTTCTCCAGTAACGAGAACTTTTATGAGATAATATTGAAGAGAGATGATTTTAATATGGTGTAAATGGTAGCTTGGGCAGCTTTAGGCACAATGGGAACAAAAGCATTAGCATTTGGAGCAAAAGCACTTGGAGCTTATGACGCAGTAAATAAAATGAGTGGAGGAAGGGTTTCGAAGACATTAGATGCAAATAAAGGGAAGATTGGAGGCTGGGTTGCAAAGAAGTTAAGATTAAATAAAATAGGGCTCATAAATAAAGCATCCAATTTGGTTGCGACTGAGTCAGAAAATGCTTTAGGAAAGGACGATGAGTTTGCAAAACACGCAAAAGACTTTAATGACCAGATGAAAGGTGAAACAATGCATTTAAATAGAGTCGATGGAACTAAAGAAAATGTTTCTTCTCCACTAGTAGTTCTTCCGTATGGTCCCTATGGAATGTATGGAAACCCTTACGAAAGACCATTTGACCCATTGACTGGTGGAAGTAACTGGTATCATTACGGACGAAGAAGAAAGACAGTCAAGTTGGAGACAGATGTTAAGAAAGCAACTAAAAAGAAACCAAGGAAGAGAGTTATAAAGCAATGAGAACGTTTATGTTATGAGAAAATTTTAACGTTAGTTTTATTTTTTACTGAAAATTTTTATTTGGATGTAATGACGAAAACTATTGAGATAACAAACTACAACGGTCATGAGTTCAAGAACTTGTTCTTCGTTCCGCGTGAGAATACATTCTATCAGATACGAGGGAGAAAGGGTAAAGTTAGTTTAAGCATTTATGATAGCAAACATAATGGAAGATATATACAAGCAGTAGATACAAACGGTAAACGTGTTTCATTAGCTTTGTCAAAACTTACTAACATTTATTTTGACAGTGACTTTGACTCTGACGATTGGAGCGACAGTAGTGATACTGAAGAATATGAGCTGTTATATGAAGCACAGCAATGGAAAGAGTTGCAATACTTTTGTAAGTGAGAACGTTAGTGTGTACGTTAGTGAGAACGTTAGTGAGAACGTTAGTGAGAACGTTAGTGAGAACGTTTATTTTTTCATGCACGTGCATTGTGTCGCGGGGAGTTGCCATGGGCAATGACCTGCGCACAATATATAACGTACAGAGAGGTGAGATGAGGTGGTTTATGTGATAAATACTTTACGTGGCAGAAATAGTTTAAGGTTATTAGAAATATTGCATCTGCGATGTAAAATATACGTTAGTGGTTTTGTAAAGTGTCAGATTGACATATCTTCGGTAAGATGGCGCGCAGTGCCACCGTACTGAAGATATGTATACTAACTTCAAATGCAATGAGATCATCTGGAGATTCTTCTTGTACTGTCTGAACAAAGATTTGCAATGACACAACATCGTCAGGAGAATATCTAGTTTGAAGAGCATGTATTCTCTCTGCAAATCGTTTGATTGCACGTGATTTTTGAGCGTACATCTCTGGAATGGACGGACCTGTAAGAGGAATTTCAAGATCTTTGAATGCATTTAGCTGTGCTATCGCTCTTTGATTGTCATCTGTTTGGAAGTAATGTTCTAAATATTTGCGATAAAAGACAGACGAATATTGACTTTTGTCATTTGGGGCGGAATGATCATGTTCTTCAACTATTTTGATTAGTTTGTATTTATTTTGATCCAAGATTGCAACATTAAAATGTGCAGGACATTTTGGATATTTGCAGTGGAATGAAATCTGAGATCTTTCTTTTCTGACACGTTCACCATATCCATACTGTGCTTGTATTTCTTGTTTAACTCCAAATTTACAAAGATCCATAACAGTAAAGATAGTTTCTTCTTCTAATTCCATTTGAAATTGAAATGAAAATTAAAAATTCAGAAATTTGAATAGATTTGGTCTGTAATTAAATGAGAATAGCAGTTTGTTCGTCATTGTTTGAGGCAAGAGTATTATAGGAATATTATATGATGGATTTGAGTTGCATATAAAGAGTGCAAAAGGATAAAGAGAGAAATTTTGTTAGATTAAATTATTAAATTTTAATTCTTTATTTTTTAGGATTGTTAGCTTTGTAAGATTGCTTTCTCACAAGAGAAAACAAGAATAAGGTTTAAGCTGTATGTATTAAAGTTATAAATATTTGATTTTAAAAAAAATCAAGATTTTAAACTTTAAAGGTATTAATTATGATTATCTTTCTTTAGCTTTGCATGCTGTATGCTACTTTTGGAAACTGCTCTATTGTATTAGAATGTTTTTAAATTTTGCACCTAAAAATGCGTAATATTAAAAATTAAGGTATTAATTATGATTATCTTTCTTTAGCTTTGCATGCTGTATGCTACTTTTGGAAACTGCTCTATTGTATTAGAATGTTTTTAAATTTTGCACCTAAAAATGCGTAATATTAAAAATTAAGGTATTAATTATGATTATCTTTCTTTAGCTTTACATGCTGTATGCTATTTTTGTCTTTGAGACATTCCATGATTTAAGTTAAGAAGCTTTAAAAAAAATGCAAAAAAAAAACAATTGAATACTTTACTGGCTGGGCAAATTTGTCGCCGCCCCACCCGAGAAGAGGGATTATCTCAATGAAAAGTACATAAAATAGCAAACGCACAAGATGGCACTATGCAGCTTTATATTGTTATACAGGATGAACATATAAAATGTTTGGAAAACACTTACTTCGTTCTACAAATGTGTATTTCTTTATATCAAAGATTCTTCTCAAATTATTGAGAGACTTCTCTCAAAAAAAGGAAAATTTGATAACTAAAAAAAATTATGGCATAACCTCTCGTTTTGCATAGATATATATTTACATGGTCACAGAGCTTATTTTCATTGTCAAAACTTAAAAATTTTTAGTGGACTATACCCTTAAGAAACACGATCAAATTGAAAAGATTAAATATGAAATAATCGGAAATTGAGAGGATTTCCGCTGATTGAGAACTTTATTGTAAAATTGTTCGATCTATGTTTGTTAACTTCATTTTTGGATTAGATGTTTAGACATCATCAACCACAAGAATTCCACAACGAAGACAGGAAGGCCTACTTTGTTGGTGGCGGTATTGGCTCATTATCTGCTGCTTTCTTCCTGATCAGAGATGGTAAGTTCAAACCGGAGAACATCACCATCTTCGAAGCATTACACGTCAATGGTGGATCTATGGATGGCTGCGGCGATCCAGAACACGGCTACATCATTCGTGGTGGTCGTATGTTTAATCTTCCAACATATGAGTGCCTTCAAGACATGCTCAAGGACATCAAGTCTGTCCACCATCCAGAAAAGACAGCATACGAAGAGCTCCACGAGTTCACACATGAATACAAGACACACAGTAACTCACGTGTTGTCGATCATAACAGACAGAAGTACGATGTTCGCTGCATGGGCTTTGACATGGGCGACCGTCTTAGTCTTCTTGCTCTTGTCAACACAGATGAAGATAAACTCGGCAAGAGCAAGATTAGTGAACATTTCGGTCCACATTTCTTCACAACAAACTTCTGGTACATGTGGGCTACAACATTTGCATTCCAGCCATGGCACAGTGCTGCTGAATTCAGAAGATACCTCCTCAGATTCATGCACGAGTTTGTCCGTATCGAAACACTCGAAGGTGTCGCACGCAGTGAACTCAACCAGTACGACAGTATCATTCTCCCACTCGAGAAAGACCTTCGCGCAAAGGGTGTTGTCTTCGAGAATGACTCACGCGTTACAGATGTTGATGTCAGCGTTGACAAGACAACAGATCGCAAGGTTGCCAAGTCTATTACAATTACACACTCTGATGGTAAGACAGAACAAGTCAACCTCCGCGAAGAGGATCTTTTCTTCATCCAGAACGGCTCAATGACAGATGCAGCATCAGTCGGCACACACACAGAGCCAGCTAAGTTCCTCACAAAGGAGGATGGCACATCATGGCAGCTCTGGGAGAAGCTTTCAAAGCTCTCCAAGGACTTCGGCGATCCAGAACCATTCTTCGGCTGTGTTCCAGAGAGTGTCTGGCAGTCATTCACAGTCACAATCAACAATGATACATCGTTCTTCGATCAGGAGATCGCATGGAGTGGCAACGAACCAGGCACTGGCGCGCTCGTCACTTTCAAGGACAGCAACTGGCTTATGTCAATCGTTGTTGCTAAGCAGCCACACTTCCTTAACCAGCCACCGACAACACAAGTCTTCTGGGGATACGGTCTCTTCCCAGACAGAGTCGGAAACTTCGTACACAAGAGGATGATTGATTGCACAGGCGAAGAAATCCTTGAGGAGCTCATTGGACACCTCAGATTCGACAAGAGCACAATCAAGAACGCAATCTGTCGCCCATGCATCATGCCATTCATCACTGCACAGTTCATGTGCAGAAACCGCAGCGATAGACCACTCCCAGTTCCAAAGGGATCTGTCAACATCGCATTCACATCCCAGTTCGTCGAGATCCCAGACGATGTCGTCTTCACTGTCGAGTACTCTGTTCGTGCATCACAGACAGCAGTTTACCAGCTCTGTGGCGTCAAAGATAGAAAGATCCCTCGCATACACCACTACGAGTACAGACCAAAGTTCATGGTCAAGGCTTTGATCAAGTCTTTCTCACACACTGCATGGCAGACATGCTTCAGAGCAACACTCGGTGCTGCAGCAGTCGGAGCTGTTGCATACGGCGTTAAGAAGTACCTTGACAGCAAGAAGTAAGAAATCATATTGCATTACTTCTGTCTTGCCCTTCATTATTGGGTGGAAATGTTTTTAAAACAATCCTTTTGACTTTTTTAAATCTGATCAAATCTTTTTTTTTATGCTCCTTGTTTTGCTTAACTAGTAGCTGTTCTATACGTAATGTTGTCATTTTATGGTTGTGTCAGCTCTTGTTCATAATGATTTTCATTAGATTTGTAGAACATTTTGTCTAAAAAAAGCTAAAGAACCTATCTGTGGTTAATATTTTGCATATACAAGCCATTTAAATATGATGTACAATGCTAGTATTTATTCATTATTCTGTAAATTGAGAAATTGATCTTCAATCTGAACTAATTATATCTATTAGACTGAATCGATCATATATGTGGTATGGACCTTAGTTATACATAATCCAAAATTATTTTCAGAATGTTGAAATGTGATGAAATATTTTGCAGATTGATGTATTTTTACTTTCAAAGTTCCCTATATAAATCAAATAAAAAAATTATATTACAGACCATAAATTATATACATTTAGAATAATGAAAGGATGGTATTAATTCTTACGAGTTCAGAAATGAAAAAATATGTAAGGGTATGTGGCTCAGTGGTAGAGTGGAGCTTTCGCATAGCCCAGGCCGGGGGTTCGATTCCCTCCATATCCATTTTTTCATTTTATTTTTAATTTGATGATTTATTTTTTCCATCTTCGACTGTTATTATACTCATTTTATTCCCACTATAATTCATTACTTTAAAAAAAATAGTTCTTGTCATAAAAACCAAACATTTGTGTTGAAAATTAAAAAATCAAAGTTTCAGATTTAACCAAGAAGTCGATTTTGGTGTTTGAGTATTCTTTTTCTTTTTCAAAACTGGGAATAAATCTGGAAATTCATCATCGTTAAATGTTCCTGATACAGATTTTGGTATTTCCTTATACGGGAGATCCATCGAATGCATTGAAGTGGATGTCTCTGAATTAGGGCATGATCCGTCTGCAGCAATTGCGTAATTCGAAAGAATTTGAGATGAAACGTATTCGGAAAGATCTGCAATAACAAGCTCTATATTTGTTTTTCTTTGTAAATAGTTTAAAGATTTCGTCATCCTACGGAATGTATCATTTACGACTGTAGAATATTTTCTAATTGGCATTGCTTCGATGGTATAAGGAGCATCCTTTAAGGATCCATACTCTGCCTCTAATGAATCTGTTGAGAAAACATCAAGGAAAACTAACAAACCGTGATCTTCTTGGTAAAATTGATAAAACGTATCTGAATGATCGAGTTGTACTATAGGGGTTTCGGTATTTGGTATATGTTCATGTGAAACTTCCTCTATAATTTGAATGATGTAGCTAAGTTTGTTTTCATCATAATATTGTGGTTTGGAATAAATCTCCTTTTGTGCATCCAATTCTTTTAATTCTTTCTTTATGATATTTTCAACATAGTTTTTATCTGCGATAGAGAATTTGGAATATAAAGAACTCTTAGATGAAGCAAATGGGACTGAATCAATAGGCTCAGAAGTTTTTTCAGCAAGATGACAGCATGAATATATACTTCTTGAAATCTTTTGGAAAATTAATTTATCATTTCTTGTAAAATATTGAACATCTGCTCTAAATACATTTGATGGAGTGATTTCTTCACCACAAACCGGGCAACTGGGGACTTTTGAATGTTCGAAATGCATTGCAAGACAGTCTGCACAAAATATATGTCCGCAAAGCGTAATTCGAGCTGCAGCTGGTTTAAATTGGCATATGGGGCAAACATATTCGTTTGATTCGCATGATATTACTGAGAATATTGCGTTTTTATTGAAAACTGATTCTTGAATTTGCTTTTTAATCTTATTATAATTGCATTCTGGATCACTACCATCTGTTGAAACTTTATAAACAAATTTTGCGTGCGCTAAACTTTTTGGGGCTTTTTTCTTCATAGAAAGCTTCAAAATTAAGTTTCGCTCTTGGCAAAATTTTGAATTGAAAAAAATGTCTCAAGATTTTATTCTTGAAATTTCTCATAGAATCATCATCTATTGATTCATTGTTTAAAGAAATTTAACATAGAGGACATTTGAAGATTAGTAGTAGGATATGACGGGCAAACCCAAATTTTAGCTAAAAGTGACAGGGAAAAAAACGTTTAGTATTAAAAAAAAAGACCGATGAGAGCTTCGTTCGAAATATAGAGGGAACTGAGAATGCGCAACCATTCTCAGGGAATATTGGATGCTATTCCCGTTCCCTCTGTATGGAAAATTGAGGTTTTCAAAGGGAGTTAAAATAATATCAAATTTATACTAATTTACTTCAAAATACAAAAGTATTTGACAGCTAAAATTAGCTACTTTAGCAAGCCTATCAATACCCTTTTACGATTATTGTTACTTTTTCGAAATAAAAGTAAAAACAAATTTATACTAATTTACTTCAAAATACAAAAGTATTTGACAGCTAAAATTAGTTACTTTAGCAAGCCTATCAATACCCTTTTACGATTATTGCTACTTTTTCGAAATAAAATAAATTTATTATCAAAAACCTTTTTTTTCTTAGTAAAAATAAACGAAATTTTTTACCTTATGAACTTTTGATGGAAATATGCAAATTTAAAATAATAAAGAAAGCCGCGAGCGAAGCGATCGGCTTAGTTCGAAGATTTTGATTCAAATCTTTGCTGATCTGTAATTTGCGGAAGCCGCGAGCGAATCGAGCGGCTTAGGTCTAAGATTTTGATTCAAATCTTTGCTTATATTCCTTAAATTCTTTATGAAACTCGCAACAGTCCCATAAAAAATTTTAAATTCTAAACTGTCGAAATTATCGATCGGTAATCACACCCTTCATGGGTGTGTCACTTTTTACAGGCGTATCACTTTTAGTTAAAATTACCCCTACTCGGATATGACGGGTTTAGTGACTTTTTTTGTTACATCTATATATAGACGATGCATTAAAATATATTTATTTATAAATCATTAAAAAAATTAACATTAATTTTAAAATAATTTTTTTTATCTTTTATAAAAGAAGCTATATATAGATGATGTCAGATATTCCGCGATTAATTAAACATTGTTTAAATCCTGAATGGGTTTAAATATCATCCATGTAAAATTTTAGAACTTGGTAACGAAAAACTTCAGAAAAAATTAAACGAAAGACTATCAAAAGATAAAGTTGAAAGAGTAAATAAACTCGCTAAAGGTAATGGTAATGATGAAGAAGAATTTGATGAGTTCAACATAGAACTTTAAGAAACTAATGATTATTTGAATTTATGATATCAATTATCTGATTTATTCTTTCTTCAATCTCTTCTATTCTTTTTGTTAAATCATCTATTTTCATTAATGAGGTGATTCTTGATTGAGGAATAGATTTCAAACTAACCACTCCTTTTATTTTTGAAATTTTGAATCCATCAACTTTAAACATTTTATTCAATTTACATGTTGTCAATTCTTCAAATAATTTTTTATTATTAGCATAATAGTCATTAAATTCTTCAACAGATGAAAAAATTTTTATTTCAGTAATTGGTTTAACAACGTTTATTTTTTGTTGAACATTTTCACTTTCATTTATTTCTTCCTCCTCTGTTTCATTTATTTTTAAAATCGGTTTCATTTATCATTAAATAAAAATTAGAATATAAGTGATGAAATATATTTTTTAATTAATATTAAATCAGAAATGGCGGCAGGATTCTTTAAAAAATTATGGGATGGAATTAAGAAAGCTGCGGGTTGGGTTTATAAAAAGATTATTAAACCCGTTGCAAACTTTTTGGCACCAGTAGCGAAAACGGCAGGAACTATCATAGGTGGAGTATTAGGTACTAAAGCAGGTAATCCGGCGATGGGAGCACAAGCAGGTAACGCAGTTGGTGGAATTGCTGAAGGAATACTTAATAAAATAGGAGGTAGATAGTGGAAAAATAAATAAATATTATTTTTATCTTAGTATCGGTTGTAGTCTTTGATAAACTTTTTCTCCTTTATTTAAAACTTCTCTTATTGGGGCAGCTTTTGGTGTTATTGATTCAGCAACGTCACTAATTGCTTCTTTATTCTTAAATATCCAAATTGCCCCCTTCTTCAATGTTTCCCAAACTTTACTCGCTCCTCTTTTTACTCTATTCCACAGTTTCTTAAATATACCTGCAGCCATAGTTGATTATTTCATTAAAATTAAAAATTCATTTTCATCTTTTAATTTTGATTTTTTATTTATTAATAAATGACGACTAACTATTTGGTGCCAAACACTAAACCGATTAATGGAAATGTATTTCATTCATTCGAAAAGATAAATGAAATATTCGCAAAGAATGATGGTAGAAGATATTATAGAGAATTTGAAAGTTCATGCTATGACTCTGATGCTCCATATTTTGATGATAAACAAACTCATTTAAGAATTACAAACCCGGCTCATGATGTGAACCAATTAGGTGACACATATATTAAACGCAAAGTTAAAGCAACTCTAGTTTCAAATAAAGCTTTCACATGTGATGCCGCTTTTAAATGCATGCGTTTATTCGTTGGTTACAAATCATCAAATCAAAGCTTTAAACAATTAGAAGTAGAAACCGAAAGAGGTGATGCCGGTTATCTTCAGATGGATTGCGCCCGTGAATCTTTCGCATTTGCAACATATAAACCAAAATCAGAAAGGAAAGTTAAAAAGTTTGTTCATTCGTTATATAATAATGTTCAAAAATATGATAACTCAGTATGTGGTAAATATATTGACCCTTCAGAAGTTTTCAAGAAAGCAAATGAAGAAGTTGATGTCACTTTTGATATGATTATTCCGGTAAATGATTTGTTAGCATTTCAGGCGTTCGATGATTATCCTAAATCATTTGGTGATATCATTCTTAAATATTATGTTTTCAGGGATACTTTAGTATTTTGTCAGGTTGACCTGTTAAGAGTTGCTGATTTACAAAATTACGTTTATGAAAAGATAACTGATGAAAATTATGAAAAGATTATGAATCATGTTTATAAATATGATCGCAAATTCCAACAAATCGGACTTCCTGCCAAATTAATTACAAGCTTGGCCGCTACATCTGCTGACGCAACAGTTGATGACGTTATTATTTCATGCACAAAGATGGAAGTTTTAGAGGATAAATGCATTACACCAGGATACGGTTTAATTGAAGAATCAGTTAAAGCAATACCACGTTTATTCAGTAAGGAAGATCCATTCATGATTCCAGCTCAACATATTGACGTTCGTTCACTAAATGGAGGTTGCATCACTCCTGAAGGTATCAGCTCAGATTTCTCATACGCTCTTCATAATGTTACAGATGTTGTGTTAGCATTTCCGAAGAATGCAATGCAAAGAACAGTTTTAGAAAATCCAATGCTTCGAGGTCTTCAGGTCACTATAGATTCCAGAAACTTCCCCGATCAAGCGATGACCACAGTGGGCGACATATTCTTTACACGTATGCTTCAAGCTTCTGATTTAGATGGAGTGAATGAATGCACAGAAGAATACGAGGACTCATTAACTAGACCATTGAATGCAGATGATGGCACGCCATTAGCTAGAACATGGAAAGACCAAACTTCATTCTTATGCACTATTCCAGTTCAACGTGATGGAGCGGGTATATTCTTTGATGGATTAGAAACTTTCAACTCACAAGTTACAGTACAAGTGAAAGCTTATCCAATCATTCAGGGTGAAAATGACACTTACTGTTCAAAGGTGACAAATCCTCCTCAGGTTTGGTTTACTAGGACTACATATTGGACATGGACACCGGATGAAGGTTTGAAATATCATCCAACAGGTACACCACCACAGTATAGAAGTTCATATGATGAAATATTGATGAATAGAAATGTTTAAAATTATAAATGTATTTTTGATTAAATGGATTTAAATCCATACACCCCTTATGAAGAATTAGCAGGAGTATATAATACATACATAGATGATATGATTAATGAAGCATTGAGTGATAATAGAAATGCTCTATCTAAGGAAAAATTAATGAAAATTCCATATTCTGAATGTTACTTAAATTCAATCACTGCAGCAATTGGTAAACAGAATAAAGGTAAAACATTAACGATATTAAAACAAATTATCATTATTGCTAACACTTCCCCCTATTCACACGTGTTAATTTATATCAACCGTTCAGGTTCACCTTCAGATGATACATTTGAATCTTTAAAGCATTTAATCAAAATTCCAATTATTTATTTATCACAAGAAGAAGCAGAAGATTATTTAAAAAACTTTTTAATGTATAAAGAATTATATAATACAATCAAGAAGCAAGGATTAGAGGATAAAATTATTGATAAACAACGGGATGAATTATTTGAAACACTTTCTATTTCAAATTTTGATAGAGAATTTTTGCATTCACTCATTTTTCTAGATGATGCAGTGAAATCAAAACTAATAACAAATGAAAAATCATATTTTAATCAGTTATTAACTCAATGTCGACACATTCAGTGTTCATTCTTTATGGCTATTCAATACTTCAAAGCATTAAGCACAAACATTAAATCAAATCTATCAATCCTTTTCATTTTCAGTGGGTTTAGTCGTCAACAGTTGAACGTTATGCTTTATCAAGTGAATTTACCAATGAGCATTAATGAACTTTACACACAATATCAGCAATTAGGTGAACATGGAAAAATAATAGTTGATTTAAATAAAGGAGGTGTTAAATTTGATTAACTTTTTATAATTAATTTTTATTTTTTATTTATAATTAAACATGACAGAAATAGCAAATCTTCTACAGGTTCCATTAAAACAAGGAACAAACAAAAAGGGTGCATATAATAGAACTATGAAAGTTCCTGATGGAATGAAAGAATTAGTTCATATTGTTGCTGGTCTTCAAAAAGATGTTAAACAAATGAGAAACGTTTTAACATTACCAGAAGCTCAAGCATATGCCAAACGTCATGGTCCAAATTGGGAAGCACACGAAGCAGACATTACGGGTCCAAATGGAAAACCTGATGGTATAAATGAAGTTTTCATTACTGATGGTCAAGGTAATATTAAAGTCATAAATGGTTATAAATTAATTATAACTGATTATCCTAAACGTAAAGCATATAATGAACGTTATCCTATGCAATTTGATGAAAATGGAAAAGCTGTTAAACAATACATTGGAGAAGGTGAAAATGGTCCAATTAATTCATACCGTTATAATCCATATTCTTATTTCAATGAAGAATTAAATGCTATTGAAGAGGGACCGGATGGATTACCACGATATTCTAACCAGTTTGATGGTCAATATGCAAATATTAGACCCGAAATTTCAGCTAAGAAATTCTTTAAAGTTGCTTTATTCGATCCAGTTTTCGCAAATGTTAAAGATGAACTTAAACATCAATTCCAACCAATTATAGTAGCAAGAATTGCATCAGGTGCTTTATCTCAAGCATTCAAAGATTTAATTAAGAAACCATTATATCAGCAACGAGGTTTAACTTATGATTTAGTTAAGGAATCAGATAAAAGAAAATTTGAGAAATCAGATGATTATAAGAATGCAATTAATGAATATATTAGGTCTATTAATTACAATGAAACAGCTAAAAATCAACTTCAAGAACAAATACAGGGAATAATAGATTCAAAACTTCCATCAAAATAAAAGTTTAAATATATTTTTTATTCGATTATAAATGAGAAGACGTTTCACTAGTCAAAAGAACACTAACGCAAAAGCAGAGATTACGGTTGGTTATAACGTAAATGATGATAAATCACGAATTATTCAAAATGTTAAAGTTAATGTTAGCCCTGAATTAACAAGGTCAGCAACTCAACCAAATTTATTAACTCGTGACTTACCGAAGAATGAGGAGAATGAAGAAAACCATGAGAATGGAGACCCAATCATTTTATCTGAACCCGGTAAAGAACCTGTTGAAATTCCCACTTATCCAACATACCCCCGCCTCTTTCATCAAACATCGAGAACCCATATAAAATAGACATTAATTCTGAATTAATGAAAATTTACCGTGATATAATAATTAATAATTATGATTCAATAATAAATTTAATTGATCAATCTGGTTTAATTATTTTACCTTATGAATCATTAATTCACATTATCGCCATTCTTTGTGATGTTCAAGATTCAGACGTTAAGATTCAATTTTTCATAGATGATGAGGTTTCATGCTGCGGAACAGTTGCAAAAATAAATCCTATAAAGGATATTAGCACAATTAAGATATCAAAGAACGGAACAACAACTGAACTTCATTTAACATATAATGATATTTATAATAAAATAGTTGATGAATATAAAATATCACTTGAAAAATTCTTTGTTAAGGCTATTTAATATTCAAGCATTAACATTATCGAATAATAATCCTTTGAAATCATAATCAATAATAATTGACCTTTCACCAGTTTCTATCGTTTGTTTTATTTCTTTTTGTTCCCCACTATCCGGATCGGTCATTGTAATTGTTTTTGTTATAGTATCAGCTTTATCTTTAACTTCAATCTTTTTTCCATCGGGATATTTAAACCAAAATTCCACAAATTCGATATTGTCAATCTGTTCATATTTTAATCTATCAATTACATTTTTAATACCATCTGAAAATCTTATGAAATGGTCATTATATGGGTTTGATTGAACTAAATTTGAATGAAGTGAAATATAACCTGTTGATGAATATGACACTGACTCATATTTTCTGAAAACACTAAAATTTATAACATGAATGAATTTCTTATTCGTTGAATTTATGAATTCTTGAGGTAATCTTATTCTAGTTTTATTTATCACTGGAAAATAACGCTTTACCATATTTTTAATCGTAATAAAAAATGTCAATTATCAATATTATTTCGAATAATAACTGTGAATTAAATTTAACAGTTAGCGGAATTTATAATGTTACTCTCGTTTCTGTGAGTGGTAAATTTAATCCCATTCTTTTAGACCCCTCAGATTATATATCATTTATTAAAGATGACCATGAGCCGCATAGCGGCGGGGTCGTAGACCATGAAAAAACGTATGATATGTATATAAATAATGTGATAGCGAAATGGGATATTAACATGATTTTAAGTTATTTAAATGAATCATTTATCGTATGGTATGAAGAAAATTTTAAATCAAAATCTGATAAACTTTTTGAACTTGATGAAATAAATAACCTTATTAAATTTCCGCTGAAAATTAAATTTTGTACTCCTCATCTTCGTTCATTGTTGGGGATATTAAATTTTGAAAAAGATGTTGGGATGTTTTGTATTCTGACACCGGTTCCAATTTCATTTTAATCAAATGTGATAAAGTTAATACCCCAATGAGATTTTCACATCAAACATTAGACCCTAACTCTTACCCATCAATACAAAACATTTTATCCATCAACTTAAACACATTTTCTTTATCATATCCGTTTCAATTATCCAGGAATTCATTTATTCTTCATTCAAAAGATTTATCAAATATTAAATTTAGAATAACTGACCTATTTGATTGTGATTTAGAATTTATGAATGAAATATTATGGCAATTTCAAATAGAGAAAATAGCTGATGAGATAACGGATTAAATATTTATTTTTAAATCGTAATAAATGATTAAACAACAGCAACTTAAGGCGCAAAACGCCCAGGTCCTTCAGACCATTACATACGCCATATATGCATATAATTCAAAGACGGCAGAACAAACGCAAAGGTTGAAATATGGAGATTTGGAGATAGTATTGAAAAATGACCATTTCGAATTCGTTTGCAAAGGTGGTGCAGTGATATCAAATATAAAAGAAATTTTATTTATGAATTCTAAAATTAAAGGTATAACGGATGATATAACATCAATTCCACCAGAAGAACAGAGATATTATGCATTAAATGCATTTCCTAAAGTTTTGAAGATTGGAAGATTTAATTTAAATGAGGAATTCATAGAAGGTTTCCTAAATGACATAATGAAGAAGGTGGATAAGGAATATGTGGATAGTGAGTTAATGAAGAAAGCAAATTTGGTTTATGTTGATGAAAAAGATAATGAAATTAAAGAAAAGGTTGAATGGTATCATGAATGGACATTGGAGACTTTTAAAGTTAAAGCTGATACAGAATGGGTTTCAGGATGTTTAGACCTTAAAGCAGATAAAACTTATGTTAACGATGAGTTAATGAAGAAAGCAAATAAAACATATGTTAACAATGAGTTAGAGAAGAAAGCAGATAAGGAAAAAGTTATTTCATTCATTAATACTGAGTTAGCAAAGAAAGCTGATATATCATTTGTTAATGAAGAAATAAAACAATCAGAGGTCTATTTTACTCCACCATTTTTAAATTTTATGAAATCATCAGATAAAACCTTTGATATAGATTCTTTTGAATGGATATGTTTCGATGGAGTGACCACGTATTTATTTTATACAGCTGGAGTGCTTTATTATTTTAAAACAAATGATTTTAAAAACTATGAATCATTTACTCCATCTGTTTTGAATCCTGATACACGAAAGCCAAGAATTTTATATGTTGAATATAATAATGGTAAATTTATGGGAATGATAACGGTTGGAGATGATTTTTGCCCTTGTTATTCATTCGATTGTATCCAATGGTTCAAATGTAATTTAAATCAAGATGCTAAATTTAAATATCCAAATAATCCTATTAGATGCGTTAATAATAAATGGGTACTAATTTATGAAGTCAATCAAATTTTCATTAGTGAGGATGGGATAAATTATTATATGTTTAGTATGATGTCATCAGATTTGGAAATCGATTATACAAGTAAGTGGTATTACATTAACAACATGTATTTTATCCTACAAAATGATAAAATTTATAGATCATCTTCAATACCATTTGGTCGTTTTGAACAAATTTTTCAAGCTGATGGAGACATTGAAGCTTTATGTTATGCTTCAAATGTTTGTGTTCTTGTTTCAGGTGGTATGGTCTATTCATATCTTGTAAGTTATAACAGACATATTTATTTATCACAGGATTTTTCACAGGATCCAGAGAAAACACCAAGTTGGGAATTGGTTTATTCATTCACTCCAAAATTTACTCGAAATTATAGATTGCAATTTGTTTTATATTGATGGGTATTTCATCGCTTTAGGATGTGGTGATTTAGTAAATATCAGTAATGATGGAAGAAACTGGTCTGAAATCACAAAATTCCAAGATGTTAGAAAAGCAATTTTCAAAAATAATACGTTAATATTGATAACAAGACCAGTTTTAAATACTCACCCAGTTTCAATATTATATAATAAATTCAATATTCATAATGGATTAAATACAATTCTTGAGATGATTTACCCCATTGGTTCAATATATACATCAATGAATTCAACAAATCCAGCTGATGTATTCGGTTTCGGTACATGGCAACAAATAACCAATCGTTTCCTCTATTGTGCTAACTCTTCAAAGCAAACAGGTGGTTCAAAGAAAATTAAAGAAGCAAACCTTCCGCCGCATAAGCATACAGGAACTACAAACTTTTCTGGCGACCATATACACTCATTAAGAGACCACCCATTATACAACTCAGACTATGAAGCCGGTCATGATGTTTTATCTCCAGTTTATAACGATTCAACAAAAAAGACTTTTCGACCAACTGAACCAGGAGGAAATCATTCACACACTTTCACAACAAATCCAACAGGCTCGGGTGAAGATTACATGCCACCATTTATGACTGTATTTGCATGGTACCGTCTTGAATAAAATCTTTATTTTTACATAAATGAGTTTAAAAGAAGTATTCGAATCATCACCGTGGAGGTCATTTAAAAAATTCTATGAAGCTGCAAAGAATGCGGGATTTAATGATAGAACAGAAATTAAGAGATTTTATGATGAAAATATAGTTCATCAGGTTAAAGATGAATACACTGTCATTTATGAAGGATGTGTGGATGATAAAATTCCTTCTAGAAATTTGAGAGAATCGAACCCCACACATTTATCGGAACTCGAAAAGGATTACTGGAAGAATAAAAATAAGCCAAAATTAATCAAAAAATTTTTATGAACTAAATATATTTTATGTCTGTAATTAATTAGGTAATGAAGTAATGGATGAACTGTAGAAATATATTTTATCGTTAATGGTTTTTAGGTTATTCAATAATTAATTATTTTTGAATAACTGATGGTGTCACCACGTCACCATGTGTCATCAGGTTAATTAACTTCTTTTAAAAAGTGTGACAACATGACATTTTGACAACAGTCCTGGAAATAAATTTTATCGTTTATGTTTACGTTAATGTTTTCATTAATTATGAAGGTGTCACCACGTCACCATGTCACCAGGTTAATTAACTTCTTTAAAAAATGATGACAGCATGACATTTTGACAACAGTCCTGGAAATTTGATGCAGTCCAAAAATAAAGTTAGTTTTAAAATTATTTTTATTTTTTATTCCTATATAAATGACAGCAACAAACAACAGCAACTATATCGTTTCTGATGAAAAAGTTATTGATTCATTAGCTGAGGAATTAGTTACGGCAGAAACTAAAACCCTCAACGAAAGAATTGGTGAAAACAAGATTGATTTACATAACTACCTCAAACACGATGGAGGAAGAGGAAGGAAAACTGGTATGGCTTTATTAGTAAATAAAATTTCAAATTTAACGATTATAGATGTTGATATCAATAAATCGTACAATGATGAACTTAAAGAAACAGTTAGAAAAGATATTTTATCAAAACTTTCGGATAAAGATGTTATTGTTAAAACCGCTTCAGGAGGTCTTCACATTTATTGTAACACTAATTTCTTCTATGCAGTTTCGAACAGAATGATTAAATGTTATTCCTGCAATGATTATGATATCGATATCATGACTTCAATGGATGATTCAAAGCGTTCTTTAGTAGTTATGGCTGATTCAAGAGTTCGCAAGAATGCAACAGAACCAATAAAAACATACTCATTCATTCGTGGAAGTTATGATTCAACATTAACTAGAACAGTGAATGATATATTAAATGATTTGAATATTAAGGTAAGAGTTGAACAGAAGAACGAAGAAATAAAGACTATCATGAATGAAAACAAAGATGTAAACATTGACGATAAACTTGCCCAGAGCATAGTTGATGGCATCAGTGATTTTGAAGTACATAATGACGGTGGAAACATGAATTTAGAAAAAGAAGTTACATTATTCACACTGTTTCAAGCAATTAATTCGTTACCGGATCATTTGATTAATGAAGCATACGATAACGTTTATAACTTCTGCAGCTTAACTGAAAATGCAAAAAGTAATTTTGAAAAAGCACGTAGTAGATATGCACATTTAATGACTTCTCCATTTGTTTTAATGAAGATTCTAAAACTGTATCAAAAGGAATATTATGATGAATACGTTTTGCCTTTATTATGTAAGCCAAAAATAACATTTGATATAAAACTTGATGATTCATTCTTGATAACAGATATTAGACGCAAGGCTGAAAATCATCAGTATAAAAACAGTTCTGAAGTAATAGAGGATTTATCACGTGTAATCCGTTTTGCAGATTGTGGAAATAAATATTTCATTCAAAAGGACTATAATATCCACGACAAAATGAATCAAATATCATTCGTTCTTCAATCAAACATGAAAGAGTCACTTAAAATGATTAAATTATTTAAAGAAGAAGGTAAAACAATAACAGCATGGGATGTACTACTAAATCAATTATCCACATTAACCGTTAAGGGTGTTTGCTTTAAATCTGATTCTCCAGATGTTTTCTCAACGTTTCAAGGTTATAAATACAACATTCTCGAAAAACCAGATTACTCAAAAATTGAGATGTTTATGAATTTCATTAAAGAAGCCATTTGTGATAATAACGATGAAGTGTATAAATACCTTCTCGGCTGGATTTCATCAATGATTCAACATCCAGGAATCAAGAATGAAACAGCAATTATTTTGAAAGGACTTCAGGGAACAGGTAAAAACAGATTTACAGACATTATTTCTGAACTTCTCGCCGGTTATTCATGTAAAAACATTACTGAAATAAGTGAGCTAACGGGTAATTTCAATTCAGTAGTTGAGAATAAAATGTTTCTTGTACTTAATGAACTCAAGAATGTTGGTGAAGATAGACTCGCAAACTTCAACGCTTTGAAATCAATTATTACGGATAATCAAATTAGAATTAATGAAAAGAATCAACCCAGAAGAACTGCTCAGAATGTTGCCAATTTCATTTTGGTAACTAATAACGTTTACCCTGTCAAAATTGAAGTTGGAGACAGAAGATACGTAGTTTTAAGAGTTAATGGTAAATTCAAGGGTCAATTTGATTACTTCAAGAATTTAATGGATTCATGCACTAAGGAATTTTATGATAATTTACTAACATATTTTATGCAATATGACCTTTCATCATTTAATGTACGAATCATACCGATGACTGAAGCCAAACAAGATTTAATTGAATTATCAACAAATCCTTTAGATGAATGGATAAATACACATTATGATGAATTGTGTGCAGGTATGACGTGTAAAAATGCTCTATTCTGCAAACCATCAGACATGAAAGACAAGAATTTCCAAATGAGCATTAAGGATAAATGTGATAGGAAACAGAGAAGAATAGATGGTAAACAAATATGGTGTTATGTTTTGAAAGAAGAAATGAAAGGATTATATAAACAGGTTGAACCAAACGATAATGAAGCTTTATAAAGTATGATTTGAATTTATTTTTGCATTAATCCTGCTGTGATGTCAAAATGTCATGTTGTCAGTAATTTTAAGAGAAGTTAATTAACCAGGTGACACGTGGTGACACCATCAGTTCTTCAAAAATAATTCATAAATGCCTTCCTCCTTTCGTACCTGTTGTCAAAATGTCATGCTGTTAGTAATTTTAAGAGAAGTTAATTAACCAGGTGACACATGGTGACGTGGTGACACCATCAGTTCTTCAAAAATAATTCATAAATGCCTTCCTCCTTTCGTACCTGTTGTCAAAATGTCATGCTGTTAGTAATTTTAAGAGAAGTTAATTAACCAGGTGACACATGGTGACGTGGTGACACCATCAGTTATTCGAGACGTTGTCGAAGAGGAATAAAAATTAAATTTGGATTGAGTTTAAAAATTCATCTTTATTAAATTCATCTCTTCCAATCAATTTATTTATTCTATTAAATTCTTTTATTTTTGCTTCACTCAGTTTAAGGATTGAACGGTAAGTTTCTAATTTTTCGATTATTTCTTTCCTCTCTTTATCGTTTTCAATTACTTTAGTTTTATGGGCATCAGCCCCACCGCATTGCGGCTTCTTTTTGTAATAGCATATTTTTGATTTAATTCTGTTTAGTTTCTTTTTATATTCATTGTCTGGACTCTGAATCTTAATTGAATCAGGACTCTTGGCTGCTTTGTTGTCACTCATTTCTTACGAAATAAAAAAATTAAATATTATTTAAATATAATGGAGTAATAAAATAAATCGGAATTTCTATTAATTTATTGTCAACTTCAACTAATGCATTGCCGTTAATATATCTAACAAATTCAGCTATTGTGTCAAATCTTCGTCTTCTTTTTGGCATTGATTTATTAGTTTTTCCATAATCAAGTTGAATCAAAACTTTATCCCCTTGTTTAAAATTCATGAGCCCCGAATTAATTTGTTCACGTTTAACATCATTTAACCTTTCCATTTGCTTTCTAATATATTCCCATTCTTTTGAAATATCATTTTTCATTTCCACTGGTTTCATGTTTATAGTTCTATGCCATGTATTATTGTAATAATATACTAACTGCTGTATGATGGAGTCATGATTTCCATCCCAGTATATCTGACCGTTAACTCCTAACGCATCTCTAAGAGTTCTCATTACCGCATCAACTATTTTATTATGAAACGTATATGGAGAAGATGAGAAGTAAAAATTAATTTGTGGGAAATAATGAGCCATAGCTGCCTGAAATCCTTTATCACCATCACCCCTTATATTATCTACTCTTTCATGATCTAGTAAGTATTGAATAGCTCTTCTTGTTTCCTGTTCTGTTTTCCCTTTCACTGGAATGCAATATAAATATCTAGTGTTAATGTTAATGGCAAATAAATAAGTAACGTTTCCTTTTGAAGATTCTAAATGATTGATTTCGTATGAATATGGATATGGTGCAAATGAAGGGCGACTAAATTTTTCCTTTAACGGTTGAATTTTTGGGTCAGTTGGTTTATTTAATATTTTGAAATCCTTTTTAAAATCTTTTTGCTTCTTTAATGTTTGAAATGGATATAATAAAGTGAATGATGAAGGATTAACTGAAGGAGGAGGAGGTACTACTGTTGGAGGTTTTGGTATTGCAAGTGATTTAATTTTATCTGCTTTGATTTTGGATGATGAAGTTTTTGTTGTTGATTTTCCTTTCATTAATTCTGGATGTATTCTATTCATTTGTTTTAAATATGCTGTATATAAAGGTTTGATATACTTTCCCGCTTCGAGTTTATGTTGAAGGATGAATTCCAAAAGTTGATCTTCATTTAAAAGTCGGGCTGAATATGGTTTAACTAATGAATCATAAATTAAAGCTTGTGCATCATTTATGGTCTGAAGGACCTGGGCGTTTTGCACCTTTAGCTGTTGAACATTTGCTACTTTCTCTTTTGGTGTTGTTTTCGGCTTTTTCTTCTTTGGCTTTTGTTCCTTTGGCTTTTGCGGCTCAGGATTATATAATTTATATAATTCATCAATATCTTCTTCTGTTAATACTTTATTTTTGAAATCTTTCAATTGTTTAAGTTGTGATTTAGTTTTTCCCTTTGTATATTCATTATTTTTAATTTTGTCTTTAATTTTAGAAATTACTTTATCATGATATTTCAAAATTTCATTTTTATAATACGGATAATAATAATCCATATCATCACCCGTTATATTGTTATTATGTTTTTGGAGATATGATTTTAATTCATAATAATTAAGAAAATTTTGATAAAGTACTAAATCATCAATTAAATTTTCTAAATCTGCGTTATCCATTTATATAAAAATAAAATAAATGTTTTAAGGGTGCCCACCTCTTTGAATCATAGTATCAAAACCATTATTTACATATTGAATCGCATCATTAACGGTTCCTTTTGTCTCTTCTGTGGCATTTTATTAAAAATAAAATTTTAAATTCATGACTCAACCCCTACGTTTTTAAATTGTATTAAATAAATGGCATACAACATCCATTTTCACAACATACAGCCTTAAGCGAGTCATTGACCCGTTTTTAAGTTGTAAATTAATATTCTGACCATCGAAAATATAGGGTGTCCAAAGGTGCGTTTAGCACAGCGCTCTATATGAGACTATTAAAGGAGATATATGCTGATTATAAATATATAATAAAAAATATGAATATATGTATATGATGAGTATGTTGTAGTTTGGCGCCATGCCGGGATATAAAATGAATTTTGAGACAAGAGGCGGTTTCGCGGGAAATTTTGGCGGGATTTTTTCATTTTTTTAATGAATCATAAAGAAAACATCCTCGCTCTTGCAAAAAAATGCAAAGACTGTAAAAAATCTACGAGACATTGGTAAAATGCTTCGGTATGGATGCTCCTAGCTATTCCACTGTAACGTATCATGTTAGGATGTATCACTTCATGAACAAAAAGGCGCCCATCATAAAAATTGACAAAAAATCGCCGGATCAAAGAAAAATCAAAGCAATTCTTCAAGCGCTAGATGAAGACCCAAGAGCATCACTCAGAAGGATAGAGGAGATGACAAAGATACCAAGTACAACAGTCAGTTATTATCTGCACAATTATTTGAACTACAAACTAGCGTATACACGTTGGGTTCCGCACAACCTTAATTCAGTTCAAAAAAAATCTAGAGTCCAATCTTCGAAAGAGCTCCTCTCTATATTGGGTGCGTATCAATCCAAGAAGTTTCGCTTTTTAGTAACAGGGGACGAGTCTTGGTTTCAATATGCAACAGAAGCCAAAATCATGTGGATCCCGAAGGATGAAAATCCGCAAACATTCCCGAAGAAAAAAATTGACACACCAATGATGATGTTGTCGGTTTTTTGGGGCGTGAATGGCATCATCGCAATTGATATTCTTCAAAAACCTAATACGATGAATGCTCAGTATCTAATTGACAATGTTCTTACTCAAATTATCAATTCTGATGAGTTTGAGAAATCCAAACAACAAAAACAAAAGTTTGCAATTCATTTTGATAATTCAAGAGTTCACAAAAGTCATAAGGTAATGAATTACTTGTTGGAAAACAATGTCAAAGTTGTTCCAAACCCAATTTATTCACCTGATATTGCACCCTCTGACTTTTATTTATTCGGCACGCTAAAAAAGAGAGCTGAAGGACGCGAATTCGCGAGTCCAGATGATCTTGAAAATTTTGTAAGAGAGCAATTTGAGCAATTTTCTCATGATGATTTAAAGCGTGTCTTTCAAGCCTGGATCGATCGCTGCGAACGCGTGATTGAATCCAATGGTGATTATATTTAAATAAACTTTATATATATGTAACTTGTTTATTTCTATTCGCAGTATTCAGGTTTGTGCTAAACACACCTTTGGACACCCTATAACTTTATCATTTATTATATCCAAATAATTTTTAGGTGTTAATTGTTTATTTTGTCGTAAACTAACACCTTTCATTTTTTGTGCAATCTTTTTAAAATCACTTCCATCAATTGAACCGTTGAATGATGTATAACACTTAGGGCATAAAGCAACCATGTTATCACCTTGTTTCTCAATTGCTAAACCCAATAATTTTTTCTCATGTGCTTTTTCTTCAGCTTTATTCTTTAATTTAGGTTTAAATTTCTCATCAAAACAGAAGAAATCAAATGGTGCGAATTTGAAAATGTTTTTATCATAAAATTGTTTATCGGTAATAATTGCTTGAAATGCTTGAGTGTTAGGAAGATTTGGGTCGCCAGCGATTGCCCAATAAGATGAATCAGTATCACCTTCAATGAAATGAAAACGATTAACATTCATGCATTTATACATAAAATCATAAATGAAAACTAAATACCAGTATTTTGCGTTATCTAAAGTGAAGAATGCCTCTTGTAAACATGTATCACATCTATAAAATCTATCTTTAAGCATCACTTGATATGTATCCTCACCTATTTCTCTATGTTTTTAAACTTATTTGACATACATGCAACGCGTGCCTTCTGTGCATTCATTATTTAGTCTTTGCGTAATTTTGTGTATTCATTGCATCGTAACCATATGATCCATTAAGCGAAATCTTGCAAAATAAACTTTTTCCTTTATTTCCTTCTAATTCAGCCTTTTGTCTTTCGTTCATAAATTCGTTCGCAAATTCATTAAAAACAAGTGTTTTTCGTAAATGTTAAAAATTGATTGAATATCATCGATGATAAAATGAAATCTGTCTATTAGATACCAAAGATAATAAGAAGAAAATGGTTGATATTGGTTGTGTGTTGATGCTAACTGAGTTAATTTCCTCTTTTCTGGTCAACTGGTAGATTGTTTGATTTCATGTAATATACATAAAACTGCCTATTGTTTTTCATCTGTGATAATATCTAAGTTTCTATTATCGGTAAAAAGTTTATGTAATCATTAATGTATTTTTCATCAATGTGACCCTTTACTTCAGCCACGAATAAAGTATTTTTCTTCTTAATTATTCCCAGTGCTTTTGCTTTCTTTGTTGCTGTATCACAAATGATAACACCATTCAATCTTCCCGGCATATACATTTTATGGTCAGTATATTGAATGAAATATGAGGATTAGATGAAAATGATGAAGGATATAATGAATTAAAATCAACACCAACGAAATGAGTCATGATGTTGGAAGTGTCCTCATTTGATACAGTTTTAGTTTCTGGACTATATGAAAGTTTATTAATGTGCGTGATTCCTTTAAGATTTACTCTATGTTGAACATTTGATAGACCAACAGTAATTCCATTACGGAGAATGTGATAAGCTTCAACTGAATCTAAAGTCATTGGTAAATTATTTTTTAATGCATAATTTCTTAAATTGATTCTTAAACGTTGAACATCTTCATCTTTATTTGATTTTACGACATTGCAATAACAACACATTAACTGACAATTTTCTTTTGGTATGTGGTTTTTCATTATCGATTCTATCTAATGTTGGTTTATTTGCATATGTAAACGCTTTACCACATTTTGCATTTAGATGAAAGGATTAAATCGTGATAGTATTGAAAATCATCCATTGAAACATTATTTTTAGTATCTCTTTCTGCTTTTTCATCTTGTTTCTTATATGATTCAATTTTATATTTCCAATACTTTTTCGTTAATTCAAAACTTGATTCTATCTCTTCCTCAGGATATTTTTCATTAGGATTAAAGTCTTTATATGCTAAAGCGTAACGAATCATTGAAGCATTCGATGATAAAGAAAGATTATGAAGCATGTCAATTTTATAAACAAATGTTTCTTCAATAATTTTATCAATTGGGTCAATCATAATTTTCAACATCTTTATTGCAATAATGAATAAAATATTCTAATCTATTCTTAAATTTTTAGCATCATTGAGATATATTTGATAATCACTATCTGATATAGTTTCTTGAGTTAATGCTGAATAAAATGAATCTTTCGTGAATGGTTTCCACTTTATATAATTCTTCTTCGTAATTTTCCCATGTGATAAATTGATAAGGGAAAAAGGATTTAACAACGTGATTTATTGTTTCGAAATCTTGAGTGAATTGGTCTAATGTCCCACCCGCTATATAATTTCTGATGTCAATAAATCTCAATTCATATGAGCGTTTGTTTTCTTTACAATGACTTGCTTAAATTGAGAGAAGACCCAGCATTGATTTTATTTTCCATTTTGCAGTGTTTAAATCACGAAGAATTAAATTTAAATCAAACTTTCCCGAATTAAAACCTATGATATTCACTTTATTGAATTCCTCATCTAGAAGTTCTTTAAATGCTTCCTTCTGTTTTTCATTTAATGTATGGGACAAAGTCCCCGCCGTTTGCGACTTCAATAATTCATTGTATTGACTCATATTTGATTCAACAACTAATGAACAGGTTGAAAATAAAAACTCAATCCAATCAGAAATAAAAGAATCACTCGAAGTTAAGCAAAAATTCCTCGTATATGTTTTATCATTTAATTTAACCGTTGATGATACCATGAATGGTTTTAAGTAAGCGTTCAAAGTTGCACACTCAGAAAGTTGTAATTCTTCTTTAGTCTCTAATGTTTCAAAGTCAAAAGTAATATAATATCTTGTCGGTTTATAATATTTCTGCAAATTGTGAGCTAATAACCACTGATATATCTTCTGTTTCGTAATATGTGGTGCATATGGTTGCTGGGTCTTTTGCAATTGAACGTCTTGAATTAATCTCCCATTATTTTCTTTACATTTCTCACAATGCTTTAAAAATCTTCTTTGGTTTTTCCTTTCTGGATCATCACGGATAGAATAAACTTCTTCTTTACAATATGGACAAACTTTATAGCCGGTGAGTGCTTCAACGTCTGTTATTCTGTCAGCGTGAAGTTTTCCACATGGACTCTGTGTTAATAAAATATTTACTGTTTCAAATTCTGGATCTATCATTATTGATTCCACTAATGGAAAGTCTACATTATTTATGTCCACGTCTTCTGGTTGAGGATCACAATAATAGAAATCAATATTAACATTTAACATTCTCGCTAATCTCTCACTTTCTGATGAAATGTCAAACCCTTCATATGCATCTATTGCTTCATTTAAATAGCTTCTACGAGTTTTAGGATTAACACCATCAGGAATGTTATAGAAGCGTTTAAATAACCTTCTACCTTCTGCTCTAATTTGATTATCATTCATTTTAGCTGTTCCGTTTTTGTTCATTTATGTAAGAATAAAAAATTAAAAAATAAATAAAAATAAAGTTTATTTTTTAAAGCCCATAAAATGAATTAAGAACACATAAATTTTTATCATCTGCGACGTGACGAATACATTTTAATTTACTCAAGAATGCGTACCCTGATACATTAAATCTAATTCCTGTCTTATTTAATTTCACAACTTTGAAAAGGAATGTATGAATAGCTATAAAATGATGAGAAGATGTTTTATGGGTTGCTTCCATTTTTTCTGAAATAAATGAATAAATATAATGTTTATAAGTTTTCATATCTTTTATGTTCTTAATAACGAATGGTATAGACCTTTCAACTTCGTCTTTCTTCGGTGCTGTTCTTTCATATGAAACATTATTGGTAATAATTCAATGAAACCACAATCACACAAAATTTTATAGGTTCCAATGGTTTCTTTTGATATTTTATCTAATAAATCAAAAACTTTATCAACACCTGTGCATTTATTTAAATAATAATTTGTGTAAATATCATGATCTTCTTTCTTAATCGTATTAGTTGCATATGTCACGTTTTTAAGAGCTTTTTTGAATTTTTCGGAATCTAAAGGTGGTGAAAATAAGATACAGGGGTATTCTTCATTATCAATAAATTGTAACTTATGTTTACGAATAAATTTAGTACCTTCTTCTGAAAGTGTTTCGTCTATTTCACCATCTAATAAATTTTGTGTTGATTCTGAGACATAATTTTTATATCTTTCTTCATGAGATTTCTGTACTTCTGATTCTGAAGCTGGGATATTCATTAAACCCTCTACTTCATTTTCATTATATTTTTCAACTTCTCTTAATTCCTTAATTTTTTCATCGATTTCATCTCTTATTTTTATCAGTCTTTCAATTTCATTGTATTCATCATCTTTAATCCGTTCTTCATAATATTCAGGGAAAACATCAGGTTCTTTAGGTTTTTCTTCTTCAGATGTGGGATATAAGAAATTTATAACATCATCTTTATTCATTTTTCCATCATAATCTAAATCATTTAATAACTCGGCAAATTTTTGACAATTTCTTAAATAATATTTATTAACTTCATAACCCACCTCCTCTAATATATCCTTTATTTCCTCGTTTGTGAATCCTAATTTTTTAACGTTGTTAGTTTTGACGCTCATTTCATACAAAATAAAAAAATAAAATAATAAACATAACTAGGTTTTAAGTTTTCGTAAGACATGAATTTTTAAAGTTTATTTTTTAAAAATTTTTTTATTTTTTATTTCATTATGGTAGTGAATCTTTTATTCATGAAAATAATTATTTCTAATTTCTTTTACTCTCTCGTATATACTAGATTTAAAGAATTCAGAACATTTCCCATAATCTCCTAAATGTTTTCTTATCCCTAACGTGTGCCAGTTATTATATGAAACTGAATAAACTTTATCTTTATCTTTACACCTTTCATCACTTCCATTATATTTATATCTCAGTTTTGATTTAGCATTTTCATATTCATTAACGTTTAATAATTCACAGTCTTCCTTTTTAAATAAATGTTTTATGTATTCAGGATTTAATACTCTACGTTTATATGCTCCTAACTTAGTTCTAAAGGTTTTTCTACAAAATTTAGGAATTCCATCCTCTTTAATGTCATCAATGATTTCCATTTCATTATTTTCAATTTCTTCTTCTCGTTTATGAGGTCTTTGATTATGACTCCATTGATTCCATGAAATTAAATATTCTTTATCATTATATTTATACCTCATTAGCTTATTTTGGCTTTCATATTCATTTAATAATTCACAATCTTCATTTTTAAATTGAAGTTTAACCCATTCAGGATTTAAACAATGTTTAATTAATCGCGGAATATCTGACATCATCTATATATAGCTTCTTTTATAAAAGATAAAAAAAATTATTTTAAAATTAATGTTAATTTTTTTAATGATTTATAAATAAATATATTTTAATGCATCGTCTATATATAGATGTAACAAAAAAAGTCACTAAACCCGTCATATCCTACTACTAAGATTTATTCCTTTTTGGGAAACTATTTGAATTGCATAATAAAGCTAAAAAGCATTGTATTAAGTATATCGAGCTATATCCAATGTATCTGTTTGAAATTACAATATAACGTTTTTAATTGAAATTAAATTATAGCTTTTGTTGGTTTATAGATTTGCCAAGTATATAACCTTCTTCAAATGTGATTCCAAATTACCAACATGTGGTAACGCATTGAAATAACCATTATCTGTAAGTTTATCGTAATTAATTCAATTACTTTGGCTCAAAATATAAAGAATTGCTGTGGCCATATTGTTTTGTGCATTTTAAAGGAATATAACTTGGTGTAGACATTGTTATAAAAAGAAAAGAAAACATTTTCAATGGTGAAACATGTTTAAGGTAATAACAAACAAAACATCTATAAAGTAATTGACATTATGCATGGCATAACCACTATTAATGTTATATAAACGTTCCAATAAGGGATCTTGTACGAGATCTAGCTTTTGGCAACTGTTGGAATACATGTTGCTTCGCAAGTGGATTGGGTCCGTTAAATTTAACTGGAAAGTTTCGCATTGATGAATTTGCAGCAATGGCTGGCTTTTTTTCGGGGGCAGGAATTAGAACGATAACGGTTTTATCTCTGAGATTGATTCTGTTAATTAAATCACTATCCTGTAACATTCCTGTTGGACAAGCGAGAAGGTATTTATCCATATCGACGTCACTATTTGCTTTTATATATTCTCTTATATCATTGCCTGAGTCTGTCATGCATGTATGCATAACCAATGTCTCTAAGTTCGGTAATTTTATTCTCAAATCAATTCCTGGTTCGCTATGAGGCTTTGCGCGAAGTTTAGTATAGAGAGGGGGTAACATGATATTCTGATCTGTTGCATATGATTCGAGATCTTGTGAGTAAAACTGTTCCTGTTGTACAAACATAAATTTAATTGTTTATTTTGAAATCTTAAAAAAAAAACTTATTCTGAAAAGTTATGAAAAATTCAGAACTTTGAAATGCCAACTTTTGAGAGAAAAGCTGGGAATAAACATTTCAAAAATAAATATGTAAATGCATAAATAGCATAAAACTATCCGAACAACCTAAATGGCAGCTTTGATTTTCGTTGCGACCAATTTTTGACAGCCGATTGAACTTCAAAATCGTCGCAGCCTGCCACTTTTAAGATTACAGGAATCAAAGAGTCCTTTGTGTTTTCATCTTGTGAGAAAAACTGTATTAAAATGGTCTTCAAATAATTTGGATCGATCGATTTTGTTGAATTTCGAGAGTTGGAGCTTGGATCCGCTTCAGACTGGAGTTTTTCGAGCTTGGCCTCGAGTTCGCTGACCTTCTTCGTCAGAATTTCGGCCTGATGCTGGGATCTGAGACATTCTTCTTGAGTAATCTCTCTTTCTGCGATTAGATCGTTATGGCGCTTAGTAAAATGAGAGAGTTGTTGCTTCAGTTCGCTATTTTGGCGATTAATTTGATCAAATTCTGAAACTTTTGCAGAAAGGTTTCGTGTCACTTTTTCTGAATCCGATATACTCTTTTGAAGGTTTCTATTCTCTTCTTCGAGGGATTCAACCTTCTTTGATAGGCTGTTCTTTGATGCTTCAAATTTCCTCTTTATGTTTTGCTCGATTTTCGCTGATTCTTCTTCAATAAACTGTTTCTTCGCAATTTCGAAATTTTCTTTCGATTCTTCAATCTCTTTCCTCAGCTTTTCGTTCTCATCTTGTAAGTGCTTGTTATCCTCCGCATTCGATACATCATTATGAACTTGTCTCAAATTATTATTTTCCATGATTTCTTTTCTAAGGGAGGATTCGAGTTCTTCGATTCTCTTGGTTAGTTCTGATGATTTGATGGCTTCTTGTGACTTCTGTTCGTTCTCTTTCTGAATGTTCTGTAATTGAACCGAAATTTTCTCTTTTTCTGAAGAAATTTCCGCCATCTTTGCTATTTCTTCATTAAGACTCTTCTGTATTTCTTCCTTTTCTGCCGTAACCTGCGACAAAGACGATTCAAACGATGATAATTTTTCATCATCTTCGGAAATCTTTAGTTTGAGAGATGAGATTTCGTTTTGGAGTGATTTGATGGAAGATTCTGCTTTTTCAGCCTGCGAAATCTTCTCTGAATTAAGATTTTCTATTGAATTTTGTAATTCTTCTATTTTTGACTGGAAATCGGAATTTTTCTTTATTTCTGCATTGACTTTCTTCTTTGCTGCCTCAATTGTGTTCTTTAGTTTGCTGTTTTCTTCAGAAAGAGCCGAAACTGAAGAAATCAATTCTGAATTCTGTTTTTCAGTGGAGTTGAGGCTTTCTTTTAGGGCATCTATCTGTCTCTGCATATTTGCGCTCTGTTCTTTCTGCGAATCTGCGATTTGAAGCATCTGTGACATTTCATTAGATTTTTTCAATTCATTTTCTAGTTTTGTCTCAATATTCTGCTTCTCTTTCTTCAGAGTGTCTATTTCTGATGCCAGATCTTTCACTTCTTTCTCTAATTCGGAATATTTTTCTCTCAAATTTGAATAATCTTCTTTTTGCTTTTCGTTTTCCTTCTTTAGAGACTCGTTTTCTTTGGTCAGAAGCGCCTTCTCTTTGGCAATTCTCGCGTTCTCTTCGTGTGCAATTTCTGACATTTTAGATAACTTTGCAAATTCCGCCTTTTGCTCTGTATCATTGCGCAAAAGAGCTTTCTTTGCTTCCTCTAGCTCATTCTCTTTCTTCTCGAGTGAGTTGTTTGCCTCTTCCAGCTGTTTTTTGAGTTTATCAAATTTTATTTCGAAATCTTCATTGATTTTGGCGATTTCGGATTTTCTGTCTGTTTCTGCCTTCTCCGAGTCCACTTTCATCTGGTTTTCCAGCGATGACTTCTCTTCTTCGAGTTTGTCAAGCTTGGATTTCATCTTTTTGAGGCTGTCCATTGCCTTTTTCAGCATTCCTTCCTTCTGGGAGAGGTCTGCGCTGATTTCTTCGAGTTTCCTCTCCAAATCAGATTTTTCTGAATTTAGTTTTGACAGGGAATCATTCATTTCTCTCTGCAGCTGTGACAGCTTCTTCCTCAGCTCGGAATTGTCTTTCTCGGACTGGGTTAGTTTTAGTTCTGACTGGGATTTGATTTTTTCGATCGAATCTTCGGAGAAATCGAGCTTTGAGTGTAGTTCTGAATTTTCTTTTTTGAATTTTTCCAAAATTTTTTGGAGGTCAGACTTCTCTTTCTCAAATTCAGACGATTTGTTGCTGAAGTCGTCTGAAATCTGCTTGATCTTTTCATTCAGTTCTTTGTTGGCATTTTCCAATTCTTCGCTCTGTGCAGTTGATAGCTGCTCCTCCAGATTTTTGACTGTTTCTTTTTCAACAGATAAAGAACTTGCAATTTGATTCTTCTCAAATTCAACTTCATTCAGCTTGTTTCTTAACTCTGAGAGCTGTCTCTCGCTTTCTGATTTGATTTCTTTAATTGATTCCTCTAATTTTTCAATTTGTTGCTTATCTTCATTTGAATTTTCCGAAATTTTGGCTTCTAAATCTGATTTTGATGTTTCCAGTTCATTCACCATGTTCTGTAGCTTATTCTTGTCTGTTTCTAGCAAATTGATCTGTTTTTCTGTTTCTTCGACCTTTTTGTGTAAATAATTGTTTTCTTTATTAATTTTCTCGATTGTTTCCTTGTTTTTGGCGATTTCTACTTCCAGCTGATTGATTGTTTCATCTGATTTGTTGTTTGATAGTTGTGTGCTCTCTAATTCCTTGATTTTCTGCTCCAGTTCTCTAATTTTTGACAAATTATTTTGTATTTCGTTTTGAAGTTCATTAATTATCTCTTCTGATTTGTTGTTTGATAGTTGTGCGTTTGCTTCTTCTAATTCTTTGATTTTCTGCTCCAGTTTTCTAATTTTTGACAAATTATTTTGGATTTTGTTTTGTAGTTCATTAATTATCTCTTCTGATTTGTTGTTTTGGGTTAAATCTTTATCTGTCTCTATATCTTTGATTTTCTGCTCCAATTCTTTAATTTTTGACAAATTATTTTGAATTTCTTCCTCTTTTTCATTGATATCTTTGTTCATCTCATCAACAATCATGTCTCTTTCCTTTGATAAGTTTGTTGCCGCATCTGAGGCTCTTTCGCAGGCTTTGTTTAATTTTTCATTTTCTTTTGTTAAGGAATCTATTTCTGTCTTCAGGGAATCGATGACCTGTTCTAGCTCCTTGTTCTCTTTCTCTTTCATCTCGATTTCTTCAGCCTTTTTCTGAAGAGATTTCGAAATATTTTCTTTTTCCTGAATTTGCACTTCCAATTCCTGTAAAATCTCGTCATTTTCCTTAGAACTGCTTAGTTCTTTGATCTTCTGATCTTTCTCAGCGATCTCTCCTTGTAATTGCTCAATGACATTCTCTAATTCTTTTATGTCACTTTTTGTAGAATTTACCAAAGAGAGAGCTTCTTCCAGGGACTTGTTATCTTGCTTGAGCTTTTGAATTTCTGATTCCAATGCGTGTATTTTCTCACTGCTGTCGTTCTTTAAAGGTTCAGGTGACAAAAAGAAAATTTCGTTTTCATCTTTACTTTTTTGAGGGGTAAACTGCATCAGATCTGAGTTATTCTTATCTTGCATCGGACTTATGAGCATTGTTTCTTCGGTAGCTGCAGAAAAGTCATCAAATTTCGGAGAAATGTTTTCTTTTTCCGAAGCAGTGGAGAAATCGCCGAATTTTGGTTGTTCTGGTGATTTCCCTGCAGTTGAAAAGTCTGGGAAGAGCTCATCTGTCAGGCGAGTTGTTGATTCTGGTTTCAGATTGCTTGCATTACCTCCGAGCAGCATTTTTGGCAAATGAGCGTTCTTTTCTGGGTCTTCTGCCTTTGGAAGTTTCAAGGACGAGAAGAATCCTTTTGAATTTTCACTTGGTTTCGGATTTTCTTCTCGCTGTGGCTCTTTTGGCTGCTCCTGTGGTGTAGGTGGTTGTTGTAATTCTTCCTCTTGTGGGGAGTCGGTAGATTTGTTTCGTTTTAGCAAATATAATTCCTTTTTAAGATTTGCAATCTCTGATTTAAATTTTGCTGTAGGATCATCATCTGATGACTGTTGTATGAATGATTTCAATCCAGAAAATAGACTTCCTCCTTTGTATTGTTGAATGATTTGGTCTTTTTCTTCATTTTCTTTCTCCAATTTAGTAATGTTTTGCAATAATTCATCTACTATTCCATCTCCATCTGCTCTTTTGCGTAAAACTTCTATTTCGCGTTCATATTTTTTGCGATCTTCATCAAAAGCAAGAATCAACTCTTCCATTTCATTATTACGCTTTAGTTTTTCGTTTTCTATTGCCAATCTTTTAATGTATGTCTTTGCTTCTGATATTTGACTATTCTTTTTCTGCAAATGCTCATTTAAAGTGGCCAATTGACGCTGAAGTACTTCTTTTTCGTTTGTTATTTCACTTACCATATTTTCGAATGCTTGAAGCTTCATATCTTTGGCTTCCTTTTCCTGTTGCATTTTTTGCAGTTCTCCTTCGAGCACAAGATTTCTATCACGAAGTTTCTTGGCAAGCGCCTTTAATTTTGCTGGATCCAAAGCTGGAGAAGAAGGAGCAGAGTTCTCCTCCATCTTTTGTTTTGAAAAAATGTATTGAAATTTAGCTAAAGAAACGAGAACATTAATAATTTTGTATCAAAATGTATTGATTTGTTTTATCATTTTTAAGATAATCATTGAATTGAAATCAGATTATTGAAATTCTCAAAAGCAATTAACCAAAAGTATGGTAAATGTATTATAAATTTAAAACATATGATATTTCTCTAATAAAATTTAGAAAATGGCTTGATTTCTAGCATAAATTATAAGGGAAAAAGTATTTTATTGATACAAATATAAAGTATATACGATATTCGATGTATTTAGATAGAAATAAAGTAAAGTGTAAGGTGACAGTTTATTATTATGAGGAGAACGTTTAAAAAATAAGAGAATCAAATGGAGGATCAATCTCGAAGTACTTCCAGTGGTGCGAGATCCGTTTCAGCTGCTGAAGACTACTCGTATTCATTTGATGCTGTTTGTAGAGCTGAATTAGAGAATTTATACGATTTACTTTCAAAGAGATTTAGTGCTCAAATTTCAACTATCCAAGATGCCGATAAAATTATTCAAAGCTTTGTAAACGAATTCTATAATATTAAGAAACAACTCGACGTTACTCTGAAAGACTGTCAGGAAATGCAAGGAAGACTTGCAAATCACGACATTTCACAAGAAAACGAAATCGCACTGCTCAAGAGAAAGCTCAAAAGAGTTAAAGCATACAAAGAGGAAATTGAAAAGAAAAATAGTGAACTTGATGCCGAAAATAAACAATTAAAAGAACAAATTAAAACTACACAAGAAAAATCAGACTCTGATCAACTTAAAATAGCAAGAATTGAATCTCAGCTTGAATGTATGAAGAATATGTTAGAGGCCACATCAAATGGTCCTCAGTCTTCTCAATTTTCAGATAACTTCCAGTTATTAGAAGAACTTATTGCAAATCAAAGTGTTGAAATCACAAGTTTGTTACAGCAGCGTGATAGGTTAGTTAATTCAGTTAATAATTTCAATAAATTAGTTGCTGAATATGAAACTCAAATATCTACCATCAAGCAAGCTAATATATCCCTTGAACAATACAAAAAGAGTGCAAGTGAGCAAATCTCTACTACATCTCAAGTTCTGCCTACCCTAGCTCACGAAATTGACCAAATGTTACCTGACGAAGTAAGAGATTCACTTGTTTGTGATAACAATACTACACCTCATGATTTTATTACTTCAGCTTTCGAAGCTCTCGTCAATTCTAAAAAAGAAGAAAAAGAAGTTAAAGTTGTTAAGCAAATTCCAAGGGTTACAGATGAAAAGTATCTTACGATACTCAGTAGGCTTGAAGATGCAATGTGTTTCATTGCAGGAAACGATTCAACTTCAAAAGATCCATTAACTCTCGATGATTCCCAAAAAACTAAGATATTTTCATTCGTTCAGAGGATTTCGAAGTTCATTGATGAGCAGATGTTCTCAATGAACGGTCAAGAATTGTCCAAATCAGAATCAATTTTTGAACCAAAGACATTTGCAGAAGCAGAAAGTAGATTCAAAGAATTCCTGAGCACAGCATCGAAAGAAGAGCTTGAAGATGCGCCACTAAGGGAACTATTTGTCTTATTTAATGGAGTTTGCGAAGTCAATAATTATCTTGTTGCGAAGAACCAAGAGATGAAGGATACGGTTCAATCAGCAGAAGGTCTAAAACTACATAACCAAGAATTGGCCAGACTTAACGCTGAAAACTACAATCTTAGAGTTAATCTCCAAGATAAAGAGAAAATGATATCAGAAATCAATGAATCAATACCAAAAGATATGAAAGATGTTAAGTCTTTGGTAGAATCCCTTACAAAAGAAAAAGAAAACACGATTCAATTAAATAACCAAAATAAGGAACTTGTAAAGCAGCTGGAAACGCTACAGAACGAGAAAGAAGTAGCACTCAAGGCGAACAAAAAAGTTTATCAAGAGTTCGAGAAGAAGATTTCAGAAATTAAGAACGACAACCAGCAAAAACAAGAAACCGAGGCCGAAGAAGCACTCAAAAAGGCCAATGAATGTCTCATGCAGCAGCTTGACAAGATAAAGAGCGATGGAGCCAAAGGATTGAAAGCCGCAGTGAAAAAAATGAAGAAATTGCAGAGCGAAGTCAATCAGCTCCAGCAGACAATCGAACAGATTCATGGAGAAAACGAGCAATTAAAGGATGAAAATGTCAAACTAGAGCAAAAATCAGATGATTTCAGGCAAAATCTTGAAAGTCAAAATGAATTTATCGCAACCCAAACAAAAGAGCTCCAAAAACTCAAAGAGACTAAAGATCTGCTTAAAGAAAAGATCAAATCTCTCAATGACAGCCATGAGAAGGAATCACAGAAACTGAAAGATGAAAATTATCAGAAGTTAAACGAGTTACGAAAGTCATTATCGACTTTGCAGAATAACTATGAGATTGAGAAAGCCAAGAGCGAGCTCACAGAGAAGACCCTCGCCAAGCTCACTGAGCAGAAGAACGTTTTAGTCGAGCAAAACACGAAACTGAGAATTTCTGAAAGAAGCCTGAAACTAAAAATTTCACAAATGAACGAAGCAGAAAACCTTCAAAAGGCATCATCGCAAGCCAGAGAGTTGTCAATTAAATCATCTCTTGAAAATGAATGCAACAAGCAAATTGCAGACATCAAGTCTTCAATCGAAGCTCCAAAGAAGCATTTGAAGCAAATTTTGGAAGAAATCTTTGAAGTGAAAATAGAAAATGAAGATGTTTCACTTGAAGAATTGGTTTCTGAACTGAACAAGAAGCTCTTAACTGTTGAAGCCAGTATCAGCTCGATGAAAGACGTAAACCTCTTGAGAAGGAAACTAAGATTGGAAAAAGACCAGAAAATTTCGGACATTTTCTCAGGATTAGAACAAAAGATTTCTGAGTTGAATGGAGAAATCAACGATATGAAAACAGAAAACAGTAAATTGCAGGAAGAAATGAAGTCCAAACAAGGTCTTCTAAACGAAATGAAGTCGAAATTATCTTCCCTTTTCGACTGGAATTCGTGGGCCAGAGCTGCATACATGCAAATTGTGGCTGGATCTGTCCCTCGTGTTTCTGATAAAGAGATCAGAGAGTCCCTTGACGACATTCTATTCGCCAACATTTCAAAGCGAACAGAAGTAATGAAGAGAGATTTACTTAGAGAAGAAAAGAAGATTTTGAAGAAAGTTCAAATTTCTTGTTTGGAATCTCCTGCAGTTGATGCAGACAGTGTTAGACCAATGATTGTTTCTTTGGTCTTTGTAAGAAGAATCAGAAGATTGGCAAATGAAAATAGATTCCTCAAGTCTGAATAACTTTTGTAATTATAATTTGTTATTTAATTATTGTTGTTTTTGTTTTATTTTTAATTATTTAAAAAAAATTAATTGTTTATTCAAGATATTCTTTCAATTCTGCCAAAAGTTGCATCAGATATTCTTCATGAGTTTGAAGTTCTTCTCTATTTGAATCATCAAGCATATCTTCAAGCTCAGAAAGTCTCTTTTTTCCGACCAATGAAGATGCAAATTTTCTAACAAATTCAGCTTTCTTCTCTGGTGGAAGAGATTCATCAACTCCAATTGGTCTACCCATAAATGTGAAGCGCATATCAACATTCTCACAATTGAGATCTTCTTGATTTTTCCTTACTTCATCGAGTTTTCTTATGAAATCTTGTGGAGTTTGGCCAGCAGGTAATCCATGAAATACGGTGTGTCCAAGTTCAATTTCAGCCTCTTTCGCCCCAATTAATTGAGCTGCTTTCAATCTCAAAATTGGTCGGTTTAAGACGTCACTAACAGTCAGTCTGTTCTTTGGATCCTTCTCAAGTAGACCTTGGCAGATTTCTCTTAGCTCATCTGAATACCTTGATGGTATTTTTACCTTTTGAGAAATTACATTTTTTGCAACCTTTGCAACAGTTTCCCCGAGGAAAGGAGGTCTTTGTGCCATCAAATGATACAAAACGCAGCCCAATCCCCAACAGTCTGCTGAAAATGAATATGGTAGGCCTTTGAGAACCTCGGGAGCGGCATAAAGAGCTGTTCCAACCTGTGTAACTGCATGATCCATCGTCGTATCCAGGGTCCTTGCCAAGCCGAAATCTCCAAGTTTGACAATTCCGCCACTGCACAAGAAAATGTTTGCTGGTTTAATATCCCTGTGTATCAACTTCCTATCATGTAGGTATTTAACTGCAAGGCATGTCTGAGTAAAGAAATCAATAATCACTTCTTCACAAAATAAACGGCCGTTTGACGATTGAATCTTTTTCTCCAAATCTCCGTCATCGGCATATTCCATTAAGATGAGTAGCTTTCCCTTTGTTTCTGCTGCACTACATACCTTGATAATGTTATCACAATTGACTGTTTTTAGGATTTTGAGCTCAGATAATGCAGCTTCTTTCTCTTCTTTAGAGGATAATGACCAATTTATCTCCTTGATGACTTTTAACTCCCCATTAACTTGTGAGCGGACAAGTAGCGCTCTTCCATAGCCACCTCTTCCAATCTCTTTGACGAGTTTGAATTTCTCCATTGATTAAAAATGAACTTGAAATACATCAAATTTGAATGAAAAATTATCGTTCCATAAAAACATAATTTTCCTTGTGATAGTGTTATTTTTTTACAATACATTTATGAAGTTAATCTTGATATTTATTTAAAGTTTTGTTGTAAATTTCATCAAATTCATTTTTCCAACCAAGTTTTTCTATTAGTTTGATAACATTCTCTTGTATATCACCAGGAATGAATATATCTCTTGTATTAAAGAAGTGGCCAAACTTAAATAAATTAAATTTCTTTTCCTTTCCGACTTCAGTTACAAGTCCATCCTTTATATCTAGTTTTTCATCATATGTGCAAACAGGATCCGCATTTATCAAAACTCTAGGAATTGAATAGGATACATTTTCGATCATTGAAGGAAAGGGTTCAACTTTCAGAGATGTTCCGAGAACAAAGAGAAGGTCTGCTTGCTCGACATCCTTATCGAGGTGAGTGTATAAGTCGTCATCATTGTAATCACCATAGAGCATCACGTCTGGCTGTATAACCCCGCCACATGAACAACGGGGAACTGCTTCTGCTAAAATTTTAGGTTTTATATCATCTAATGTGTATTTCTTGGAACACTTACGGCATGTTGCTTTGGAAAGTGTTCCATGCCACTCAACAAGATGCTCTTCCGAAAGTCCTGCGGCTTTATCAAGGCCGTCAATGTTCTGTGAATAATGTCTAAGTAAAATCCCATGATTTTCAAATAATTTTGCAAGAAAATGTGCTGGAGAAGGCTTGTATTTACCTGGAAGAAAGAATTTTATGAGTGAAAAGAATGGCTCAGGATGATATTTAAAATAATCCCTGGTAAAAATTGATTCTGGACGGGGTAAATTGTACTTTTTCAACTGACTATATAGTCCTATTTTGGGAGATCTAAAGTCTGGAATTCCAGATGCGACAGAAGTTCCAGCTCCTGAAAAAATCAGAATTTTTTTAGCATTTCCTTCATTAATGAACGATACTATGCCATCAAGATCTAAACTTGAAAGGCCTTTCACGCATTTTGGCCGCTGATATCGATATTCTAAAGCAATATCGTCCATTTTTCAATAAAATTTCTTTTTTCACAAATAAATTTAAAAAAAATTCAAATATCCATAAAAACATATAATTTAATTATCCAATAGTATTCAAATTTAAAAACATGACACAATTTTTTTTTCAAAATGATTTCAATTTTTCTCGTTTGCGAAAACCTGCTTACAGATTCAAATTCAATATTAAAATCAGCGTACCAAAGAAACTTAGTTGAATACTATGTTAGCGGCTCAGCTGCGCAATATATCAATGGATCTTATCAAAAAACTAAGCCGGAGTATGCTTTCGATCAAATTGACAAGAAATATGACTGGTGTTCAAATTGCGGACGTAAAAAAGAAGAATTCCCCTATATTGTCCTTGGTGTTAAAAATAAAATGATGAATGTTCAAGGCTATTACATTAAGGCAGGATGCTGTGATCGGGATTGCTGCTGTTATGAAGAGGGATATTACTGCTGCGAGTGCTGCATGTACAGCTGGAATTTCCAAATTTCAACCGATAATACAACATGGAAAACGGTTTCTAAAGTTGAAAAAGACAAAGAGATGAGGAAATGCAACCAGAAGACTTACAAATTTAGCGAATCTTACCCTGCAAAGTATGTTAGGCTAATTCAGACAGAAGCCTGCCCAGGAGATCCGCCATGCATCGCTTTAAATAAGATAGAGATAATTGGCAATACAGATGGAACTGAAGATGGTGTTTTTGAATTCGAAGCAGAAGATGAAGATATCAGCATAATTGGACATATCGGAAAGCAGCATAATTCAAATTAGCAAATAAAAAACACATTTTATACATAAAAAATTATAAACAAGTTAAATTACTTAAATTTTTTTGTGATTGATCATAAATTGATAGATGAAACTATTTGATATTTAAAGCGATGATTGTTGAATTAGATTTCAAATTTCTTCTTAATTTTTGAAATCATTTTCGAAATCATCCTCTTCTTCTTCGCTTTTCTTTGGTCTATCATCTTCAGTTTCGTTGTTTTCTTCTTCAATTATTTCCTTCTCTAATTTTTCTTCTAAAATTTTTTCTTCTTCTGCATCGAAATCATTATTTTCTTCTTTTTCTTGAACCTTTATTTCAACTTTTTCTTCGGTACTGATTTCTTCATCGAAATCACTTAGAGAATGAATTCCGTCGGCTTCATTATCTTCTTCCTCTTCTTGTGGTTGTTCCATCTTTTCTTCTACTACTACCACTTCTTCATGTGGTTGTTCTTCTTTCTTTTCTTCTTCATGAAGTTCTTCTTTCTTTTCTTCTTCTTCATGTAATTGTTCTTCTTTCTTTTCTTCTTCTTCTTCATGTAATTGTTCTTCTTTCTTTTCTTCTTCTTCATGAAGTTCTTCTTTCTTTTCTTCTTCATGTAATTGTTCTTCTTTCTTTTCTTCTTCATGTAATTGTTCTTCTTTCTTTTCTTCTTCATGTAATTGTTCTTCTTTCTTCTTCATGTAATTGTTCTTCTTTCTTTTCTTCTTCATGTAATTGTTCTTCTTTCTTTTCTTCTTCATGTAATTGTTCTTCTTTCTTTTCTTCTTCATGAAGTTCTTCCTTCTTTTCTTCTTCATGAAGTTCTTCCTTCTTTTCTTCTTCATGAAGTTCTTCTTTCTTTTCTTCTTCTTCATGTAATTGTTCTTCTTTCTTTTCTTCTTCTTCATGAAGTTCTTCTTTCTTTTCTTCTTCTTCATGAAGTTTTTCTATCTTTTCTTCTTTTTCATGAAGTTTTTCTATCTTTTCTTCTTCTTCTTTCTTTTCTTCTTCTTCATTATCTTTGAAATCATTTTCTTGTTGAAAATTTCTCTCTTCAATTGGTTCCTTCAATATTTCTTGTTTCTCCTCTTCATTTTCGATTTGTTTTTCATCATGGAAATCTTTTTCTCTTATTTGTTCATTTTCTTGATGAATTGCTTTTTCAGTTTCAGCATCAGTTTCTCGGTCTTCATTTTGATTCTCTGTTTCGAAGTCATCTGTGATATTGACTTTTTCTTCTGTTTCTTCTTTGACTTCTGTAATATTTAAAGAACTATTTTCTAATTTAGGTTGATTTGTTTCTTCCTGATTATTGTTTCTATTTTCAGTTGATGTTTCTTCCAATTCTTTTGCAACTGATTCTGATTCTTCTTTTTGTTTTTTATAATCACTTTCTTCATTCTTCTCATCTTCGAAATCTTCTTCATCTTTACGATATTTATTTTCTTCTTCTGACTCTGGTCCCTCTACTTCTTTAATTGCAGGATTGTAATTGATTTCTTCATTTGTTTGTTCTTTCTTCTTTTCTTCTTCTTCATGAAGTTTTTCTATCTTTTCTTCTTCTTCTTCTTTCTTTTCTTCTTCTTCATGAAGTTCTTCTTTCTTTTCTTCTTCTTCTTCTTCATGAAGTTCTTCTTTCTTTTCTTCTTCTTCTTCTTCATGAAGTTTTTCTATCTTTTCTTCTTCTTCTTCTTTCTTTTCTTCTTCTTCATGAAGTTCTTCTTTCTTTTCTTCTTCTTCTTCTTCATGAAGTTCTTCTTTCTTTTCTTCTTCTTCTTCTTCATGAAGTTCTTCTTTCTTTTCTTCTTCATGAAGTTCTTCTTTCTTTTCTTCTTCATGAAGTTCTTCTTTCTTTTCTTCTTCTTCATGTAATTGTTCTTCTTTCTTTTCTTCTTCTTCTTCATGTAATTGTTCTTCTTTCTTTTCTTCTTCATGAAGTTCTTCTTTCTTTTCTTCTTCATGAAGTTTTTCTATCTTTTCTTCTTCTTCTTCATGAAGTTCTTCTTTCGTTTCTTCTTCTTCTTCATGTAATTGTTCTTCTTTCTTTTCTTCTTCATGAAGTTCTTCTTTCTTTTCTTCTTCATGAAGTTCTTCTTTCTTTTCTTCTTCTTCATGAAGTTCTTCTTTCTTTTCTTCTTCTTCATGAAGTTCTTCCTTCTTTTCTTCTTCTTGTGGTTGTTCAATATTCAAAACGATTTCTCTTTCTTCATGAACTTTTTCGCTTTGTTCTTCTCTTTTGTCATCATAATTTTGAACTTCTTCTTCGAAATCTTGAATTGTTTGTTCTTCTTTCTTTGGTTCTACATTTTGTTCTGTAATATCTTCTTCTATCGTAGATTCGACTTCCTGTTGTTGTTTCTCTTCATCATTTTGTTCTTCATTCATTTCTACTTTATCTTTAGTTACTTCCTCATGCTTTTCTTTAATATCTTCTTCTTTTATTTCTTCATCAAAATCATTTTGAACTTTTTCTGTTTTTTGTTCTTCTTCTTCTTTGATTGTATCTTCATCAATTTTTTGTTCTTCTTTAATTTCTTCTTCGAAATCTTCGTGATTGGATTCTTGATCTTTAGTTTCATCTTTTTGAGGGATAAATTCTCTTTCTTCTTTGACTTCTCTATTTAATTCTTCTTGAGAGTGTTTTTCAAATTCTCTATCTTCATCTTTGAAAACTTCTTCAAACTCTTCATCCACTGATGCTATTGGATTTGCTTTATTTGTTGGTTCATCTTCTTGTTCTTGAACATTGTTTTCATGCTTTGTTTCTTCTTCGTAGTCGTCTTTATTGTCTTCTTTTGTTTCTTCTTTGTTTTCGTCTTCAAATGGTTCTTCTTCTTTATTTTCTTCTTTCGTTTCGTCTTCAAATGGTTCATCTTCTTTCGTTTCTTCTTTTGTTTCTTCTTTGTTTTCGTCTTCAAATGGTTCTTCTTCTTTCGTTTCTTCTTTCGTTTCTTCTTTTGTTTCTTCTTTGTTTTCGTCTTTATTTTCTTCTTTTGTTTCTTCTTTGGATTCGTCTTCAAATGGTTCTTCTTCTTTTGTTTCGTCTTTAGTTTCTTCTTTTGTTTCGTCTTTAGTTTCTTCTTTCGTTTCGTCTTCAAATGGTTCTTCTTCTTTTGTTTCTTCTTTGTTTTCTTCTTTTGTTTCTTCTTTGTTTTCGTCTTTATTTTCTTCTTTGTTTTCGTCTTTATTTTCTTCTTTCGTTTCGCCGTCAAATGGTTCTTCTTCTTTTGTTTCGTCTTTAGTTTCTTCTTTCGTTTCTTCTTTGGATTTGTCTTTAGTTTCTTCTTTCGTTTCTTCTTTGTTTTCGTCTTTATTTTCTTCTTTCGTTTCGTCTTCAAATGGTTCTTCTTCTTTTGTTTCTTCTTTGTTTTCGTCTTTATTTTCTTCTTTCGTTTCTTCTTTCGTTTCTTCTTTGTTTTCGTCTTCAAATGGTTCTTCTTCTTTCGTTTCGTCTTCAAATGGTTCTTCTTCTTTCGTTTCTTCTTTGTTTTTGTCTTTATTTTCTTCTTTCGTTTCGTCTTCAAATGGTTCTTCTTTAATTTCTTCTGTATTTTCGTCTTTAGTTTCTTCTTTGTATTCGTCTTCAAATGGTTCTTCTTTGGTTTCTTCTTCAGATGGATTTTCTCTTTCTTTAGTTTGAACTTTAGATTCTTCTTCTGTCTCTGATACTACTTCTTTGGATTTGTTTGTAGATTCTTCTGCATTGTTTGATTCATGTTCAATTTCTTTTTGCTCTTCCTTGAAATCATCTTTGATGTCATCAGAAACTTTAACTTCATGTATTTGTTCTTCTTTCGTTTCTTCAAGAAAATCATTTTCTTTCCGATCAATTTGCTTTTCTTCATTTACTTCTTCTTTTTGTTTCTCTTCTTGCTGGAAATCCGGCTCTGTTGGTTTCATTAATTCTTCCCTTTCACTGTATTTTTCTTCTGTTGCCTCTTCGAAGTCATCTTGTATTTCGTTGTTTGGTTTCTTTTCTTCAATAAAATGAAAATCTTTTTCTTTGTCGCCTTCTGATGAAATTATTTCATTCAATTTTTCCTCTTCTGATTGAGTTATTTGATCTTTCTTTCCTTCTTCTTCAAAGTCATCATCTGTTTCTTTATCTTTTTCTTGTTTTTTATCTGATAATTTATCATTATCAGATTCAGTTTCTTCTTTAGATGATTCTTTGTGTTTCTCTGATTCAAATTCTGATTCCAGATTAGATGTTTCTTCGCTTTGTTTAGCTTGCTCTTTCTCGCTTTCTTTTTGAGCAGAGTCAATGTGTTTCTCTGATTCGAAATCATTTTCTGATTTGGAAACTTCTTCCTTTGGTTTCTCTGATTCAAAATCGTCATTTGTTTCGTTGTAACTCTCAGTGATGATTTCTGATGGAATTTCATTGTTTTTGTTTTCTTCTTCTGAACTCTTCTTGACCTCGAATTCCCTCTCTTTCGGCTTCTCCTCCACATCAAATGTCGACAATTTCCCTTTAATTATATTCGAAAGTCCTAACTGTGTATTTTCTTTCTCTTTACGTGATGAAGAGATTTCTTCTTTCTCTTTACGTGATGAAGAGATTTCTTCTTTCTCTTTACGTGATGAAGAGATTTCTTCTTTCTCTTTACGTGATGATGAGATTTCTTCTTTCTCTTTACGTGATGATGAAATTTCTTCTTTCTCTTTACGTGATGAAGAGATTTCTTCTTTCTCTTTACGTGATGATGAGATTTCTTCTTTCTCTTTACGTGATGATGAAATTTCTTCTTTCTCTTTACGTGATGATGAGATTTCTTCTTTCTCTTTACGTGATGAAGAGATTTCTTCTTTCTCTTTACGTGATGAAGAAATATGAGGAAGTTTCTCAGATCGAGAAGATGAAACTTGTGAAGATTGATTCGATGATTCGGAGCTTCTTCGCAATGATAATCTGGTAGGAGCGAGATTTTGTTGAATCTTTTGAGGTGGTTTTGAAGAAAAAGGAGGGGAAACTTCAGCAGAAGTTTTCGGTCTTTTAGCAACATCTGGTTTTCTCATGAATGCTTCGTCTTTCTTCTTCTGTTCCATTGCCTCACGTGCACTCTCAGCAAGTCCCTTCGGAATTGATGACCAGAATGACGAAGGAGGCCTTTCTTCGATCGGACGAGTGTCGTATCTCTGTTTCTGCTTTCTTTCGTTTGTGTATGCTTCCCACGTGTCTTTTGGTGGTTCAATCTCTGGTAAAAGCAGTTCTGTTTGGTATTCTGGTTGAACTGAGGAGTAAATTGGAGCCAACTTCTTCTCCTTGCGACTGGTAAACTTTTGTTTGCCCCATGCAAGTTCGTTTTGCTTATGAGACATATCTCTGTTCTGTAATTGCATGATTAAGTCCTTCTTGTGCTGCCTGTTTTGAGTGTAATTTTCGATTTCTTTTGCCTGACGCTCTAACATGAGCTTCTTTGAAGTGCGGTAATCGGATATAAGACTGTCTATCTTATTGTTTTGGTCTCTAGCAGTTGTTACTTGAATTACTTTTTGAAGTGGTTGTAATTGAGAAATATTTCCACTTATAACCATAGATCTTTCTTGGTATTTCATATTAAGAAGTGCTGAGCTTGGTTTTCGATATTGTTTTGGTTTGTCTTTCTTCCAACTTTCTTCGAATTCTTCTAATTCTTTCTGATGCTTTTGTTTTAGATCTTCAAGATGTGTTTTAGTTTCATTATCGAATTCCTCACGCCTTTGTGTAAATTGATGTTCAAGTTCATCAGCTTCTTTACTAATTTTATCTTGGAGTTGAAGTAATGGAACTTTTTGGGTCTTTTTAGTCTTTGTATATTCGTTAGTTCGGTCTAATAATTGTCTGTAGTTCTCTGCCTGGGCAAAATCTTTGTTTGTTAATGAGATATTGAATTGCTGATGCAAATAAAATGAAAATGTACGAATTTTATCATCACTGTATTTATCAAAATTCCCTGTTTTCCATATGTCATCTCTCATTTCAATGCATTTTGCATCATCTGAGAGTGGTGTAAATTTGATTTCCGGTTTTTTAGTTTGTTTTGCTTTTTCATTTTGCTCCGATTTTTCTGATAGAAAAGAACGTGATGTTTCAGAAGATTGAGCCGTAGAATTGCGATATGGATCAATCCGGCGGATAGTGATAGTCTTCTTCCGCCTCATTTTTCTATAATAATAATAAAGTATAGGATGTATTACAACTCTAAATACAGTTATTGATTTATTTTGTTCAAATTTTGAAAGATTTTTATCTTCAAAAAAATATTATATAATAATAATGGAAATTAAAAGTAGGAAAATATATTCCACTAGCTAGATTTTATGTTAACACATGAAATTTATCTATATAAGCTAAAATCAAAAATATATATCAAAATTGATATTTGTGACACCATTATTTGATAACTTGTTAATATGCTCACAGTAATGTGACTTTAAGATTTGCACACAAGCAATAAAAGAAACAATCAAAAAATATGAGGGAATAAGAGAAAAAAAAATAAGATGACAAAGAGATATTCTGTAGTAAGTTTTCTTTAATACAAATTAAAAAGATTTACACACGCCACTAAAATGACAGAAATATTTTGAACAGAAAACAACTGTGAAATTGTAAAGAAGAAGATTTGTTAAACAAAAAAGAATGATGTTTCATATAAGTAAGAAAAAATTTTATTTATTTCAAATTAAAGTTATCAAAATTTCTTTTTGGAAAATTAGTTGTGTTGTAAGATAATAGTCAATAGTATCAGATTTAAAACAGTCAAATTTTCAATAGTGAAAAAAAAGTATGATCTTTTAAGAGGAATTATTAGGTAACATTGTATTAAATAGATAGAGATAAAAATTTCATTAGCATTGAAATTACCCGAACGATAATATCTTACAGAATTTTAATTTTGAGACGCCATCTCAAAAATTAACTCAATTTGATTTTTCAAATATGGAACGTTGATCATGATTTATTATCATGGTTAATATTAAAGCTAATAATGGAAATACGATTATTTCTCATTCAAATGTAACTTTGGCAATAATTTCTGTTGTATGCATCTTATTTGTAATTTAGAAACAACTTAATCATTAATATTTAACCGATTATTTTATTCTGAAAATATGTTTTGTATTTAATATGTATAATTATTTACATAATGCAAGCATTTACAAATATATTATAACTAACATAAATAAATTTATTGAAAGGTGTTTCAATTTTGAGATTGCAAACGTGCTACTTACGATTTCTTTGAAATCCACATCTATTCAAATTTACATCTCATAATTTGATTATCTATTGTAGCATAAATCTAGGTATATGTGTTACCATTCTTATTATTTTATTTTGATATTTTTTACTTTCCAAATATTTTTACAGACATATTTTGGAAATTACATGTATGTCAATCTAAATAGTAGAATATATTTCAATTTGTATTCAATTCTATTGTTCTTTCAACTTTTCAAAAGCTAATTACAATTGATTCCTATTCTTAAGGGTGCACCGGTATGTATGTTTATTTGAGAGGAGGAGGATTACCCTCTCAATTTTGAGGGATTCGTTAGTTTATTTTCTCGATGAATATGCAATAAAATTTGATTTTTACCTTATCAATATACTTCATATAATATACACATGTTCATGTAAAAACTTTTTTCCAAAATCCTCAGGAATTAAGGGATTTTTGAATTCTAAGAAATTTTTCGAATTTTTTCGAAAAAAAAAACATTTTCAGAACAGCCTTAACGGCTAAGATTTAGGAACAATGTTAAGTATCAAAAAGAAAGGAGGTCTGATATAGACAACATATATCGTTGAAGGTTGAAAAAATCTCTAATATTTGAGCCCAAAATTTCAAATTTTAATTTTTTGAAAAAAGAGGCCACCCGTATGTACGTTTATTTGAGAGGAGGAGGATTATATTTTTGAAAGGGTGAAACATTATGAATATGTTAATTATATAATAATATGTATTATTATAAAAAAGAAAAAATAAAGCACGTTAAAATTTTTCTTTCTTGATTTTTTACAAAATCTACTTAGAATTATGCAAAATATGACTAATAATTATAAATTTCAAGTTAAATTTTAATTTTGATAAATAACTTAAATTTCAAAATATCAAGTTCAGTTCGACTATGTATGTAGTAATTCTGTTGCATGCTAAGTAGTGTCAATGTGTAAACCTCTCAAATTTATCGTCGGGGAAGCAACACAATTCCCTCAAAAATATTGAAAAAATATAGAAAATAAAATGAATTAAGATGTACTTAAAATGAGAAATAGATTATGATATTAGATTTTAGAAAAAACAGACTTTTGATATAACTTTTGAGAATCTCTTATAAAAAAAAGCATTTAAAAATAAATTTAAATATCTTATTTATTTTACTATTGTAAATATATTCTGAGATTTTTAGAAAATAACACTTTTCATAAGTATTCAATATTTGAAAATACGCTCCAAAAAAGAATAGATTCTTTTATATTCGCTTATATAAAAGGAGACTCTCTATCAGATGCGAATGCCTGAATTCAGCACCTCTGATAGAGAGTTTCCTCTTATATAAGCATCTTTTTCATTCGTTTTGTTAATATAAAAACATCAAAATCTACCAATATGAGAAATTAAACCCTGCGAGGCACCAGTCTAGAACTGGCACTTCGCAGGGTTGAATTTCTCTTGACAAATGACAAAACTTGTTCGCAATTGTGAACCATTGCGAGCAAGTTTGCCAGATATCTGGAAGGAATTGCTCCTTATGATATATGCATTGTAACTGTATATATCATAAAGAGCAATTCCTTCAATTAAACGCAAAAACTTTGGTGCAATCGTTGCTGATTGCACCAAAGTTTTCGAACTTTCCCGAGGGAATTGGAGGGTGAGAGATACATAGTCTATCTATGTACCTCCCACCCTCCAAATCCCACTCTAAATGGGAGAAACTTTGTTCGCATGTTATCTTATTCAAACAAAGTTTCTCCCATTTAGAGAAGGAATAGGAGCCTACCAGGCACTGATATATAATCAGTGCTTTGTAGGCTCCTATTCCTAATAAAAATTTGAAAACTTTGGAGCATTTGATTATTGTATTTTGTCAAGAGAAATTCAACCCTGCGAAGTGCCAGTTCTAGACTGGTGCCTCGCAGGGTTTAATTTCTCATATTGGTAGATTTTGATGTTTTTATATTAACAAAAACGAATGAAAAAGATTTGCTTATATAAGAGGAAACTCTCTATCAGAGGTGCTGAATTCAGGCATTCGCATCTGATAGAGAGTCTCCTTTTATATAAGCGAATATAAAAGAATCTATTCTTTTTTGGAGCGTATTTTCAAATATTGAATACTTATGAAAAGTGTTTTTCCTAAAAAATTTAATATAATGCTTAGCACAATATATAAAATTAAAATATCTATAATTATTTTCTATATCACACTTTTCATTACACCTTGAAAAGTCTTCTCAAACTCTATTTTTAATTATTTTTTAGATATATCTCAAGTGTGATTATTCAAAAACTCATATAGACTATATTTATTTTTTTCATTCAAAAAATTATATGAGAATCTCAAATTAACTTGCAAATTTTTTATTTTAAAAACATATTAATAATCATATTTTAAGATACTTTTTCGCCCAAAAAATAATCGTACTTCCTCGACGATTAATAGGCTCTCAATTTCTATCGTTGACACTACTTAGCATGCAACAATTCCTCAATAAAGTGCCAAAACCCTATTAAAATATATGAACATTTTCAACATTTGAATGTTTTTATTTAAAAATTTGATGGAATATGAGCTTCAAACAATTATTATGTAAATAAAAATAATTAAATATATGTATTTATTCGTATTACAACCGTAGTAAGTCGATTCTTCCTTTCTTCTACTGAGATTTGAATTTGATTTCGAATTGTAAAGAGATTCAAAGGGAAAATACTAGCGGATAAAAACTACCTCCATGAAAGGGTCATAATGGAGTCAAGTTGTATTTTTTGATATTTTTTGCTTTTCGAGCCTAAATAGGTAGCCAAGATCATGCCTAAAAATAAGGTTCTAAATTCTGAAGTTTACATGATCCTCTCGTGCGCACCCTTAAAAAAAATAACTTATTTACACAAATCAAAGTGAATGCTAGTAAATAATCATCCCACACTTAAAGTTCAAAGACAGAAGAAAGTCCGTAAGTTATTCAGCCCTCAGGAAGATGCTATGCTGATGAATATCATGTTCAATGAGCCATTTCAGACCTGGATTGCTGTTGCAGAAAAGCTTCCAGGAAGAACGGCTCGGCAATGCAGAGATAGATGGGTAAACTACCTTGCACCGTCAAACAAAAACGGCCCTTGGTCTTCTGAAGAAGATGAACTTCTTGCGAAAAAATATCTCGAGCATGGTCCTCAGTGGACTACCATTTCTAAATTTTTCGATGGAAGAAGTGAGAACAATGTCAAAAATCGTTGGTATACTTATGTCAAACATCAATTCAATAAATCAACAACTTCAGCCAATAATTCTATTGTTCCTGGACATCCTGAGCGCATAAGAACTCGGTCTGCCTGCCCAGTTAATCCAATTGCTTTACCATCTCCAGTTGCCCATATTGACATTTCTTCTTCCTTTGCACAAAAGCCGATCCTTCCACCGATTTCGGTTTTCGAATCTGGCTACGGCCAATACCAACCGAATACAATAAAGTGCATTCCAGCACAGAGATTCCGTTCTGAAAGTGTTCAGCCATTTGCATTTTCTAATTACTCTCAGTATCAGTAATTTGTATTTGGTTACTTATTTATCATGCATCATGTTTGTTATTTAATTAACCATGAATTTTTTTAAAATAAAAACACTTGTGTTTTTGTTTCTTTAACTAGAAATATATTTTTCAAGATTGCAATTATAATTGCATATATATAATCTATTTATTTCCTTTTATTCAATGATATATTTTTGAAAAATTCGCTTAAAACCTAATTTAATAGGTTAACAATGATAGGTACTAAAAATAGTATTATATATATGATTTTATTTTTTCCAAATTTTTTTTGATTTCATGAAAACATCAAAACTTTTTGATAATTTGATTCTTAAAATTGATTTTTTGCCGAAAATTTTGAAAATTTTCAAAAAGACATAATGGGTATAGAAGCCTCTGCTGAATGGGCAACAGCAACCGATAAGAAAATCAGTGCTAGAGGTCAGGGGCTTCAATATCTTCCTAAAAGTTTGCTTCCAATGTCACCTATTAAAGTCATTGATTTTGCTGGAAACAAAATACAATATTTACCGCATGATTTGCGATCACTAACAGCTTTAAATCTATCAAATAATTCACTTGGAGATTTAAATCCATCCATGATAGCAGCCATCGACACGTACGTTCAATTAGAACAATTATCTCTCGAGAACAATGGACTAACAGAATTCCCACCATCATTTACCCAATTACCACTCAAACTACTAGTATTATCATCGAATAAATTGACAAAATGGGATTTTGAATTTAATGACCTTCAATTTTTAGGATTAGCTAACAATTTATTAACATTATTTGCTGGAAGAATGCCAAACTTAATCACAGCTGATCTATTTTTCAACAAAATAAGCGTATTTAACTTAATTGGAGAAATATTAACTACCTTAAATATAGTTGGCAATAATTTAACAGAATTACCCGATTTAGAATTCCCTTTTCTTAAGATTTTACTTGTTGAAATGAACAAATTAAAACATCTCCCGAATTTGCAAAAATTTGCTCCAAAACTTGAACGCTTATCAATATCAGACAATGAACTGGAGGAGATCCCACCTGTTCCACCAACTCTTTCTACTCTTATTGCATCAAATAACAAAATTTCAAAAATTGACGATTCTCTCTACGAAATTTCGAATGCTACAGAGATAAACTTATCATTCAATCTCATTACCTCCATCAAATCATTCAAGAACGAAGTCAATTTTATATATTTACAGAACAATTTGATCGAAAATTGCGAAGAAATCAAGTGCGGCAACACCATTCTCAAAAACAACAGATTGGAAGTAATTCCAGACTTCCACAACATACGAATATTCTCATTTGAGATGGGGTTCAACAGAATCAAAGAAATAGACTTGTCAAGAATGCCAAGTGTCTTAGTGAAGTTGTGTCTTCCATGCAACTGCATCAAGGAAGTCCCAAAAGAGCTGCTCAAGATGCCTCTTAAAACTCTGGATCTCTCTGAGAACGAAATCGAAAAAATCGAAGGGCTTCAAGATACAAAAATCCTATCTCTCAACCTTTCTGGTAATAAAATCAGAGAGGTGCCAGAGCTACCGCCATCACTGACAATTTTCAGAATCAGTGACAACTTATTAACAGAGCTGCCAACTCTGCCACAGCTGACAACGCTGGATGTAAGCGGAAATAGAATAAAGAAGATACCGGATATCGAAACGCTCGTGCTTTTGTATGCGTCGAGAAACGAAATCGAAGAAGTGCCAAATCTGAAAAGTACAGAAATTATTGATATGAGCCATAACAATATTAAGACTGTGTCAGATATCAGCGCTTCGTTCGCAGATTTCTCGTATAATAACCTTGAAGAATTCGAAGTTGACGATGATTATTTGATGTCGATAAAAGTTGCGCATAACAAGAACCTCTGCCTTGATTTAGATCTGACAATATTTAAGAGACTCGATTGTCTTGATATTGTTGGGATAAAAAGCGCAAAGTTGATATTAAACACTCAAATCAATACAAAACTTAGAGAAATTGACATATCAAATGAGACGGAATTGATAATGTCGAACGACTTCCCGGTAAATAAAATAGCAATGACGGGTAAAGTTGGCTACGCTGATATGCAAGGCCAAAGAGGAACAATGGAAGACGCCCTGATCGTAGATAGCAATATTGGCATTTATGCTATCTTTGACGGTCACGGAGGACACATTGTTTCGTCCCTTTCCGCTCAAAGAATTCATGAACGTTTACAAAGTTTACAAAATGGCTCTGAATTTAGAGAATTAATAACACAGGCTGTTGATTCAGTCGTTGGGGAGCTGAAAGAGAAGAAAGTCCTAGGTGGTTCAACAATGTGCTTAGTGAGAGTTGGCCAGGATAAAATTGAAGTGGCAAACATAGGAGATTCAAGATGCGTTGCCATTCTCAAGGATGGAACACAAAGACAGCTCTCAAACGACCACAAACCTACATATAGACCAGAAGTCGAAAGAATCAGAGAGAAAGGATCGTTCGTTTCCAAGGGAAGAGTACAAGGAAGACTCGCCGTTGCAAGAGCAATCGGAGATTTCGCAGTTCTCGGAATTGAGTCGGTTATTGAGTTTACGGAAATAGATAAGGACATTGTCAGCCGAATTGTAATCGGGTGCGATGGACTTTATGACGTCGTTTCAAATGAAGATTGTTTGAAAATTTGCAATGAAAATCAATCAGCTGTTACGACAGCTTATAAATTACGTGATAGAGCATTCCAAAGAGGCTCTACGGATAATATATCTGTTATTGTTGTTGATTGTTTATAATAAATATAAATTATTAGAGAACTTTTAAAAGACTTCTATGAAAAATTTAGAAGACATACAATTAATGAAATTATTATTGTAAGGATTTATTCAGAAAGTTAAAAGAAAATGAAAAATTTCATATTGGGTAATTTGATAATTTAAACAAATTATGCATGGATTGTATTAAGTAGTCTGATACTAAACCAATTGTAATACGAAATCGTTTGGAATAGAATTAATTTCTTCTGACATTGGATATATTTTTGTATCCAATCATAGAAACAACGAAATGTATTGAATATCTGCCGATACTACTGTAATGCTGGAAAATGCGAAGGTTGTTCAAAGGGAATTGATGGCAGCATTGATAGAATTCATCATCATTTTTGTTTTTAACTTTGATTTTGGGAAAAACAATTTGAAGATTGGTAATAGTAAAGTTTAGTTATCCTCTATTCATACATGAAGGAATTGAAAAATTCCTACTTAAAAGTTCTCATTTCTTGTGGCTTGAAGAATGACCTTTGGGCCATTTTCTCCGAGCTGGACTTCGCGTGTGCAAGAAGAATTGATGTCGAAGTTATCGAGTGTAATTTCTGCCTTGCCGATTTGCTTGTTATCGGACCAGAAACTCTTTCTGTTGTAAAGAGCGATAACAATTGATGAGCGGTGTGGGTTCTGGTACTGGAAGTTATACTCTGTGCTCTGTGGCTTTGCTCCAACCTTGAATTCCTGAGCATTCTTTGTGAAGTTCTTTTGTGAGCCAACGCAGAGCTTGAGTGTGCCTTGGTTTGCGCAGCCATTTGTGTTGACTGCAGTAACAGACAACTTGAACTGGTTGCCATTGCTGCAGAGTAATTGTTCGTAGCCGGAGTTCTTCAGCATCTGGAAGAAAATGAACTGATATGTCTCTGCCCAATCAAACTTCTTTTTTCAGAAATTTTTCAGACAAACCGCAAAATGGATAATAATGCTCATCAAATTATGTATGTCGGAAATGAGTCATATATCAATATTATAAAGTTAGTAGATCAAAAACCTTTTTCAGGTTAAATTCAAACGTTCATTTTATAAACTTCTCAAAATTGAAAAGAATTATCAAAAGATATTTTGAATACTTGATTTTAAGATATAAATAGTGCACAATTATAGTTATATTTCAATATTTTCATGGTATTTTTCTCAAATTCAATTTATATAGGTAAATTTGAAAATGGCTATTGATTAAATATGTACATTTAAATCAACTTGAATCTGGTAAAGTGAAATTCAAAAGTTGAATTCAAAATTTGAATTTTAGCTAAAAGTGACACACCCATGAAGGGTGTGATTACCGATCGGTAATTTCGACAGTTTAGAATTTAAAATTTTTTATGGAACTGTTGCGAGTTTCATAAAGAATTTAAGGAATATAAGCAAAGATTTGAATCAAAATCTTAGACCTAAGCCGCTCGATTCGCTCGCGGCTTTCTTTATTATTTTAAATTTGCATATTTCCATCAAAAGTTCATAAGGTAAAAAATTTCGTTTATTTTTACTAAGAAAAAAAAGGTTTTTGATAATAAATTTATTTTATTTCGAAAAAGTAGCAATAATCGTAAAAGGGTATTGATAGGCTTGCTAAAGTAACTAATTTTAGCTGTCAAATACTTTTGTATTTTGAAGTAAATTAGTATAAATTTGTTTTTACTTTTATTTCGAAAAAGTAGCAATAATCGTAAAAGGGTATTGATAGGCTTGCTAAAGTAACTAATTTTAGCTGTCAAATACTTTTGTATTTTGAAGTAAATTAGTATAAATTTGTTTTTACTTTTATTTCGAAAAAGTAACAATAATCGTAAAAGGGTATTGATAGGCTTGCTAAAGTAACTAATTTTAGCTGTCAAATACTTTTGTATTTTGAAGTAAATTAGTATAAATTTGTTTTTACTTTTATTTCGAAAAAGTAGCAATAATCGTAAAAGGGTATTGATAGGCTTGCTAAAGTAACTAATTTTAGCTGTCAAATACTTTTGTATTTTGAAGTAAATTAGTATAAATTTGTTTTTACTTTTATTTCGAAAAAGTAACAATAATCGTAAAAGGGTATTGATAGGCTTGCTAAAGTAACTAATTTTAGCTGTCAAATACTTTTGTATTTTGAAGTAAATTAGTATAAATTTGATATTATTTTAACTCCCTTTGAAAACCTCAATTTTCCATACAGAGGGAACGGGAATAGCATCCAATATTCCCTGAGAATGGTTGCGCATTCTCAGTTCCCTCTATATTTCGAACGAAGCTCTCATCGGTCTTTTTTTTAATACTAAACGTTTTTTTCCCCTGTCACTTTTAGCTAAAATTTGGGTTTGCCAAATTTGAATTATATCAAATTATCAAATCATTAAATGGACGATGTCATTACTAAGATTTGATTTATTATAATAAAATTATTCCAAATATTTAAAAAGAACCTACAAATGACACATTTATTATTTTGATAGGAAATCATCATGCTTTCAAAAACTTCATACCGTAATATATTGTTCCCAATATACTATAAGAAACATTATTTAAATATTTTTTTATCAGATAATAATTTCTTAAGAAATCGGTTTTTTATTTCAGATACTATTCAAAAAATATATGTCTACCGGCATTTATACTCTTTAGTATATTGCTAATAGGATTTTCTCATTAAAATTAGAAAATAAATTGAGATACTGCCACGAAATTTGAAAGGACGAAATTAAGGAGATAACTGGGCAGGCGCGACCTAGGTCTCTCTGAAAATTTCCACTTTAGAAGACATTTTCTTGTCTATCTTAGTGCACAGCTCAACTCCTTGATCATTTCGATCAACTGTTGGAGAGATTGATTTTTGAAAAATTGAAGCTTTTCTTGCTTCATTGACAAGCCTAAATGTTTCTTTCCAAGAAAAATTCAATTTTTTCTATTAATGGCTTCCATGCAATAATTTTTTTGCAATTTCAGAGCGATCTGTACAAATGCATTCGTTTTCAGATCACATTAAAAGATATTCTGATATTACATCACAAAATACATACTTTAATATTAATGTCCAGAGACAACTCTGATATTCCAAGTTTCCAAATTAATTCTTGAAATTTTTCAAAAATCATATCTTTGATACAAAGGTATTAATAAATCTGATGTTTTAGTTTCAAAAATGAATGAGCAACAAATCCTCGAAATTCTTTGCCATGCTAATTGCTATGGATAACTTGCTTTATTATCAATGAATTTATTAGTTTTAATAAAACACAACCTTTTCAAGGAATATCCTTCATATTTTTGGTGGCAGATGAACAGATTACAGGCAAAAATCGTAATATTGCACCTAGTGTTTTATGAATATTGCACAATACTTTATGTTAACATATTATCTTGCCTTTAAATGTTTGAACTCCAATTTTTCTTCTCCATTCCGGAATTGATTTTTTTGCTTTTCAAAAATCTCTTGATGAGAATATATTCTACGCATTAGTAGTCCTCTTTTAATATTACTCAGCAAAATTTTCAATGTTAATGTTTTCAATTTGTGTAAAATCTAGGCGTTTACAATGTTCTTTGCTAAAACTAATAGCAGTTATTTTTTATAATGTCATATACAAAGGCACTTCCCTGTTTTTAAGAAGAATTTTAAAATTTACAATATTGATTTTGCTCAATATGAATGATAAGTAGAATCCAATATCAAATATTTAAAATGTGTCTTTAGTAAAAAATAATAATAAAAACTATATTCATAATTATTGCTTAAGCTGTGGAACAAATCCGTGTGCGCGGCAGAACTGGTCGACCTGGCGAGGAACTTCCTCTAATACAGCCGCAGCTAGAGCTGGTCCTCCCTGTGCTCCGAACTGTCTAAATGGAACGAATTGTACGATATCTCTCTTCATCACTACTCCAGACGAAGATCTAAGTGGTACATCATCAGCGTCGAGGACATCCATTGCGCCGAAGTCAGCGGTACCAACACCGATGATAATGATAGAGAGGGGAGCATCTGATGCTGCTACAATGGCGTCAATTGTCTCTCTCATATCGTTGATAATTCCGTCTGTGATAATCATCAAAATTGTGTAAGTTCTACTTTCGGCGAATGATGCTTGAGCAACTTGTGTTGCGCTAGTAATTATAGGAGCGAACAGTGTTGGCCCAGAAAGCTGTACTTGAGTCAAAGAATGTCTGTAGGCGCCGACGATATCTTGCAACGATGGGACATTAGGGTTCTGTGGGTTAAATGTAACTGGGAAGCAATGGTTTACAGTGCCATTGATCTTGCAGCCAAATCCGAAAACAGGGAACTGCTGATCTGAGTCGTAAGGGCAAACAATGCTTCCAACCGACCATATACAGGTTTCGTATTGATTTGGCATGGAAGGATTGATATAGTGCAAGGAGTTTGGTGTGCGAGGGTCTCCGTTTGATGCAGTGTAATCAATCGCAGTAATCAAGTTGAGTTGGAGGCCGCTGCGGATGTAATCAAGGAATGTTGGGCGATGGCCAATCTGTAATGTTACAAATTTGAAGAAACCGACGGATTTGTTTTTAGTATCCTTCAGCTCGAACTCTTGGCCTTGATTCTCCATGAGCCTGTTGAGGGATGCAGAGAAGCTGCCAATTAGCTCATCAACTTTGCCGCTGCGGAAGTTGAAGACAGAAACGGTGATCGGTACTTCTTGATCGCCATTACACAACGACTGCAGAGAAACGTCAGCCTGGCGGAAAGTGCAGCTTGCACATTTACGGCAGTACTCAGATTTGTAAGAAGGAAGCAAACGGCCGGATTCGCTACCCTTTGAAAGGATAATGTATGGATTGTTACGAGAGAATGTATGCATCTTCTTAAGGTTTCGGACAGCAAGTTGGAATGTGGCAACAGCTGTGCAATTTGCTGCTTGCTCGCCAGTTATGACAAGCTGGCCGCGCTTTGAGTTATGATGTGAATCATGCAAATCAAGAGTAATATCATGACCGAAATTGCTAACGATTTGTTGGACAGTTGTTTCACACTGTCCAACAAAGTCATGTTTTGAAAGGTCTGCTTTCTCTGAGTCGGCATCATAAACACAAAATCTGAGTGGTTGATTTGTTTCAAAGATGTAGTAGGTTTTGATGATTTTTACCCAAGATGGGTTTGGATTATCCCAAATTACTTCTGTTCTGGCGGCTTCTACCCATTGTCCATTAATAGGGATGAAAACAACGCACAAAGGATCACTTTGGCTACCAATGTCAAGCTTTGGAAGGTTTTTCGCAGACAAATGGATATCAACAATTGGACTTTCGTTAACAACGTCTGTGGTACAAACATTTGCTATAGCACCTTGAGCGCTATTTAGGTTTCCGCGTTTTTGCTGATAATGGCTACCGTATACAATCGAATTCATGAAGTATGAAAAAAAATATGAAAAATTTTTTATCACAAAAATAAATTTTTGTTTGAATGATAAATTCACATTATATATCTAATCCCAAAGAAAAATTTATATTTCGAGGAAGTTAGTATTCAATCAACGGAACCTCATAATTTTTGTGAAAAGCCGATGATTGAGTAAATTCTAACCGTAATACATAAATAACATTTACAAACAAAAAACAAAATCTATATTATTGATATCGGATCCGCTCTTTTCAAAAATTTCTTTCCAAATTTGAGCTTTTTCCTTTCCTTTCTTGGCTTCACGCTCATTTAGATGCAATGCCGCTCGCATTGCGCCTCTGTCGGCATCCATTAGTAATTTATATATAACTTGAGCTAAATCTCTGACCATATCGCACCAATGGGACCTCGCCTTGCTTACGTTGTTGACTAGCAACCTGGCTGCCCTTGGATTTCTCTGAATGAAATTACGAGTTATTACCTGCAGCGCGGCCAGCGAAACTCTGAAGTTTGGCGACATCACGCAGTCACTTACTAACCTTACGAATGCTTCGTTTGGACATTTGACATCAAGTCTTGCAATTAAATCAAGGAATAAGCAAGATTTGGCGCTGTCGCTCGCAGGGAAGTGTGCTATGAGATACTGGCTGAAAAAAGGATTCAAACCAGGATCATTATCGCACAAAAACATGATTATCTTCTCTAAATCATCAAAGTAATCGGAAGAAAAGTGACACGAAATTAAGGGGGCGACCACATTGAAAGCGATCGAGTGTAAGTCAACTTTATTGAAGAGAAGGAAGTAATGAGAGAGCCTGATGCAAGGCGCCACTGAGACATGATTTATTGCCCCATCTACGAATGAGCTTAAAAGGGATACAGCGCTTTTAAATATAAAAACTTGATAACGAAGAAATTTGTCAAAAATTTCTGTGATACAGTCTTCAGAAGCAAGAGATTCATTCGCATCTGGTGATTGAAGAACACCCATGAGGGATTTTATGAAATCTTGATTGATATAGTTGTTCAATTCTTGATGTGAAGTGTTTTTGATAATATATGCAAGAGTTTTGTATATTATTGAGAGTGCTGGCCAAAATTGCCGAGAAACAGCAACTTTTGTTTCTGAATAAAGTAAAAAAGGAGAAAACTTTGGTAAAGGCTGAAATATATGCATTTTGATCATCCGAAAGAGGGGATCAAGGAGCCGAGGGATGTTAGAGGGCTGTCCATCCCAAATTCTTGGTACTAAATGATTGATCGAAGATAAGGTTTCTATCTTTCTTTCAAACTCGGTGAGAGGACTAATTACTGGGTTTTCTATCATATAATTAACCTTGTCTAATAAAACTTTTGATGGGTTTATGTTATTTTGTCTTGGTGAGCGTGGTGATTGTGGTGGAGACGGAAATGCAACCGGTCTTTTTACTGATGGGCGCGGTGAACTAATCGGTAAGTCTTTTATAAGCATGCTTAATTTGTATGAAGGTCTTGGAGATGATATTTGCTGCTGATTTTTTTGAGATTTTCTTGCTCCATGAGCTGTTCTTTTTGAATTTGGAGGCTGGGGCTCCCTAATCTTTAATGGAGCTAATTGGGGAGGATGTTTGACCGAAAGAGATATAATTTTCGGTCCAAAGATATTCATAAAGGTAACTTTTTTATTTTCCCGTTGTAAAAAAAAATTATTTTTGAATAGACTAGTTTACATTTTTAGAAAAATTAAGCTTTTGGTATGTCATCAAAATAGAAGACAGAGTTATACACACTGCATCTCTTAATGACACAATATACCTTTCAGAGAAGGAGTTGAAGCTCTTTTCTCCTTTCACCATGAGATTTATGAAGTTTCCTTCACAAGGAAGGATAGAAATCTCAAGGAAATTTCGAGTGGTATTTTTGGTAAGTGAAAAAGTGACAGCAAATTCGGACTCAGCTAAATTTAAATCGAAAACAATGTCAAGGAGAGGCGTTTTTCTTATTATTTTCGTATCAAATCTCTGACCAAGCATTTCAACAAACTGCTTTTGCCTCTTTGATTTTGGTGTTTCGATCATTACCGTAATCACCTTTTTTGTTACTGAGTTGATAGAGTTACATATTTCTTCAGTTTGGCCGAATGTTTGCTGAAGCATCATTTGGCAGAGCATATTGGCTCTTCCTTCTATTTTATACTTAAATGACATTTCGGGGTTCTTTCCTGTAACACAATTGCTACTATCTGTTACTACTTCGGTTTTATCGCTAGTGTATGCCGCAATAACATCATTCTGATTAACAAATGATCGAGATCTCCTTTTCATGAACAGATAAATCATTTGATCGTATGAATCGGTGATTCTGTCCAGATTCATATTCATCTCTTGGCAGAAGCTGTAAAGATCTTGGATTTTGTCTGTGAGCTGGGAAATATTTTTGATATTTGACATAATCGTCATGATAAATTCTGCCACAGCGTCAGAATTTAGATCCGAGTTTTGCTGATCGGAAACAAAACATACGAGCGAAGAGATGATTATGTCAAAGAAGAAGCTGTTGTAAGAGTTAATTTCGTCAAAGAAGAAAGGACAGCTCAGCAAAAGTGAACAAGACATGAAATTTGATGGTTTCCATTCCGCAATGAAAGAATTCGTGCGTTTCCGGAACTCAGTACTTCCCTCCTTTGATGCAGAAAGCACTATGTTCATATTTGTTATCATATCTTCAGTCACATAGCACTTACCAGAGATTTTGATTATTTTATTTTCCATTTCTTTGTTATTGGAAGCAATTGCAATAGAGATACATGATATTATGAAATTACAGACTATTGGTGTCACTCTAAATGATGGCAAACTATCCAAATAATCTACAATTTTCGGAAGTAAGCTGTACGACAGAGTTTGTCCACACAGGAAGTAAGTCATTGCACACTGAGCGGCCATAGCCCTTATGTCCTTTTCCTTGGATCCCATCATCTCCATTAAGTAAACTAAGTATTTCACTGCTGATTTTTTCTGAAATTTCTCGTTTTGTGAAGCATGAGCGATTTCCGATATAATTTGCAATGCTCTGACCGAGAGCGAAGGCAGGACCTGGAGGAGGAGCGACACCAAGTCCGTTGAGAAGAACCTCAAGTCAGTTGGCGTTTGGAATTTAAATGCCTGGAGCCATGTGGTTGCGAAGATGGCAATGATGAAGTGGTGGCGAGTGACTCCGAACACTTCGAGGAAGTTGTACACAAACAAGCGAGCGTTTTCATCTTTAGCGTTTAAATTCGGTTGGAAGAAATAATTCGGTGGAAATTCCAGTGAAGAGTCCAAATTTTCCTTTTCCGGATTTATAAACAGAGTAAGTTCTCTCAGAACGTGGTTGTCATATACATCGCAGTTCGAAGCGTGCGAATCAACTCCGCAGATGCACTTCATCGAAATCAGTGCAAGCTGGGCTGATATATGCGCTAGAACAGACTTGAGTTCGTTGTCTCCTTGCAAGTACTCGCTCGCCATTTCCATGCATGAGTAGATAGTGAACAGTGACCCAATATCTGTGATGCAGACATCACTAATTACATTCAGTATCAGAACTAACAATTTGGCAAACAATGGTTTCTTCAATTGTACAAGGGATTGCGATAGTTCAATGATAAATTTCGCGCTTCTGCCCATTCCGGCTGATTGAGCTAGGAATATTCGCGATCTGATGATGTGCTGCTCAATCATCTGCTTCTTTGCAACAGGGTCAGGGAAAGAGTTGATCATCGAAAACATCTTTATAATTAAGCGAGTCACTTGGTAATTTAGCGCGTCGTTGTTGCTGATCCTATCCAAAATGACAGCTGTTTCGTGGGAAGGAGCAAAGAAGGTGCTGACCAAGCTGAATTGGGGAGATTGCAGGTCATCTGATGTAGAAATCGGAATTCCGTGATATGAGATCAGAGAATTTAGTAATTTGTGAGTAGGAAAAATCAAGGAATCAGAATCGTTGATGAAATTTATGCCTTTTAGCAAAAGAATGCAAAAATTATCATCAACTATTTCAGTTTTACCAGATACACCTGAAATAGGAATGTTTATGAAAATGTTGACACCGTTTCCTAACTTTGTAATTATGCTCGTTATTATTAAGAAAATGCAGCTTTTTCCACAGTCAGCTTCAATCCTCGAATTAAGTATCTGTGGAAAAACATACGTAACATATAATTCAGCCCAATAAAATGATAATCGAACTTCAGAATTGCTGATTTTTTTCGATATCTCTTTTGTTTGCAGCAAAATACTATCTACATTCGGCCCTAAAGAAAATTTGTCAACTGTATCTGGATCACAATAAAATGCAGTTAGAAATAAATACGCAAAGGCTTGAAATGGAACGTATTCTGAAAATATATTGACAATTTGAATTATAGATTGCCATGAGACATTTCTGATGTTATTGTATTCGACTGGCTGCAAAAGAATTCGGAGGATTTCGATCATATTTACTAAAATACCTTGTGATTTAGTTGGAAATCGCTTGCATATATCTGTGGATAAAGTAAGATTATTGAGAATAAATGATTTTGCCTTGAGTTCATTTGAGAATTTGTCAGAACTTTTCAGAATCGAGTATAACCATTGATGAAAGCTCGAAACATACTCTTCAATACTTTGCTGAGAAGGATCATGACACCCTCTCATCCCTCTATAGAGAGATTTGAGGGTATCCTTCATATGACTATTTTTGATTATTTTGCTACACCTTTTTTTTTCTGATAACATACGAAAAAAGAATTAAAAGTAGCTCTATTCGCACGTGTACAAAACATTCCAATATATCAGTATATTTCAATGTTTTTCGGCTCAAGATATTATATTTTCATGAATTTCGAAATTTTGGAAGATATAAATATCATAGATTTAGCTAATGTTGGCCAAGGACATTATAGATGTTCAATGCTTATTCGCTTTTCTGTAATAAAACATCATTATTAGACTTAATGGATCTGGAAGAATAAATAATTCTAGTCTGTAACAAAAAATATTCTCACTAAAAACATATGGAAAACACATTTTTAAATGTATTGACTAATTACCTGTTTAAGATGTTTAAAATGTGACTTGTATATTGAACTTCATCGATATTATAACAAACCACAGCACTCAACTATTGGACATCACATAATTAAATTTTATTAAAATCCGTATTAGTTTACTAAAAGAAATACATAATAACAAAAATAACATGACAAAATACAAAATACTGAGTTTCAAGCAACAGTCATATAATGACTTACTTCATGAGGAAGGATAATTTCCCATGGTCTAGATGTTAAAATCTCAGGGAAGGTAATCTTTTGGTAAAACTTGGCTTCCTTTTGGGTATTTTCAGCAGGGACTTCATGAATAGACTCTTGAATTGGTTCATGTTGGCTTTCTTCAGCTGATTGGCTTGTTGAGTCATATTTTGGGAAGTTTTTACAAAGATATTTATGCCATCTGTTCTTGACATTATTGCCAGATCTTCCATTGAGAAATTGAGAAATCTTGACCCAATGTGCTCCAAATATCTTATATTTTGCAATAATTAGTTGATCTTCTTCTGGAGTCCATGGCCTCTTTACAAGTCCTTTAAATAAATAATTCTTGTAGCGATCACGGCATTGGCGTGCTGTACGACCGGGAACTCTTCTTCCTATCTCAACCCAACTTTTAATTCCTTTCTTCTCATAAAGATATTGAATTAATTGGTCTTCTTGCTTAGTAAAGCGTTTTCTAAGTGTCCCATTATCAACAGAATATTCCTGCAAGTCAACAGAATCAAACATGATAAAATTTGAAAATGAATAATTCTCTCAAAAGTATAAAACCACAAATTTGGAGGAATTATTTGCATTCCATTCGTATATCATTATTCTGAGTTTTTGATTTGAATAGAGGTTCTTTTGAGAATTTATCGGTTTGGCAATGAAACTCTTGAAATTTGTTTAAAAATCAGCAAATTTATAAATAGAATCTAATATAGAAAATTAAATGTCAAAAAATAACTGCACTTTTTATTAAAAACAGATTTCAACCGCAAATAACAATAGATTTTTGAGTATACAATTCAAATTATTTATATAGAGAGACATGAGATAACATTGTATTAACTTTTATCCGATCAATTTTTTTATTTTTTATTGTTATGAACTTTTGAATGAGAAATATGTTTTATGATGATTATTTTTTCAATAAGGAGAAGTGGATGTTTGGATTTACATTCGATATTTAAATTTCAAGATCATTCGAATATGATTTATAATTACAATTTTCTGAGGAAACCGCCTTTTCCTAAATTATTTTATAACCAAATCTTGTTCATTACCATATGGTTTGAAAACAACCTTCTTTTCAGTTATACGTTGATTATCGAATAATTTTCTCAAAAATTTCTTCAAATTGATTTCACGCGAAAATTCATTTCAGCTTTTTGGCACAATATTTCAAAAACAATATTTTTATTAATCTCATTTTGTTGCGATCCTTTCAAAATCATGATTATATTTTTGAGAGCAACAATGGGAAGGTTAAAAAGAATTCTTTTATACTTGATTACATAGAAAATATTTAGTCGATATGAACATTTTCAATAAAAATATTATTTCAAAAAAATTTTTAACCGTAAAAATGTATAATTAGATGTTAACATTTTAAAAACACTACGTATACACCTAAAGATGAATTTTATTTCTGCATAATATTATCGATTGACACATCTTGAATTTGAATTTTGTATTATTCAAAATTATGCAGCATAACATATATTGTATCCTCGATGTTATCATTTTATCAAATAAATTACGAAATTTTAAAAAATCTCTTTAAATTCAAAACATATTATTAGGTTTTCAAAGCATATTTTATGACTTATGTACCTATCAAATACATTTCTTAGTATAAGACTATCTAATATAAAAGTACACTCGTAAATTTGTGTTTTTACATGTATTAATCGATTAATATTAAAAAAAGTTTTGCAAATAAAATAGTATAATTATATAACAAATATTTATAACATAAATTCTATAATCTATTTAATTAAATTTATTTCCTGACATGTCTTGATCTTTGTCTGCGATCATTCTCAACATAATGTGTTCAAGTGCTTCAACGGTGATAGTGTATCCATTTATTCCCAATTCTTTGACACTTTCATCCATAATTTTGAGCAATTTCAGAACTTGATCACAAACAGGAACCATAATTGAATCTGCCATTTCATAGTCTAAAACAGCACTTGGGACTGTTTGCTGAACGAGTTTCAGCACTTCTTCAGCTTTATCTACAACTTGTGTTTCATCGTCCATCAAAAACTTCAATCTGTATCCACATTTATATTTAGCACGTAATTCTGAAGGGGTTCCCATAAAAATTAGGTTTCCACCGTCCATCACGAAAATTCGACTTGCGACGCTTTCGCCTTCTTCCAAACTGTGGCTTGCAATGAGCGTAGTGGTATTCTCAAAGTAAGAGGCAATCTTCCAAAGAAGCTGTCTTCGGTAGACATCAACTCCAGATGTCGGTTCGTCCAAGATTACTAACGGTGGCGCGCCAATGTAGGCCATTGCGACTGAAACACACCTCTTCTGACCGCCAGAGAGCTTTGCAGGGTCTTTGTTCAAAAGATCTTCGATTCCAAGTTTGGAGGTAATATAATCAATATGGTCTTGGATCTCTTCCTTTGAAGCTCCTCTTAATCGGCCGAAGAATTGTAGGTGCTGCTTAACGTTCAATCCTTCTGCAAATACATTTTCTTGGTAGCAGAAGCCAGTACACTTCTGGAGGTCAATGAAGTCAGCATTGAAACCATTCACCTTGAGTTTTCCTTCATCACATGGAATTGCTCCTGTTAATGAAGATAATAATGTAGTTTTTCCGCTTCCATTTGGACCTATAATCAAAATTGTTTCTCCACGACCTACAGTGAAGTCAAGAGAGTCAATAGCTTTTATTGTTTTCTTACCTGTATATACTTTTGTGAGGTTCGAAACAGAAAGATAGGGGGTGTCACCTAAATTTGCAGGGACTACGTCATTTTTGAACTTGAAGAACCTTTTCCAAGCCGACAGAGAGAACATTTTTGTTATTCCTATCTCAGGAATACCCCATTTTTTCGGGGCTATCAAAATCATGAACACGAAAATAAAAGTTAAAACAATAATTTGAACAACTAAGGCAGCAATAAGAGTTTTGTTCGAATGAACTACGTATGGATGATCAGGATCTATCTCAGCTTGGCCCATGTTAGAGAAATAGCTCTGTACAGTGCAAGCCGGAAATACTAAATCTAAATGCTGGTATTGGAAGCCAGGGATTATGGCTATGGCCCAGCCAACTTCTACAGTAATCAAGTAATAAAGGACGAGGAATCCAAACTTCTTAGGAGTGTTAAAAAGAGGAACAAAACAAATTCCAATAAAATAAAGGGAAAAAGACGCAAGTAGAAGAAATGCATACAATTCTCCGAAGTTAACTTTAGCACTTCTGTATGCATCGTGCGTTGTTTCGAAAATTGCAAAAATCAAAGAAGAAACAACACAAAAGAACAGGTCTATAAAGACAAAACCAGCCCAGAGGATTATATCACTAATACCAGATGTGTTCATGAGCACTAATGTCTTATCATGCATCCAATTACTCAACATGTTAAAATTACTTGTCATATAAAAGAAATAAATGGTTACGAAGATCCAAACTTCCTAAGCAAAAGCTTTGCGAGTTTTGTAACTTCTATATGAATAAAGAGACGCATTAGTTTGCGAAATATTTTGCATTTTTGAAATCTTGTCTAGGAAGATGAAGTGATCGCTTGAAAAAGAGGTAATATTGATTTTGGTTAGATTATCTGAAGAACTGATATCGTATGTATCACCTTTATCAAAAAAATAAGTTCCGCCTGTTGTGTTCTTGTATCGAATTAGTTCTGGATGAAGAGATTCGTATGAGATGTTACCAATAAGTCTATTTTCAAATGTATCTGGGCGAATAATAATTTTGTTTGATTGTGGATATTCTTTGATTGCGAAATAATAAGAAAATGTGAAATTTTTAGAAGGAACAGTATTTATATGCGTTGCATTGGCGGCATTAGCAAAAATTAAAGAAAAGGAACAGAAAAATAAGGGCCAATAGCGGTAAGATTTTGCACGCATCAGTATTACTATACGCATCCAGCATCTAAACGAGTTTATAGATGTCAATTTACCTGTACCTTTGCTTATGTCCATTAAAGATCGTTTAATTTCAATCATTTCTCCTTTTTAACAAAAATATCCTCATCGTGATCCAAAATTTTCTGAGAAACAAATCAAAATTGATCGCGAATTTAACATTGAATTTTAACTACTTTATTAATAAAAAACAAACAAATAAACAAAGGGAGATTTCCAACTATTTTTGTCAGCTTTCATATGAATTTATCGGCTTCGAAAAATACACATGCAAAGAATGCCAATTCAGAGATATTTCCCATTATCGCAGGCATGTTAATCATTTTAAATACCTTTTGCTTTTGTTTCTTTTATTTCCAATACACATCGAATATATTTTCATCTAGCTGATACTTTCCTTATTTAAGTGGACAGACCAATAAACAGAGAGGGAAAAGCTTCAGAATCAACTTGTGGAACTGCAAGCAGATATTGAAACAAAATCCTAGCACTTTAAAACAACAAAATTCATTGAGTAGTAGTCTATATCTTTATACAATAAGATGTCACACTGCACATGATATAAGCAGATTTTGTTTCAGAAACAATTGAGAAGACAATTGACTCTTCTTACTCATTCAATTCTACTTGTTCAGCATCTGGCTCATTCGTGTTCTATCTAGCGATAATTGTGCATGTGTATGAGTATTTTTCCCTACTCGAATCGAGGGTCTCACCAAATGATAATTTCAAACAGTTAGTGACATCAGATATCTTTCATTTTAGGCATACAACTTGACAATAGTGATTTTATTAAATATATAAAATTAAATTAGGCTTATTTGGATAGTTTAATCGATTTTACCTCAATAAATCAATAAACACGCGTTATACATATCTTATTAGTTATAAGTTTTCTTCATCTACCATACCGGTAACTGTTATAACTATTTTTCGCGAGCCTCCGCGATTCCTGTGTTCATTAAGGTAAATTCCTTGCCATGTTCCTAAATTTAGCTGTCCATTAGTAATTGGTATATTTAAAGAAACACCCATGACAGAAGATTTAACATGAGCTGGCATATCATCGGCGCCTTCATCAGTATGATCCCATGGAAAGTTTTCTGGAATTGTTTTATCCATCCAAGCATTGAGATCTGTTCTTACATCAGCACAACAGTTCTCATTAATAGTAATCGAAGCGCTTGTGTGTTGAATGAGTAAATTCATCAGGCCTGCTGTTACTTTTTTCATTTCTGGGATTTGCCTAACAATAAGTTCAGTAATTAAATGGGAACCACGTGGATAGTTTGGGAGAGAAATAGTTTTTTGGAAACATTTCATCATTTTTTACAAAAATATAATTGACACTTTTTACTCATACAAAATTTCAATTCGATTTTTTTTCAGCACTTTTTTCGATTCCAAGAGGCTCAACATCAAGAGATTGTGATACAATGCATTTGGCTTGCACCTTGAAATCCTCAACGTTTGTAGTGGCGATTTTCTTCCAAGCTGTGCTGAGAGTCAAGAAAGAAAATGAAAACTTTTGTGGGAGCATGAGTGCATTTACGTATGGCTCATACAATGAGATAAGATGTCCTATCTCAATCTGCTGCGAGATAAGAAGTAAAACAACTAAAACGTCAATGATATCATCCACACAAAGCAAATGATCGGATAAAGCAGTGAGCTTGCCTGATGTACGCTCTTCAAGATCTCTTTCGATCATGCATGCCGTTTCTTGGAGTCTATCGATGATTTGAAGTGTTAAGTAGCAAAAATCGATTGGGTTGTATTGATATTGAAGATCTTCCAGATGGAAAATGACTGTCGAATAAGGGTTGTCGTTTCCAATCGTTGAAATTGGAATCGAAATCAGTAAATTCGGGAACATTTTCTTATTTGCAATGAAAACATCCATGGAGTAGTTCCTGAAAAACTGTATTCTTGAGGCGATTTCTTTACTTTCTTCATCTGACATCGGTTTGAAAATCTTTGGGTATAATTTTCCAAACATTTGGCGAGAAAGAAGGATGAAAAAGATTTCTTTAGCCTTTTCATCTTTCTTAATGGCCTTGTCAGCAAAGAATTCGGAAATCTCAAATAAAACTTGTCCTGAAACACTCGGATTGTTCAGAATTAATTCCATTCCTTTGTAAAATTTGGCAAGTCCATCATCATTTTTGTAAAGTGTGAAATATTCTTCAAATAAATGATCTGCCTCACTAATTGGATAAAATGATTGCTTTGGATCATAAAATTTTCCAGAAAATCCATAAATTCCTTTTTCATGATCCATATACCAGGCACGATTTGGATCTTTGCATGATCGTATTCTTCTTCTGATTTTCTTGAGATGCGATTTGATTTGAACAAGCTTTGTATCAAGCTTGAATGCATGTAATATTTCTCTGATAATTTTCCTCTGAAATTCGATATTAAAAACAAGATGTAATTGTTGCATGTCATCAATAAATTTCTGAGCCATGATTAGATGTAGTATTACGTCATCGATAAGATTCGAATATTGCTCAAGCTTTTTGATTTTATGATGACATCTTAATGATTTCCAAAGATATTTTTGATTTCTTGAAATATCATTAAACTGAGCTCTGTACATTACTTCTTTCTTTCTTAATCGAGAAACTTTGCGGCAATGATCAGCTTGTTTCTTTTTGTAATCAGCAATTTCTTCAATAACTTTATCGTAAACAGTCTGTATCGATTCCAATGCCTTGTTGTATGCTTTGTAATCATATGGATTAACATGATAAACTTTAAATAATTGGTATTCAATAAATGTTGCTGATGAAAGAAATTCTCGCTCTTTATCTGTAAAAGGCCTAACTAGATTCTCAATGTTATCTATTTTGGACAGCTGTCTTTGCTTCTTTTCGTCAGTTGTCATATTTTATATTTTTTATGAAATTTGACACAAAATTTTGAAGATACCGATTATCCATATTATATTTCCGAAAATAAGATATCCTTGGATAATAGTATTGAATGTTGGCATTCCTTTCAATCTTTCATAAATTTATGGGGAATACACTTTAATTAATTGGGGAATGATCGCAATCAGTATTGAATTAATTTAATAATTGGCTGGCCACTTATATATTTCCAAAAATGGATTACGAAGCACGTTTGAACAAGGAATATATGCTTCACTGCCTCAATATTCTTGCACATTTTGATGGCGTTAATCTTCCAGCTGGTGTTACAGAAATTAAAGCTGCTGGCGGACAAAATGAAAAATTACCAGTTTATTTTATTGCTTCAGAAGGTAATGATTATTTCGTATGCACCCGTGGAGCTACAGATGCTAATGATTTTGAAATTGTTCTCGAAATCGATCTTGTTCCTTTCTTAAATGGAAAAGCTCACAAGGGAATTTTAGACGCTGCACGCAAAATTGTAGAAGACAATGAGGAAATTCTTAAACAATGCAAAGGCCAAATCCATGTTATTGGTCATTCTCTTGGTGCTGCAACATCAATTGGTGTTTCCACCGTTTTAAGACTCGAAAAGCATTACACGAATGTTGATTGCTACAATTTCGCACAGTTCCCAGTATTTTCAAAGGAAATTGCTGACCAAACCCGTGATTGGATGACTTCAGTAATTTATGGTGAAGATATTGTACCAAAGGTTACAAATAAGAATGTATCCATGCCTCTTAATGCTATGGCTCCACCAGGACCAAATCAAGCCCAGGCAATTCAAGGATTAAAGTCTACAATTGCAGGAATGATGCAAAACATCGTTGCTGGCCAAGGTGTTACAGACAAACAGCAATTGAATAATGTTGCTGCTGTTTTAGATGTCAAACTTGACAAATTAGTTGAAATGGCTACAAACGTTGATCCACAATCACCAACACTTAGCGGAACTCTTCTTCATGTAGTCCAGAGAACAGATTATTGGACAGGTGTTACATCATATCATGTTATTCCGTATGATGAAAATATGGGAATTAATTTCTTCGGATTGATGATTGGTGTTCAGCAGCATTACATTAAATTTTACTCACAAGTATTGCACAAAGCATATGATAAGCAAGAAGCTCCTGCTGCAAAGGAACCAACAGCCGGACTCGATTTAGACTAAATTTGTATTCTTTAATAATAATAAATCTTTATTTCTAAAATCCATACATTTTGCGGCAGTTTTCGCGGCAAATTCTGAAAGCTTCCTCTGGAGGAATATTATGTAGTTCTGCAATCTTCTTAATAATGTAAGGAACATGGCCTGGAGTAGCTGGCTTGCCGCGGAATGGAATTGGAGCCATGAATGGACCGTCTGTTTCGGATAAAATACGATCCATTGGGATTTTTGTGCATACTTCTTGAACTTGCTTAGAGTTTTTGAATGTAAGAACTCCTGTAAATCCAAAGAATGCATTTGGATAGTTTGGAAGGACAAATTCTGGAAGTTTGTACGAATCTGTATAGCAATGGATATGGAATTTATGGTCTTTTGGAATGCATTCTTTGATAATTTCTATTGTATCGTCTTCAGCTTCTCGTGTATGTATGACTATTGGTAGGCCGAGTTTGACAGCAAGTTTGGCCTGACGAGCAAAACATGCCTTTTGTATATCTCGTGGACTGTTATCGTAATGGTAATCCAAACCTATTTCTCCAAGAGCTACAATTGAAGGGTGCTTTAAATTTTCAATTAAAGCTGCCTCAAGTTCATCATTGTAGATGTTTGCATTATGTGGATGGATTCCTAATGCTCCATGGATCTTTGGATTGCCCATATTCAAGAAATGAAGAGTAGATTCAAATGATTCACTAAATACTGTAACACAGCCTGCGAATCCCGGCTCCCATTTAGCTGCAACTTCATCAAGTGGAGTATTACGGTCGACTTTTAATCTATCATATATATCATCTAAATGGCAATGAGTATCAACGTATTCCATGTCTTAATGAATAATTTGACATTACTTTTCCAGATTGAGAACAAAATTTGACATTTGACTTATTTATCTGCTTATTGTCAGATTACGATTATTTCTTCTGAATTTCTACATGATGATGTAAAGATCGCATAGTTTCTCAGAATTTTGTAAAGGTAAATTTTTTTTTGTATTCAATGCCTCCCAATCAGAAATATGATCCAGACTTAATGCTAGATATGATGCTTTCCCTTATAGAGGATCTCAGCATAGATGGGAATCCAAAATCATTATTAATGCCACTCTTTCCTGAAGTATATCTTACGCATCTTGCGGATTCGATTAAACAGTTATACTCAACGGAACAAACTTTACTCACTATACAGCCTCCTATAATGATTGTAGGTGATCTTCATGGTAATTTTTTTGATCTTCTAAGAATTATCAAGAATCAAGGCGCCCCTCCTTTTACCAGATACTTGTTCCTAGGAGACATTGTTGATCGTGGAGAGTTCTCCTTAGAAACGCTGACATTAATATATTTGATGAAACTAAAATATCCAAATGATATATTTATTATTAGAGGAAATCATGAAGCGTCAAATATTTGTAGCAGGTACGGATTCAAAAACGAAATTCAAAAGAAATATAATTCTCAGGCATTATTTGAAAAATTTATAGAGGTATTTGATTATACTCCAATGGGTGCACTCATAAACTCCTCTATTCTCTGCGTTCATGGCGGAATTGGACCGCAATTTACTTCTCTGAAACAAATTTCAAATATCAAGAGACCTTTTTCAAGAGTTCACAAGAATTCTGTTGCAATGGATCTCCTATGGTCCGATCCGTTTCAAGAAGCTACTCAATATGAAAAAAATCTGAGAGGTTTTGGTAATCTTTTCGGAAAAAAGCACCTTATAGACTTTGAAACAGAAAATAAATTATCTCTCGTAATAAGAGGTCATGAACTTGCCACTCATGGAATTAATTACTCATTTGATGGAAAGATTGTCACAGTATTTAGCTCATCTAATTACTGCCGAGCATCAAATGATTGCGGTGTTCTTTTTATTTCAGATAATGGCAATATTGAAGCATTTACTTTCAAGAGTTTGGCTAATAAGATTTCTTCTACAGAGATCGACTTTGTTGATGTCACAACCCTAGATATGTCATCTAATTTGTTCAAACTTACAGATTCGAGCGTACTCAGGCATAACGATTCTGATTTTCAATTTTCAATTCCAAACCAGTTCATTAGATGCAAGCATGCCAAAGCCAGAGCTAAGAAACTGAAGAAGTTTGTTGAAGATGAGCACTCAGAAAAGCCGAATCTTTCTAAAAAGCATCAAATCAAAGAACATAACCAGAAAGTGAATGAACAATCGCCGAAGATATACCATTTCAGCTCACCAGATGGAATATCTGATGATGAATCGGTATGCATTAAGATGAAACCTCGTAAGATTTCAACAAAGAAGAAAAAGATTTTTAAGAAGTTAAGATCTGGAAGCTGTGTTTCTGTTAGGAAGATTCGTCCTAGGAGGAACTTAAGTCCCTTATCAAAGAGAGTCAACAAAATGTTGCAAAACTTTTGAAAATGAAAAAAATTAAATTTACTTTTGATTTTTTTCAAGGTAACAGCCGGCTAATATTTTTATTAAAAGTTTGGTATATTTCGAGTTAAAATTTTAACGATTATTTTTCATTCAAACTTTATGATGTGATGCAATGAATGAGAAAAATTTTAGACCTTATGGAAGAACTCTTTTCTCTTGCAATATCAAAGACAGAGGTAGGAGAAACAGACATTATTGAGATACTTTCGAGTATAAGAGATCTTATTTTCTCTGAAAATGAAATTCCGACTAATATCCAATTCTCAATTGAAGCAAATACAACAAATCTATGGAATAAAGCAGTTAACTTATCACGAAAACTACAAAACCTTCCAGAAGAAAAGCAAAATATACTCAAGAACCAAGCAATTCCGAATATTCGGTCACTTTGTGTTGACCTTTTCATAAAAATCTCCCCAAATGACTACGACAAGATATTCAGAAGCGGAATATCAGTCATGATTTCGATGTTCGAAGCCTGCCGCTATGAAGAAGTTTCTAAATACTTTGAAATATGCAAAAAAGTCGAACCATACATCAATTTCGAGCTTTCACATAACATACAATGCCTAGTACAAATGTACATTACTAATTCCAAGTCGCTAATTGCCAGTTGCGATCCAGATTCCGCATTACAGTCGCTCAGAGACATGACCATGCGCTACCCATTGGCCTCATCCAGTTTCTCGTCATACATACTTCAGACGGCTAACTCTCTGAAGTCTGTCGAGTGGACCAGTTTCTGCATCGACTTCTTTCGGCAGAACAAAGAGCTCTGCGACGCTTTTATGTCCGATGCTGCTATTCTCCACTTCTCCATCCTTTCATCTGCAAACAGAGTCAGTGAAATTGCAGAGTTCGATGTCGACAATATTGATATAGAAAATGACTCGAAAGAATTCATTTCTATAGCTAAAAGCATCTTCACAGGCAATTTCGATATCGATTCCGTCAGTTCATACAAAAATGAGCGATTTCTCAGCAGATTGGCCGAAATCATCTGTTTGTTCATCGACAAGTTTGATGAGAGAGTCGTGGATCTGCTTGATAGAGCAAGCCGCAGCGATCCATCGACGAGAAAGCAGATAATCAAGGTGGCGACGAAAGTTAACTCCCTCGATCTGATTCGCAGAGTCCAGTTTTCGGAAGATGACTACCCAGTTATCTGGAATCACTGCATCTCGCTCAAAACAGGCAGGAGCTTCGTCGACGCCGTGAAATGGGCTGGTGAAATGATTGCAGATATCAAGAAATGCTGCAATCCGAACAATGAATGCCTCCTCCTCAAAGCGATGAGGTTCCAAAGTCGCTGCTTCCTTGAGATGGGCGAGGTCTCCCAGGCAGTGGACATCTCCAGACAGTGCGTCTCCATCATGGGCAGCGACGAGAACAGGGTGGCTCTAATCAAGGCACTGATCAGGAGCGGCCAATTGGATGAGGCACGTAATGCAGGAAACGAAATTTCCAAAAGTGACAGCATTACAATTGTCAGCACTCTTTTTGCAAGGGAGAGCATGTTCGAAGACTCAGCAAAGCTGGCGATTAAAGCTATGAGTGATTCATTGGATGAGAAACTGTTCAATGTTTTAGTTTACTGCCTCCAGAAACAAAACTCAAAATCACTTGTAGAAATCGCATTGAACTCCCTCAAAAAATATCAGAAATCTGACTTCCAGAAGATTGAAAGCGACTTAAGGAGAGAAGTTGTAGTATTAGTTAACAATTTGCATGTCACTTCATCTTTATCACTTTTAGTTGCTATTCGAATTGCAAATCATGATGAGGAAGAAGACATTTTGATTCCTCATTTATTACGTCAAATAGTAAGTGAAGGTAAGCAAAGTGAATACTTAGACATTCTTGAAGAAGAGATTCCGAGAACAAAAAAGATCATTTCAACTCTCAAAAAATTCTTCTTACAAATTGAATGTGATGTCAATTTGCAGTTGTTATCAAAAAGTGACGTTTCATTTTTGATAAAATTACTTGTCAGATATCCATGTAAACTGACTCCTTATGACATCAAAGCATTGGCATCATTGGGTAACTTAGATGCGAACGATTTGTGCCAAATTGCCGTCATTTCTTTCCACCAGAGACTTACTCCAGGAGAACTGAGAGAGATACTCGAGTCTTTACTTCCCTCCGCAGAAATCGATGAAAGCACATCTGAGTTTATTTGCTGCAGCATGTGGAACTTTGGAAGAGAAATGATCGGAATTTCTGATGAATCGGACTGGTTTTTGGCTACAGCAGTTGGAATCTCGCAAAGACACCAAAGTTTATATCTCGTAAGAGATCAAATCGCTTCAGTTTATGAAGAATTTGTATCGAGAAAGTGAATTTGATTAAATACTTTATTTTAATATTCAAAAGTTTATTTCCTACATCTTAAGTGTAAAATCTAAACTGAAATTAAACAAAAATGTCTGGTAATTTCAGTAATTTCTCAAAATAATCTCAATGAAACCATTAAAAATGCATATTCTAGAAAAAATTTGACAAATTTCATGATAATTTTAGATAAAATAATTAATAATCGATAAAACAAGAATAGTAATACATATAAGTAAGAATATTATTGCAAATATACTTGACGCCTTCTTAAATCCAAAGGAGGAAATAAAAAGAATTGCAGGAACAATTGTTGCCATAATGGCATACGAAATTGTGCCCACTAACTCATAAACGAATTCAAGTGATCCATTATAATATGCAGCAAGAGTGGCGCAAAGTGCAATGAAAGCAACACAACTAAATAAATTTCCAATAATACTATGATTTTCGCAGAAAAGGTTGCACCGTTCATGACTTCCTATCATTATATACCCACAGTAAAAAAAAAAAAAAAAAAAAAAAAAAAAAAAAAAAAAAGGTAGTGGGGCTTCCAGGCACTTCGTGCCTTCTAGCCCACATAAATGAAGTTTTTATTCGGAGGTCTTCCAGGAGCTTTTCACAAATTATATATGTTTTCATGTTTTGTCAAGACTTCTTCGTAAAATCAGACAAAAATAATGTTTAGGGTAGAAGGTTAGATATAACCTCTTTTCTAACCTCTTTTCTACCCTCTTGAATTTGTCAAGACTTCTTCGTACATGTTTTGTCACTTTTCTGTCACTTTTCAGGAAAAAACATTTTTATTATATATATAAAATGAATTTTACAAAACCACCGTTACCCTTCTTTGGAAATAAGAGTAGATGTAAAGATATTCTATTGAGAGAACTTAAGAAACTACCGAATGGTCTAACATTTGTAGACTTGTTCGGTGGAAGTTTCTATATATCCCATTTGTGCCATATAATATTCCCAGACTCAAAGATTATATGCAATGACTTCGACAACTATATGAACCGTCTCAAACATATACCAGACACAAACAAAATATTGAAAGAGTTAAAAGAAAAGATACCTATAGGTAAGATGGAACGTATACCATTAGATAAGAAAAATATTGTGAGAGAGGTTTTGAAAAAAGCAGAATATATAGACTGGGATAGTATATCTGCTAGACTATTATATAGTGGTGCTATAAGAGTTCATGACATTGAAACACTTATGTCAAAAGTTTTATATCTCAACTATACAAATGTTTTCAAAGAGGACATAGAAAAATATACTGAGGGTATAGAGTTTGTGAGATGTCATTGGACAGAGTTGTATGAAAAATACAAAGACAAGGAAAATGTTTTCTTTATAGTAGACCCACCGTTCTATAACACATACGATTTTCAATACCAAGTAGACTGGACTTTGAGAGACTCTTTAGAAACTTTAGACGTTTTACATAACTGTCCATGCTTTTACTTTACATCCGATAAAAGTGGTTTGGAAAGTGTCATGAGATGGTTAGAGGACATACATGACTATGAGTTTAGATACGATAAGATAGAATATGAGAGAGGTCCTATAAACCGGAAAAAGTGTCATAACAAAGAAATTTTACTAGTAACTAAATGTGGTTTGAAATAGGACTACTTGTTTTAGGTTTTTTCCATTGTGTCATTTACTTATTTGACGTGGCAGAAAGATATAGAGAATATGAAGATGAACCAATACCAGCAAATGTTCAGCATATGTACTCGTAAGAGATATTTTTATCTAATATTAAATGGACGCACAGAACTTAGCGAATGCACAGCAACCTGGACAACCAAACCCAGAGAATATTCCAAATGAAGTTAGAATACAAACTGCAATGGCAAACTATGGTCAAGTGCCAACAGATGTACAAATGCAAACTGCCATGTCAAATGACGCTGCGTTAGGCTTACCACCATGGTATGCAAATATGAGATGGAAAGAGTTTTATACAAACCCTGAGGTGGGATATAAACAACTTTATGCAGATGACGCGAACACAGGAGTTGACCCAGAATATGTTTTCTACCAGAGGAGAAATAGAATGTATGAGCTCCAGTTAAAGAATGCAATGGAACTCAACAGGAAACGTAAGAGACTAGGCGGACATTAGATTTTTACATATAGTAAAATGGGTTTTTCAGTATTGGAAACTTCTTCAGAAGAGTTGAAGAGGTATATGGAATGGAATAAAATCTGTCGGAAGGGGAGTATGGAACGGAGTCAAAAATATTGGTAAAAGAGTAGGTCAGTTCGTTGGTATTATACCTAAAGACCCTGAACCAGAAGAACAAGCTCCTGTTATACAACAGCCTGAACCTGCACCACAGTCTAGTTGGCAACCAAATCCAACACCTCAACCGTATTAAAATTATATTTTTACCGTTCGATAGTAGTTGTATATGAAACTAAGTTCTAAGTAAAACGCGTGGTATAATGGAATTATTCTCTTTCTTCCATCTGTAGTAAACCATACTTGAAAGTCTGAAATACTTCCACTTGGTGGTTCGTATAGCTTTGTAGGTTTTTCGTAAAAGTCATTTGCCAAGCATAAAAAGAGTTTTGTGCACCAGAAAATGAAGCATGAACTATAATAGCATCTGAGTCGAAAACATTTTCATATGTTCCATTAGGGTTTTCGACTTCATAAAAGTTCGGGTGTACTGGATATTCTGCAGGCTGATTTAACATCCTCAAAAATCTATACCATGCCAAGTTGTTATATTTTGTAGAAATATAAACGTCTTCTCCAAGGTCTTCTATTCTATTGATTTTAACAGTTGCATTTTTCCTTCATATATAATATCGAGATGGTATTCTCCTTCGTCAATGTTGTACTGTTTTGCATATTCGAGATAGATATCGTTTATTTTTTCTTGAAAAGCTTGAAGAGTTGTTTCTAAGTTTACAAGCAAATTCACTTGTAAAAGTTTTCCCTGTTCAAATTTCTCATACGTACGTTTCTCTTTGTTATAGTATCGAATTTCAAAAGCGACCGTAAATGGGAAACCATTATGGCTTCTGAAATGAACTTCATTCTACGAAAGCCAACAGCTTTGTGTGACGGATGGGTCTCTTAACCATCTTAACGGGTAGTCAAAACGATAGCCTTCATGCTTTACGGTCTCTGTCTCAAACTTTTGACCTACGTTAGTAAAAAGTTCATCTAATGGTTTAGTTTGTAGCAACTCTTGAATTTTCTTTTTCTATTGAAAGCATATTTTATCTAGAATAAAAATGTCGAAAGAAACAGCGTATGAGAGAAATACAACACAACCGACAACTCATTTGCAAGCTCTAAATAAGAACACAACAAACTTTCAAACTATTCTAAGATATCTGAGTCATTGAAAGAAGGAAACTTAAAACTGACGATAAACCAATGACAGATGAGTTTCTGTTTCAAGAACAGTAAGACCATACTGTTTGTATAAATCCAACAAAAGGAACTTTAAACGAGAAACCTATAGATGAACTTCTTTTGAAAGCAGATGTTAACAACAAAGCTGACAAAGAGTATGTCATTGAAAAGTTCAAGAAGAACATGACAGAGCAGATGCAAATATGCAACAAAAGCAGATGTTAACAACAAAGCTGACAAAGAGTATGTCATTGAAAAAGTTCAAGAAGAACATGACAGAGCAGATGCAACATATGCAACAAAAGAACATACTCATCCTGAACTAGCAGACAAAACATATGTTGACAATAAAATGTCAAGTGAAGTGACAAGAGCTGAAAACGAATATTCTAAAAAGACTCATACACATACCATTGCAAATATTACAAACTTACAAGAAACCTTAAACAGGAAAAGTGACGTTGGACATACACATACCATTGCAAATATTACAAACTTACAAGAAACCTTAAACAGGAAAAGTGACGTTGGACATACACATACCATTGCAAATATTACAAACTTACAAGAAACCTTAAACAGGAAAAGTGACGTTGGACATACACATACATCTTCTGAAATAACAGACTTAAACGTTAGCCTTGAAAAGAAGGCAGATAAGAACCATACACACGATTTCTTCGCAACTGTTGGTATAGAAAATATTGAAGGAACGGTTGAAGAAACTGGGGATGTATTAAATTGGAAACCTCCTAACTTTCCACAAGGTTTAACATCGGAGGATGACATAACAACGATGAAAGACATTAAATGTAGAAATGTCTATGTCATGGAGGATGAAAACAAAGTTAAATTCACTGCTCAAGATTTATATGATAAAAAAGCTGACAAAACAGAGCTTCAAACATTAAAGACAGAAATACTTCAAACACTATATCCTATAGGTTCTATTTACACGTCAATGAACTCTACCAAACCAGAAACAGTTCTGGGTTTTGGAACTTGGACTCAAATAGTCGACAGGTTTTTGTATTGTGCAAACTCTTCAAAGGAAACAGGTGGAAGTAAAACGATTTCAGGTGCAAATTTACCTGCGCACAGTCACTACGTAAATTTAAGTACATCTGAAGCAGGTTTGCATAGTCATAGATTTTGGGATTGGTCAGCAATGACAAAAGGTAAAGGATATGATGTTAAAGAGGACGTTAAGTTTGCTATAAATTGTTACTGGGATAACACTGATGTAGGAGGAATCCATTCACATCGCGTTTCAGGGTATACGCAAACAACGGGACAAAGTAAAGACTACATGCCACCTTACATGACAGTTTACGCATGGTATAGAATTGCTTAGTCGTCATTTTCAACTTCTTTAGCATATTCGTCAGGAGTTGTCTTATATTTGTTAGGAACTGTCTTTGAAAGTATACCACCTTGAACCTTAACAAGTTTGAAACGAGGTCTGACAATAGTAGTTTTATCTTCTGCTTGCAGTTTGTACATTTTGCCATGTTTGCCTAAAACTTCATAATATTCTCTTGTATACTTTCTTCTATTTTTACGAACACGAATGCGAGTACCTGTCGAGTTCCCATTGTTGTCATAGTCAATAGTATTTTCATATGGGTCGCGTTTAGGTATTTCTATTTTTACTTTGTCACCTTTCTTAAGTTTGAAGCCTGGCATTCTTTCTTGTTTGTCTCTTTTGACTAAACTATTAAATATATAGTCTTTCTCTAAGTCGGGGTTGTTTTTCATTTCTTCGGGGAGTGGTTTCCCAAACCTTTTTGTTTACGGCTATTGTAAATATTTAAAACTTGTCTCATCTTTGCCATGGAGAAGTGTCTATACTTGTCGTCATATGACATTTCATTTGCTTCACCACCTTGTGGTTGATTTAAGTCTCTTAAGATTTTTATACAACTGTCAATGACACCAAGAGCAGAATGGTTTTGGTCGACAATGAAATATTGGTTTACATTTTTTGAACGCAGATAGTTTTTAATATCGTCTGATTTGAAAGAACTTTCACAGTCAGATGTCAGTTTTGTTGGATGGTATTTGTCAACGAATATTGTCAAAGCAGTTTTCACATCTAAAATATTTTTGGACTGTAATGGTATGGCTTCACAGTATCTTGTGTTTTGACCGACAAATATTAGCCAGTATGGAGGTCCATCTTCTCTATACCTCGGAATGTTTTCCAAGATATCCATAAACCAAGCATTTGGTGTTGAACTAAAGATTTTTATCATGAGTGCTTTCTTTGTCGCTTTAGAAACATAGGGGTCCTTGTTTGGATTCGTCATTTTTTAACCCATAAGAAATGGGTTTATTTGGCGCATTAGCAGGAGGAGTCGCATCTAGATTTTTACCCGCAGTGGAACAATAGCCAGAGGTGCATTTGGAATTGGAAGGAAGATTTTGAGTACATTAGGTATACTGAAAGAAAGCAACACCTATTATACAAACTGTACAGAAAGTTGGGAGGTAGCACGAGATGCAGCAAATCTTATTCCAAATCCTGAAACAAGAGGAAAGTTCAAGGATGGATGGACAATGTAGGAAGACAAGCAGGAAACTACTATAACAAAGCAAATGACTACTATAACCAAGCAGGGCACTATATGGACCAAGGTGAAAGATTCTTTAACAGAGGATATAACCATGCACAACAGTGGGTAAACAACAACCAACCGCAACCGCCTCAAACGCGTGGGGAATGTAAATTTTTTACTGAGATGAAATGAACAATACAGCATTGAGACAAATGGGCTCAAGATGGATTTGTCGGCTTCCAGCAGTTAACCAACCACGTGTTTGTCAAGTTCTTCCTATACCTCAAGAAGTTTTAGACCGACTTAAAAAACCTAAACAACAGTTGAAAACAAACCAAACTAAAATTTTTTACTGAGATGAAATGACCGAAGAAGTTGAAACGGTAGATTTGACACCACAAACAAAAAGTTCAGAACCATTGTCAAAACCTGTCAAAGAACTTACAGATGAAGAGAAAAATTCAATAATAGAAAGTGCCAGGTCTGGAAATACAAACCCTAACTATAAAGTCACTTTTCATAGAAATGGAACGGCTAGTATCTCAAAAAAGAAACAGACTCTCACAAATAAAATATTGAAGTCTGAAGGAGCTTTCGAGACAACAGATGGAAAAGTTTACTTCACTGACCAACAGTTCATTATAGAACATCTCATTGACTTAGAGTCGAAATATTCTAAACTTTACAACAAACACAAAAAGTTGAAAGGAAAACAAAAACAAATGGCATATGATATTTATGAAGATGTTGACAACACAACTGTTCCTGCAGGTGAAGTAAAGTCAGAGGAACCGAAAAGTGACGAAAAACCGATAGAAGAAGAGAAACCAAAAACTGAAGATAAACCAAAACCAAAGTTTAGTTTGGAAACTAAACCAAGTCAACCTTCATTAGCTGGTATGGGTTGGCGTCAAAGACTTATGGCAGCAGGTGGTTATGTAAAGTAAAGAAAAAAAATATTTTTTTATTTTTATAAAAATGCCCCCATATAGAATGGATAGAAAATCTGCTAGAATAAAAGCAGAGTTAGAAAGATATGGTTGGAAAGTTTCAAAGAAGTTTAAATATAGGAAGGGAAGACCCATAAAAGTCTATGACAAATTGTCTGGTCTTCGCTATGAAATGGACTTGGAAACAGCACGCGCAAATTATCCAAACAGACTAGAGAGGTTAGAAGAAGAACGTCTTATGGACATGCCTTTCGATGTTAGTGAGCCTCAAGTTGAAGGACACGACGGCTTTGCCAGGTTCTACTGGAAACATGACGAACAATTGCATCCTTTGAGGAGGAAAAAAGGAAAAGGTGAAGACGCACATGCTCCCATGGAAAGAACAAGATATGCATATGAGAAGTATCGTGAAGTTAGAAGTCAAATTACATCTGGTCGAACCTTTACAGTAAACTTTGACGAAGGAAAGAACAAAGAAGGCTTCATGGGTGTACTTGCTGCAATTCAAGATGGAAATAAGAAAGGATACAATCTCAGATTGACCATAACAGATTTGGATGGTCACATTTACTATGCAAATGGCAATGTCACAACAGCTGCAATGCTTCTTGACGCTTTCAAGACTACAAAGAGAGAACAAATGGTTGACTCCGACTCAGACATTTTGAATGCAATTGAAGGAATTGCAAGTGTCAAGTTCGAATGGTACCAACCTAACCCTCAAGCAGTCAGACAACATGCTGGATACTTCCCCTTCATAAATAAGTCTGACATTGACTTGACAAGGTATGGAATTTACAATTCAATTGAAAACAATTGTCAATGAACCTTGCATTCTTACATGTCTCAGGAACTCTGGTCTTGTTTCAGAAGAGAAGATGAAGTATCTTGAGTCATGTGTGAAGACAAGGTACATTCTCAGAGGTCAATTGGCAAAAATTGCACCGTTGGCAAATGTCAATATCCGAGTCAACATACCTACAGCTAAAGGTTCTTCACATGACGACTATGTTGTTGACAAAGACTTACCATGGTTGAAGATTGTAATTGTCCACAACCACTTCATGTTGAACGAAAGTCTTACAAACCCATTCTTTGGTAAAAGTAAGTGCAACATTGTCAGAGCTGTTAACATTCTTTTCGAGAAAGGTTTGTTGGAACCAATTCCAGATGACAAGCTGACAGAAACTTTTGTACCAAAAGACGAAACAAACTTTTCATTTTAGCAAGACCAAAAAGTTGTTCCAGACAAAGTTCTAGCACAAAAGAAGTACACAGTTCCAAAAGGAGTTGGATTGTTCGGATACCAACCTGAACCAGAAGAACTTCCAATGAGGTTGCAAGAACTTCAAGATGCTATAAACAAACTTCCATTGAGACATCCAATTGACGTCAAATTGTATTGGAGAGCTTCTGAGTTAGGTCAGAAGGTTTTATATGAAACAGGTTGCTTCGACGATGTTTATGAGATAACAGGAGAAGTTTCTCAGAAGATAAGAGACTCACTTGAATTTCCACGAACTGGTCCGATTGGTTGTGACAAGTTCGACTCATACGAAAAAATATACTATGTCGACCTTAACGCCGCATACATGAGGTTCGTCCAATATATCCCGACTGGAATTCCAAACGAAGATGGTGAGTTCCCAGGAAGGAACTATACAGTTGGAAAAGTCATACAACAACTGTATGATATTAGGAAAGCTTCAAACCCCAAACTTGCAATGACACTCAAATTGCTTATGAATTCGACATGGGGGTATTCCATTAAGAAACCTCAAGAGATGAAGAGTAAACATTATGAGAAGGTCGACAACTTTGTTGAAAGGTTCTCCCCTTTTGTTTTGAAGTACGAATTCACTCAAGGTCAAAGTGGCTTAGTAACCACATTAAAACCTATTGTCGAACATTGGTCTTACCCTCAGTTCGCAAAAGCAGTCCTTGACGAGTACAACAAATTCTTCTCCGAAGTCAAATCCAAAGTCAAGGTTTACTATGAGAACATTGACGCACTCATGACGAACGAAGAAGGCTATAACAAACTCATTGAAATGGGAATGGTCGGTGAAAAGATGGGCTGTTTTAAGCTAGACAAGGTATTTTCCGAAGTTCATGTCCTCTCCAAGCGTAAGTACTGGGGCATACTTGAAGACGGCACAGAAATAAAACATTGCATGAAGTAAAAACGTTTTTAAAACAGTATATTTTTACATATATTAAATGTTTCAGGTTGAAAAAAGAGGTGGAGCCAAAAGTGGCTCGACCTCAAAACAAGCATTTTGTGAAGAATATACCAACCCGCGGAAAACAGCGGGTTGCTTTTTATACAAAGTTCACCCGTTGAATTTGTCATGAATTTCCTTAAGATAGACAAAAATATATTTTAGGTGGAACCAGGTCCCTCGGTCCCTCGGTCAACTAACATCTTTTTGAAAATGGTGACAACATGACATTTTGACAACAACACAGGAAATAGATTTCATCGTTGTGGTCCGACGGTTAAGCCACAAACGAATGTCCGACGGTTAAGCCAAAAATATTTTTTTATTTTTATTGTAAGAACAGTATGACAGTCGAAGCAAAAACGTTCACGAACAAATCTAATGGCGAAACATTCACAAAAGGCACTTATAACGGTATTGAAGTCTTACGTAGAGACAAGGATGGTTACATTAATGCAACAAATATGTGTCAGCAGTTTAGGAAAGACTTTAGAAAGTTGTTGGAAAATAAGTCCTGGGAAGAGTATTATAAGGCATTTTGTGAAGAATATAGCAACCGTCGGAATTCCGACGGTTGCTTTTTATACAAGGTTCATGCAGGAATTCCTGATGAAATCAAACAGGTTAGAGGAACGTATGTAGACCCAAGACTCGTAAACTATATAGCAATGTGGGCTTCTCCAAAATATTGTATAGCAGTTGGAAAAATTCTGGACTCCATAGACAAGAAAGTTCATGAGAAGTTAGATGAAGAAGAACTTGAAGATACAGTAGAGAATGCAAAACCTTTGTTTGAAGAAGAAGTTAGAAAAATGCATGAAAAACAAATAGAACATGAACGTGAGATATGTTCTGGTTATAGAGATTCTCCATACGAACTAGACCAATGGGAACAAGAAGATTTAAAGAGAGAATTTAGAGAATATGAACTCGCTAAGATAGCATTTGAAGCTGCAGAAAAGAAGTTAAAAGTTTGGGGTTGTTTTGTAAAAAAATATTGTGAGTAAATGAACCATTTATTTTCGACAAAAATATATTTTAGGGTAGAAGGTTAGATATAACCTGTCTTCTACCCTCTTTTCTACCCTCTTGAATTTTCATGACTTCTTCGTAAATGTTTTGTCATGAATTTCATCGTAATGAGTGTAAATGACCCAAAAATATATTTTAGGGTAGAAGGTTAGATATAACCTGTCTTCTACCCTCTTTTCTACCCTCTTGAATTTTCATGATTTCATCGTAAATGTTTTGTCATGAATTTCATCGTAAATGTTTTGTCATGATTTCATCGTAAATGTTTTGTCAAGACTTCTTCGTACATGTTTTCTAACCTCATGAGTTTTCCCGAAATAAAAAATAAAGTTGGTTTTTTTTAAAAAAATATTTTTTTATTTTTATTGTAAGAACATGTTAGCAACAACAGCACCAAACTCGTTAGTCATGAACCCAACTTCAATGTTAGTAGAGATGAAAAGCTTCATTCCTTCTTCATATACTTTCGAAACAAAAATCCAGAAGATAAAGCAAGAACTTTTAACAAGTACTTTAGACTGTAGTGCGAAAGATGAAACAAATGAACAGTATCTTTATGAAATGCAGGATATTATTGACCATTTACCCAAATTGCCTGAAATCCAACAACAAAAGCTTACTATTCCAGAATTCGATGAAATAGAAGTCAAAGCAACTGACTCAGTAGAAATAAAGAAGTTCATACGAAAGGTTAACTATGAGTTTCTTGGATTTCATTGCAACCACAAAGTCATTGACATATATAAATCTGAAGAATTTAAGACCTACGACAACTTTGTTTCGTTAGTTGCTGAGTGTGTCTTGCAGATAAGAGATAAAGATAGAAGAGGTAAGGTATGGAACCAACAGATAAAACCAGCAACCTTTGAGTTAAAGAAAACCATCTACGCCTTAGTCATACTAGCAGGTAAGGTTTCAGAATATAACGCAAAAATGAACCCGCAATGTTCAAAATGTAAGGCAGCAATTAGGAAATATAACTACTCCGTCAAAGAGATAGAACGTATGAGAAACGACTATGCTGACTTAAAGAAAGAGATGTCAAACATTGAGTTTGAAACAGTTGGAAAGATAGACAATGACACCAAAGTGGTTAGAATAGGTGATTTAAACGTAAGATACTCAAAGAAATACAACAAATATTCTTTGTCAGACATTCTAACACTATCTGGAAAGAGAGCAAAGGACTGGGTTAGAAATGCTTCAACTCAGAAAATTTTGACAAGAAATCCTGAGCTTTTGATATCGGTAAGATTTCATGGAACTACAGCATATCTTATAGACAAAAGTCTTATACCACTAGTTTTGTTATGGTTAGACCCAGTTGTTGGATATAATTTCATAACATATGGTTCATTCGATACGGAACGTTGCAGTGAAGGCTTACTTTACATCGTTCAGAAACCGAAGGACTTCAATACAAAGAGATATAAGATAGGAAGGACATATAATATAACTCTAAGATATGACAGTACAGTCAATATAGTCAAGGTTGTGTTAGTTAATGATATGAGAGCTGCAGAAACAGAACTACTTGAAAAGTTTGAGAAAATGTATGGTGCTCCCATAAAAGGTAAAGAAACGTTTGAAGTAGATGAGATAGATAAAGCTATAAAATTATTTGACGAAGTTGCTGAAAAATACATGTAAAAATAACGTTTACCATGTAAAACGCTTATAAAATAACTGGGGTAGAAAAGAGGGTAGAAGACAGGTTAGATCTAACCTTCTACCCTAAAATATATTTTTATTGAATTCAGCACAAAAATCTGAGTAAAATGGCATAAGATTGCTACCCTCAAAAAACCGAGGATAGAGATTCCGTACGAAAAACAGTGAAATTTCTCTAGACCGACTTCCTTCGGGGTCGCCAAAACTCTATGAAATCATGAATTTCCTTAAGACAGAAAAAATAAAGTTAGTTTTATTTTTATTTATTTTTTTATTTTGTATGTAAGGACAGATATGACAACAACAGAGAACACAACAACAGTTATAGTCCATGAAGCTATAAATGAAGAATATGAGTGGGTTCAGTTTAACAAACAGTTACGTCTCATTCGTTCGGTCAAAGACGATATGTACCAAATGCAAAGTATTTTGACAGCATGTTTTGCTCCAGATACTATGAAACCACAAGATTGGTTTGAATTAAATAGCACTCATGAACTCCTCAGTGAGTTTGAACATGTAGACTTAAAAAGATGTACCAAGACAGACAAAACTTACCATCACATCTAAAAGGTATATATGTTCATAAGTTCCTAGTTAGTTCAATAGCAATGTGGGCTTCACCTCGTTATGCAATCTACATACTTATGCTACTTGACGAACTTGTACAAAGCAGAGAGAAGATATGATGAAAGAAGACAAAAGCATTCAGAAAAGAATACCACGTTCGGTACCAAAAGGAAAGGAAAAAGAACTATAAGTATATGATTTTATACTGAAGAGATGGAAAATGAAGAAGACAGAGATATGGTTATGTTGCATTTAGTCAGAAGAAAAACAAAAGCTTTCGACCTTGCTAAGATTTACAAATCTGACAGAAATTGGTTCTATCGCGAAAACTTACCGATTTCAATGACCCAAATGAAGATGTGAAACAAATAGTTCAAGATACGTTACCTCAAACACACTATGATATTAAAGGTTGTACAATACTTACCTTCAAAGAAGATTTGCCGCTACTGAAAGAAAAAATAACAGAGTATTTTGACAACTTCAAACAAGTAGAGTAGATGAACTCTTTATTTTTCAAGCTTGACTTCAGATGGCTCAGGTAGCTCTATAAGGTAAATTGTCTTGTCAAATCCTTCCGACATTCCAAGTTCTTCCTTCCGACATTCCAAGTTCTTCCTTCCGACAGGAAAAAAATTTCCCGACAACAGGAAGAACTCTTCCTTCCGACAGGAAAAAAATTTCCTGACAACTGGAAAAATTTTTCCAGTTGTTCGTCCGTAAACCATTCAAATTTTCGAAAATTGAGAACTTTTTGGTCGAACTTCAGAAAAAGTTTTTCCTTCAGACAGGAAAAAAATTTCCCGACAACAGGAAAAGTTTTTCCTTCCGACAGGAAAAGTTCTTCCTTCCGACAGGACACAAACGAATGTCCGACGTTCCTCTTCCTGAATGCCTTCCAAAGCCAGAAGAACCGACAGCCCCAGCACCACAACAGACTAAGACTCAAACACTTACATTTTTACGCTTGACTTTTTACAATTTGAACTTTGTTCGCGTAGATATGAATTCTGAAAGAAGTATGAGGGTCTTGTATGACTTTGTACTTCTCCCATAGTTCATGTCTGTCAAACTTACCTGCCATGGACTCTTTCATAAGTTCCATGAAATCGTCTTCGGACAATCCAGGGAAAAGTACAATGTCAGTAAGTATTCTTTTAACATCCTTACTTAAACTCTTTGCTGTCTGTACACAAATGACAACTGAGATGTTAAAGTGTCTGAGCTTCTTAAGAATTCGACACATGTCTTGTTCTCTGTTCTTTAACAAAGGATGAGAAGCAAAGTCATCTAAGATAAGAAGACATCTATGAGGGTATGTCTTCCAATCGTAAGATTGCAATTTCTTCGAAATGTATTCTATCTCTTTCTGTTTGTTTCTGAAGTGTTTCTTCTCTAATATTCTCTGCATTTCCTCATTTGGGTCTTTAAACTTAGAATTTATATACTCATTTATAGCATTGTACTTCAAACTCTTCTTTGGTACTTCTTTATCCAATCTAACAACTCAGAGTCTTTTATACATACTAACTTAGACTTCTTTATAATATCTTTGAACGAATTGACGGTTTGGTCAAATTGACCCGAAGTACTACAAATGACAACTAACTCATAGAATGGGTTCTTCTCATCTAGTTCTTGTTGTTGTGCAGCCATTTTAAGATAAGTGAAAGTCTTACCCGACCCAGGTGGTGCAATTAGACCTGTTATACCATTCTGAGCAAATAAGAACTTGTCATGTATGGGTTTTATCTGAGCATTTTCCAACTTCCTCTTGTTCTTCTTCAAAACATTCTCAAATTTCTTGTCAATGTCAGCAAACTTTTTTTCTAACATATTTTTAGAAAAAATTAAAATTTTATCTTTTAGAAAATGTCTAGCGATTTCGCTATCTATATTCGAGACAAGCTTTTCGACTCTAAAACTTCTGTCGACCATAAAAATCTTACTAGTAGTAAACAAGAAAGGTGAATTTGTTCTAAAGTTCTGTTTCTGGGAATATGACAAGAACCATAAAATTACAAAAGAGCAGTCTTAAAATTTGTCAATGACAGACTTGTTGACAGAGATGACGCCGATTGAAAGATGAAGTCCAACAAAAGTTCTTAGAATGCAAAGAAGGCACATGCGCTGTTCTTGAAGATGAAATAGAAAACAGAATAGATGAGCTATTAAAGGACAAAGAACTTTTACATAAATATGGTTCTGAGAAATTTGACATAACTCCACCAGAAAAGAAGAAGAAAGAAAAGAAAGAAAAGAAAGTAAAAGAAGAAAAGAAAGTAGAAGAAGAGAAGAAAGAACCAGAGCCAGAGCCAGAGAAAAAGAAATTTGACATGTAAAAATAAAATTTTATTTTTAGAACATTTCTGGGTCAATGTCAATGTTCTCTTCCTCTTTAGGAGTAAACACTGGCTTAGACTCTAAAATCTTTTTACCCAATTTACCTTGAACTTCAACTATCTTAGACTCATAATATTCATAGTCGTCTGCTTTCTTTGGTTCATAAGGTATAACAAGTTTGTATGCTTTGCCTTCTTCGAGTTTTGAGAACTTTCTGTCAAAATTTTCTTTGACTGCTAACAAACCTTCTATGTCTAAGTCTTCAAATTGCACCATTTTTCTAACAACAGCAAACTTAACTGGTTCGATGTTCCAAACTTTGTCAAATGTAGACTTTTCAAAATGGTAGAAGTAAACATTCAAATAAGCGAATGGAGCTAACTTATCTTTGACTTCTGTCATATATTTGTTGACTGAAATATATTTCGTCATCTTTTCTATCGGATAAAAAAATATTTTTTTTAAATTTACTCATAAAAATTTTTCTTTGTATATACGCCGTTCTGAACATCTAAAAGACTTTTGACATTTGCCAAGAATGTACGTTTAGAAGCTGCCATATAACCATACTCTTGACAATATTGTTTATACGAATCGTACAATGACCTTTCATCTAAACACTCAAAGTTAGTCTCATCTATAAACAGTTCATATACACTCTTGTTTGCTTCTAACAATGTTTGTCTTTCTTCGGTATATGGAATTTGTCTTGGATTGAACTTAGAAATATCTAATGTCATGAAATATGAGAACAAGTGGTTGTAAAAGTTAGGTGTCAAAGTTTCTGCTAAGTCGTCAAAATATTCTGTATCTTGCATATGAGAATCTGACGTTCTGACAACTACATATCTTCTGTCAGAACTTTCTAACTTCATCGGAACGGCATTGTTTGAAACCATGATGAAATTTGCAACATTTTCACAAACTCTTTGGTCTTTATATTTTCTTTCAACAACTCCAACTTTGTCTGTTATAAGACTCTTCAAAGCATCTGAGTTTAAAACCTTTGTTGTATCTATACTTTGAAGTTCGTTACATACTATAAGTTTCATATTCTCTATTGAAGAGTTAAATTTACCGCAGATGTTTTCTAAGTTTGTCATATTAGGGTTCGAATAGCCCTCTAACAGTTTGCATAAGATATCTGTAAAGAAAGTGTTCTTACCAGTTCCTTGTTTTCCAATTATAATGAGAGCAGTTTCATTTTTAGCACTTGGATGTTGTAAGATGTTTGCAAACCAACATAAGATATACTCATAGACTCTTTCGTTTCCATTGCATATAATTTCTTTGACATGGTCTAACCAAGCTTCTATAACATTTTCTTTCCATTCTACTTGTTCGTATTTATATCCAGTGAAGATAGAATAGAAGTTTGGAGATGGTGTATAGAACTTTATACCACGAACTGAAAAATCTTCTAACTTTGACAATAAGATATCCCAAGCATCTAACATCTTCATACCAACTTGTACGACTTTTATTTTCTTAAGTTTCTGTCTACATTCTTGTTCTGAAACTATTGTCGCTCTTGGTTTGTTAAAGACAACATCCCATTCTTTCATGACATAACATTCTGGGGCAGAGTCGACATAAATGACTAAACGTTTCAAATTCTCGACTGCTTTGTTATAGTCTCGAAATGGACACATATTTCTGAACGCTTGGAAGTCATAAAAATCTGAAACGTCTATTCTGTACATTTTTATAAAAATAAAAAAAATATTTTTTTATTCTTGAGCTATTTGTTGTTCTTGAGCTATTTGTTGCATTTGTTGTTCTTGAGCTATTTGTTGTTGAAGTTGTTCTTGTAGTACAATACTTTCACCAGTTGCATCTTCCAATTCGAAACTTTCTGCCGTCATTGACAAATACATAGGACATAAAAGTTTTACAGGAACAAAGTTTGCGTCGACTAAGGTTAAGTTTATGTTTGCTAAAGTGTTTGAGTTTACTAAAGCTGAAAACTCTGCATTCGAATGAACAATAGGCAAACCAGCAGAGAAAGTGTTGTTTATACGCATGAGTATTTTTTGGTCATAGTAGTTTCTGTCGACATTCGAATAGCACTTTGAACCTAAGTTTGAAACAATATATAAAATAGGTGTACTTAAAGTCAATGGAACAGACAAACCTTGTATGACACCTTTTCCTGTTATAGGAAATTGTTGGTAGTAAAAACCAGATATAAGTTTTGTATTATAGCTCATATCGTTTATAGTAAACTCAGTCGGACATCCAAACATAATGAAACCTGCTCTAGTTGCAGCACATGTTACATCCGTCCTTAAAGTATTAAATAAGTCAACAAAACCTGTTGGTGGTATATCTGAGTAAGTATCTTCAAAGAAGTATTTTTTACCATTCACAACAACAAAGTCTTCTGGTGTCAAAAGAGCAAAACAGGCTTTAGTCGTCATTGTGTTTAAAGTTAGTTTACAATACGTCCTTGAGGACTTTGTAAGTTTGTTGTTATAGAATTATATGACTCAGGGTTTTTAGTCGTAATAGTATAAACCACTATGTCTTCTGCCATTTACTTAGCAAACAAACTTTTAATGAAATGTTGTGGTCGTCAAATATTTTTATGACGTCTGGGAAACTATATTTTAAGTTCAACGTTTCACCTCCTTTCATAACGTATATCTTGTCAATGACATTATATGAAACACCACAGCAAGCAATGTCGGGTTCTATTTCTTTGATGTTTATATCGTCTGCCTCTGTCAAAAGTTTCAATAGTTCTTTCAAAACTTCATGAGGTGCAATGACATATGAGTTCACTTTTACAGGGTTGTGTTCGACCAAGTTTAACATTATACCCAAAGCTTGACAAATCTTCTCCTGAGTTTTAAGTTTGTCTTTAAGTTGTTGGTAGTCATTTCGAATATCTGCAACAGAACTTAAGTCTCTGCTAACTTCAGGATATGTTGTTCTTTTACAGGAACTATTGTTATACCATCTTGTCTTCGTATGGTTTCCCCACTTCAACATCTCTTTCTTTGACATTGACAACAACACTTTGACTGTTTGTTTGAGTTGGTGAATTTAACTTCACATCTGCCATCGCCATTAAACCTTTTGAAACACTTACGCTTCTATTTTTCGGAAATGACATTTTACTTAGAATAAAAAGATGGACGTATTTGAGTATCTCTTCGAATTGAAGCAGAACAAAGTTTACACACACAAACAATACAAGTTCATTGATAGAATAGTTCTTTACACAAACAATGGAAAATGTTATAGAATAGCAGTCTTTGCTGAACCAAAATATTTTCATAAAGCAAAGAAAGTTGGTATAACCGAGATGGTGAAAGTTCTTGACGTTGACAAAAATATAACAACAAAACTGACCGATATTTCTAAAGGTAAGTTTATAATACAATTTTATGTCAAAACTGGCGTACTGTCAATATTTGACGGAGAGAAGTCAGTTCAAGAACAACTTACTGACCTGCTGCCAAAATCTGCTCGATGGAAGCTGTCGTTATACCAATCTGAGGAGCCCCAGCAGGTTTCATCGAACGAATCTTCAAAAGAGCATCTTCCGTGAAAAGTGCTATTGGTTTTGTAAACTTCTTTGCTTTCAATTCATTTGGACCGTCTCTGTCACCAGTATATTGTATTTGAACTGTACCAACAGTTGAAATACCACCCATAAAGTCTTCTGAGTCAGCAAATGGAATGCCAAGCCAAAAGTTTGAACGGTCTCCATTTGTATATTGAGTGTTTTGAGCTCCTGTATGAGTCCATACTTTCACATATGGCATAATAGAACTTTGCATTTCAGGGTTAATGGTTGTTGTGAAGTTGTTGTTAAAGTTCATAGCATCTAATGTCAAGTTGTATGACCTCATATCCTCAACTGTAGAATATTCTTCTCTTGGATAGTATTTGCCATCTATGTTTATATGGTATTTAATACCAGGGTTGTAGAAGCAAGAATAGTCATTTATAGTTCGTCTGAACAGTACAAACATAGTATCTGCATGTTTCATTGCAGTTGTTAAGGCAATATCTGTTCTTGCACCTGGGTCAGCACTTTGGTTTCCAACTTCACCTGCAAAGTCTTTGACAGATATTTGGTGTATAGGGAACATAAGTGGAACTGCAATATATTTGGCAGCTAAAGCATTTGAAATATCTGGGTCCAACATATAGACTGCAAGTCTGCTTTCTATTCTCTTGCATTCAAATTTTTCGCATGTGAACTTAACTGGGTCCCAAGCAGTTCCAGCAGCATTGAAGTAGTAGTTTACTTCAGTGTTGAGGTTTGAGAAACCAAAGTCTAAGTCAACTTTGTCTTTGCAAAATTCGGCGAATGACGTTTGATTTGCTCCCTTTACGTCTGTAAGAGTGAATGGGTCTTGTGTTGGTGCAATGACTAAGTTATTTTTGCTTGGAGTAAGTTCAATAGAAATTTTTCCTGCCCAGTTTGGCAAGTATCTTAAAAACCTGAAGATGAGGAAAGATGACAAAGGAACTCTAAGTTTCAATTTTACTTTGGTTACTGCTGCTGCAGTTTGTCCAGAAAGGTTAACATAAACTCCTGGAACGTTAGGGTCAAGTCTTCTTATTTTCTCAATAGTTGCATACTGGTCTGTTTGTTCTCTAGCTTGTGGTTGTACTGAGTTTCTCAAAGCGAACCATTCATAGTTTGCCCATGTTACTGTTTGAACTAAGTCAGAGTTAGAATATATCTTATATCCCATGAAAACTTCTGGAGCATATTGGTATCCGACATAGAAAATTCCATTGCAACCTTTCTTGTCAGACAACTTGGCAGAAGGTTTTATTTCAATGTCTTGTTCCACGTATAAGAAAGAGTTGTCAATAGAAATTATATGAAACCTGTCGCAAGCAATATCTACTGTTGTTGAAGAACCTTCTCCAAACTCACCTACGTTTCCATAAGAAACAGCAGTTGTATATTCGTAAGTTCCAGGAACTATTTCTGACCTTCTAATGGCATTGTCGCATTCGTTATACCATTCGGAAACATTTCCATTCATAGCATCCAAAACTGTTGGCGTTATATTCTGAGCGGCGTACATTTCATATGAGTAAAAATATAGAATAGTTGGATTTATATGTCATAATAGAACCCACTCCGACCAAGCTTTACTTTCTTCCTGACTGAGTTTTTAACTCTTCTTTTTCCTTCATTGCCCTCTGCTTGAAGTTGTTGCATCTTTGCATTATGTTCATCTAGTATGTTGCAAATTTCCCATGTCCTTTTTGCCTTTTGGCTCTGGTCGCCCATCTCAGGTAACCTATATCCTAGAAAGAGTTTGTCATAGTCTGTATTTGAGTCTTCGCGTATTGTTTGCATGACTCTTTCCTGAGTTTCCGGTTCAAGCTCTTCAAACAGTGCCTGTCCATATGGAATAAGCTCGTTTCCAAATATATGTTTTTGTAGCCATTCTGGTTTTCTTTCCATGTTACCAACAATATCTTTTGTGAATGGGAAAGCTTCTACCCAATCTTTCAGTCTTGCGTCGTTTATTTCTGTAGTTGGTTTTATTTTGTCAAGGAACATGTTTTTCAATACTAACATTTCATTTGGTACTGTCCATTTGAGTTTTCTTAAATATTCATCCCTTCTCGGTTCATTGTCTGCAAAGTAAGTTTTTATGACATTTTGTAAACTTTCGTTTGCAAGGTCATGTACAATAGGTTCTCTTCCTTCGCTCTCCCTAACTTTCTTTCTAAACTCTTCACCAAATATACCATCTCTATGGTTCTGTGTAGTTCTTTGAGATAAATGTTCTAGAACGTCAGGTGTTATATTTCCATCAGCCATGTTCATTTCATACTGGTCCAAAATATCTGCATGTTTCATATCTTTCAATGGCATTAAAGCCGCGCTGAAAATACCAGCTATATCTCGTTCACCATTCGCTTCCATTGCGTCTACAACTTCTTGGAATTGAGGTTGTAAGTTTATGAACCACCTATCCGGATTAGCTTTATGACCCCATCTCATTGTAGTTCCATCGTCTGCAGAAACAAAAGTAGGTTTGTTTCCATCTTGGTTAGGTTCTGAATGAACTTTAAACAATGTTTCATTTCTATATGTTTTCTTGAAATTTAACCTTTTATTTTCACCGAGTTCATCCGAAGATTGAACGTTAAATGCTCGTAAGTAAAAAGGGTTGTTGTATTTGTGTACATTTTTTTTCAGTTTTCCATTCTATGCTGGATATTTTCATCTGATGTTGGAGTCTTTTGTATGTCGGCAAACATTTTTCGATATTCTTCTACTATGTCAGCCGAATTTTTTTTAGACTCTTGGAAATATTCCATATTCTCCGCATACTCTTGTTGAGGGTCAAGATTTTTCGGCTGTTCCAAATCTTCATCTAGTTCTGTGAAGTTAGTTTCCAAAGGAAGGACTTGTTCGTTTCCTTCAGGCTCTTCTAGCTGTTGTTGCTGAACTATTTCTTCCATGTCTGGTTGTATCTGAACTTCTTCCTGTGGAGTTTCTTGTACCTCATCTGCTGGCATTTCATATATTCCGAGACCGTTTTCAACAATTTCCCTATCTACGTCATCCGCATTCATAAGCTTTTGTTCTTTCGTTCCGTCTCTATTTTTTACGCGTTTCATGACGAAAGTTGAATTGTCATTTAGCTCTGACATCAAATATCTCGGAGTAAATTCATCCATGTCATTTGGATGATATGCTATTAAATCATATCCCTTAGCGAGCTTGTATTTTCCAGGTTTGAGATTATATCCGTTTTGGTGCTGAGCCATAAAGCTAAATAGGTTCGGGTCAGTATTTCCATCCTTGAACTTTCCAATAGCTTCTTTATATCTGTCACTAAAGTCAACAGTATCTGGGAAACCACACTCTTCTTTAAGCATTTTTAAGAATTCTTGGTTTCCTTGTTCTCTACTTCTTTTATGTCCTTGCTCTGTTTGTGGAGGTGGTTGTTGTGCAGGGTTTTGAACTGTTGGTTGCTGTGCTGGTTGTGGAGGTGGTTGTGGTGCTGGATTTTGAACTGTTGGTTGTTGTGTTGGTTTTGGTGCATGCCTGTGTCTGTGTCCATGTGACGATGTAAATGTTTTAGGTAGTCCTGGTGCAGGTGCTTCTCTTGGAGGGTTTGGTGGTATATAAGTTCCACCAGCTGGCACATATGTTCCATCTGCAGCGTAATGTCCTACCTGACTTTTCGTTTTTAAGAAAGCATTTACTAGGTCTGTTTTGGTCTGTTGTAACTCTTTTTCTTGACTTTTCACAACAGTTGCTCTAACGGCGTCATAGGCACTTTGAACTGCCTGTCTCGTTGCTGCATCTGTTATTTTCGTCATATTTTGTGCTACTTCTCTTAACTCGTTGTCGAAACCTTCAGACTTCAGTTTCTTTCCAGATGAGAAGTCGTTCACTAGTTTCACCTTACTATGAAGAGCTTCGAAGGCGTTCTTAAAGTCAGCATTTGTTAAAGTTCATTTGAACTGTCTTCATCCGCTTGTATTTTTGTCCTTATTGACCCTATAAGCTGGGCTGCTTTGGCGTTGGCTTGGGCATCTAACCAGTCATTGTTAGCTTTTATATATTCCGCGCTTTTCATTGCCTTTTGCATAGCCGCGTCGTTATTTTTACTTTCTTGTGCTAAGTTTTCATACTGTACGGTTTGGTTTTGCAACTGTAAAAGTTTTTCTGCCTTTACATTTGCTTCAACTTCTTTTTTATACTCATCGCTATCCATATATGTCTTCAGGGCTTTTTGTTTTATCTCTTCATCTTTCAGTATTTTATATTGAGTAGTATGGTTTTTCAAATTTATGACATCTTGTTCCATTTTTGCTACTTCTGTTGCTTTTTCTGACACTTTTTTCGCATATTCCTCTGTACTTAGTTCTTTCAGTTGTTCTTCTTTCTTCTTTTTCTCTACGTTTAACTCATTGAGTTTCTTTGTGTGTCTGTCATATTCTAGTTTCTTTTCGTTTTCACTTATTTGCTTCTGTATGTCTATGTTTGACTTTTTGACATCTGTTATTTGATTTTTGAGTGAACTCAAATTCATTTGACTTTGAGGGTTATATGCTGTTCCGTCTGCAGCTCCACCATAGCCTGCCATTTTCGCTAAAAGTGCCGCTCTTAAACCTCCACTCTGTGCACCAACAACTCGGTTTAAAAGCATAGGATTGCTTGACATTTGTTGCAACATAGTGGGGTCATTCAGCATTTGTTGTTGCAACTGTTGTTGTGGTGTCAGTCTTACTATTGGATGTTTCAATGCTCTCTTCCTCTTACGTATATTCTTACGTAGCTTACGTGGCATTTTAAGTGAAGTTAAAAAGCGGTTTTTGACAGATGTTTATATGACACTTTTTGTTCAGCACAAAAAACTACTCGGTCAAAGTGTTGTCAGTTTTGTAAAATAACCGTCCTATCTCATTCTATAAGGGGGAAAGTCTTCTCAAAGTATACTTCCTTGGAACGCCTGTAACTTTTCCTGTAGCGACGATAGACCCTTACTTGTCCGGACAAAGCTGTACTATTTTGAGTGCTCTACAAAAAAGTCAACGGCTACGACTCTCAAAAACCGTTGTGTAAAAAGTTTTACCGTTGGACAAAAAAGTATGTATAGAAAACAAAAAACGTTTATAGTTCATTCAATATTTGAGATGGAACGGTTTGCCAACGGTAACTATTAAATAAAATAAAAAAATAGAGGGGGTTACCGTTGACGAAAACGGTTTATTTTAAACTTTTCTATGAGTAGTCCGAAAAAAACAGTTTATTTTTGTCTAATGGAAGCCAACATTAACAATTCTCAACCGCTAACCAAAGCCAAAGCCCCACAACCTCCAAGAACTGGCACAGCTGTTAGAATAACCGCCAAAAAGTCTAACAGCGAATTAAGAGAAATTCTTCAACAAATTTGCTCTAAATATCTCAAAGACGCCGAAGAAAACACACAACCAGACGCTATATACAATACTCAGTTCTGTGAAGTTCTGAACAAAGCAATTGCTAGTTCAATTGAACTTACTAAGACAATTCCAAGTCCAATTGAGCTTAGCGATGTCTTAGTTCAGTATTTTCCAACATTTACTAAGCTTATAATGTTGAGAACTTTATACCAAGTTCGTCAAAATCTTCCTCGTTCCATCCAACGGTCATTCGACAAGAGAATTGCCGAATTTCAAGTCTTTAGTTACGGATATGACCAAGATGAATACATTGACGAGTTCGGAGACAACTGTACAAAATGGTTTGACTGCTATACGACTACACAATTTGAATTCGACTTTCTCGAATTCAACGCAGCAACCATTTATATCATTGCTCTTTACCTTTCCGAACAACAACAAGACCTCGCAGATGGAGATGTTGTTACTGTCGTCATGGAAACTCCTGAACAATTCGGAAAAAAGAAGTCTCTAATTGCCAAATTTGTTCCAGGACATCAGCTTTTCCAACGCACAGAAGTCTTCTGTATTCCTGGAACTAAGTTCTTTGTCAGGAGCGAACTCAAAGAAAGATATAATGTGTCATTCAATTACACATTATATAATGTCTTCGACCCAGAAGAAGACTTCTTCCCAGAAGCAATGGAGGAGGAAGAAGAGGAGGAGGAAATACAAGACTCAATCCAAGAAGAGTCCTCCGAATTCACACCAGAAGACTAACAATTTTCCGAATAAAAACCTCATTTTTTACTAAACATCTTCGGGGCTAGAAGGGGCGCAGCCCCTGGAAGCCCCACTTCCTTTTTTTTTTTTTTTTTTTTTTTTTTTTTTTTTACAGTTCGTAACAAGACAATTAATTAATGATCCTACGATACCAACCTGAGTCATAATTTTATTTTGAGGATAGAACTCGAATATGTCATTGTCTTATGCAGAACCCCAGAAATAGAAATGCGATAAGATTGCAATTGCAAAGTTAAATACTACAACAAGAGCTGAAGACACGTAGATGAAAGAAATTATGTAATGTTGCCGTGCTTTTTTTGCATATCTGGCAATCTCACATAGAAATGGTTGTCCCCATAGTAATGTTGTAAAATATGAATATGAGTTTACCATTCCCCAAAAATCCCAACTGATTAATACTTTTGAATTTTCAGGATCAAAGCCCTTTTCATGAATATTAGTTGCAGCAAAATAAATTGTTGTAGCAAGAACTAGTAAAAGGCCAATATTACCAATGAAAAACCAGTATTTTAGGTTAACAAATCTATTGACAAAGCAAAATGGTATAGTAAAGACTGGAATTATTAGATAGTATGGAATCCATGGTGTGTTCAAATGTGATTGAGGATCAGCAAATCTAGAACCAAGCAAAGAATAATAATAATTAACGGCCGAAAAATTGCAAATTGCAGAGTATAAGAGAGTAAGAATATATATTAGTCGTATGATTGTTCTTCCATGACCAAAAATTTCTTTAACAATGTCTGGATAATGGTTTCCACTTTCAAATCTCCAACTTCGAACGAATAATGATGTTGATATGCAATTAATTGTATATGCAAGTATTGCCATTAGTGCTGTGTTTATTATGCCGCTTGAAAACAGTCCATCCATGTAATTCGAGTCGTTGCCTGACATTAAGCAAAACAAAATCATTAAGGCACTTATGTATGAAATCGGGTGATTGTCTTCACGGAAAATTTTCCGATCAGGATTGCTGATTATTCTAAAATCAGAGATAAATAAATCACCTCCTAGCATTTTTTGAAATAAATGCTGAAAATATTTGAATACTATTGAAATGATTTACATTTATTCATTATGGTGCCTAATTAGCATATGGATATAAATTTATTAATTTTTCTGATTTCTTTTAACTAAATCTTTCTTTCATGTTCAATTAAATCTGACGTATATATATAAATTTTAATAATTAACAGATTGAAAGCTTATTCAAAATTTAATTGAAAAGAAATTGAAATGGATAAATTATCTTAATTAATTTTAGAAGGTAAGAGAATTGCACCGAAGGAAGACGAAGTTGAAAGGTCTATACCATTCGTTATTAAGAACATAAAAGATATGAAAACTTATAAACATTATATTTATTCATTTATTTCAGAAAAAATGGAAGCAACCCATAAAACATCATCTCATCATTTTATAGCTATTCATACATTCCTTTTCAAAGTTGTGAAATTAAATAAGACAGGAATTAGATTTAATGTATCAGGGTACGCATTCTTGAGTAAATTAAAATGTATTCGTCACGTCGCAGATGATAAAAATTTATGTGTTCTTAATTCATTTTATGGACTTTAGCCCTGGACTCTCTGAGTCTCGGACTTTAAAAAAAATAAACTTTATTTTTATTCTTACATAAATGAACAAAAATGGAACAGCTAAAATGAATGATAATCAAATAAGAGCCGAAGGTAGAAGGTTATTTAAACGCTTCTATAACATTCCTGATGGTGTTAATCCTAAAACTCGTAGAAGTTATTTAAATGAAGCCATAGATGCATATGAAGGATTTGACATTTCATCAGAAAGTGAGAGGTTAGCAAGAATGTTAAACGTTAATATTGATTTTTATTATTGTGACCCTCAACCAGAAGACGTAGACATTAACAAGGTAGACTTTCCATTAGTGGAATCAATAATGATAGATCCAGAATTTGAAACAGTAAATATTTTATTAACACAGAGTCCATGTGGAAAACTTCACGCTGACAAAATTACAGACGTTGAAGCACTCACAGGATATAAAGTTTGCCCCTTTTGCAAAGAAGAAGTATATTCTATCCGTGATGATCCAGAAAGGAAAAACCAAAGAAGATTTTTAAAGCATTGTGAGAAATGTAAAGAAAATAATGGAAGATTAATTCAAGACGTTCAGTTGCAAAAGACACAGCAACCATATGCACCACATATCACGAAACAGAAGATATATCAATGGCTATTAGCACATAATTTGCAGGAATATTATCAACCGACAAAAGGAACCGTTGAATGATGGTTTTGATTCTTGATCAAAGAGGTGGGCACCCTTAAAACATTTATTTTATTTTTATATAAATGGATAACGTAGATTTAGAAAATTTAATTGATGATTTAGTACGTGATCAAAATTTTCTTAGTTATTATGATTTAAAAGCATATCTCCAAAAATATGATGAAAATATAACGGATGATGATATGGATTATTATTATTCATATTATGATAATGAATTTTTGAAATATCATAATGAAATAATTTCTAAAATTAAAGATAAAATTAAAAATAATGAATATACAAAGGAAAAAACTAAATCACAACTTAAACATTTGAAAGATTTCAAAAATGAAGTATTAACAGAAGAAGATATTGATGAATTATATAAATTATATAATCCTGAGCCACAAAAAACAAAGAAACAAAACGCCCGGGTCCTTCAGACCAAAAATGATGCACAAGCTTTAATTTATGATTCATTAGTTAAACCACATTCAGCCCAACTTTTAAATGAAGATCAACTTTTGGAATTCATCCTTCAACATAAACTCGAAGCAGGAAAGTATATCAAACCTTTATATACAGCATATTTAAAACAAATGAATAAAATACATCCGGAATTAATGAAAGGTGGAATGAATTCCACAACATCATCATCCAAAATCAAAGCAGATAAAATTAAACCACTCACAACACCAAAACCTCCAGCAGTAGTACCTCCTCCAGCAGTAGTACCTCCTCCAGCAGTTAATACTTCATCATTCACTTTATTATATCCATTTCAAACATTAAAGAAGCAAAAAGATTTTAAAAGGGATTTCAAGATATTAAATAAACCAACTGACCCAAAAATTCAACCGTTAAAGGAAAAATTTAGTCGCCCTTCATTTGCTCCATATCCATATTCATACGAAATCGATCATCTGGAATATTCAAAAGGAAACGTTACTTATTTATTTGCCATTAACATTAACACAAGATATTTATATTGCATTCCGGTGAAAGGGAAAACAGAACAGGAAACAAGAAGAGCTATTCAATACTTACTAGAGCATGAAAGAGTAGATAATATCAGGGGTGATAGTGATAAAGGATTTCAGGCAGCTATGGCTCATTATTTCCCACAAATTAATTTTTACTTTTCATCCTCTCCATATACGTTTCATAATAAAATAGTTGATGCGTAATGAGAACTCTTAGAGATGCGTTAGGGGTTAACGGTCAGATATACTGGGATGGAAATCATGACTCCATCATACAACAGTTAGTATATTATTATAATAATACATGGCATAGAACAATAAACATGAAACCGGTGGAAATGAAAAATGTTATTTCAAAAGAATGGGAATATATTAGAAAGCAAATGGAAAGGTTGAATGATGTTAAACGTGAACAAATTAATTCGGGGCTCATGAATTTTAAACAAGGGGATAAAGTTTTGATTCATCTCGATTATGGAAAAACTGATAAATCAATGACAAAAAGAAGACGAAGATTTGACACAATAGCTGAATTTGTTAGATATATTAACGGCAATGTATTAGTTGAAGTTGAATAAATTAATAGAAATTCCGATTTATTTTATTACTCCATTATATTTAAATAATATTTAATTTTTTTTATTTCGTAAGAAATGAGTGACAACGAAGCAGCCAAGAGTCCAGACGATGAATATAAAAAGAAACTAAACAGAATTAAATCAAAAATATGCTATTACAAAAAGAAGCCAAATGCGGTGAGGTTGAAAACGATAAAGAAATAATCGAAAAATTAGAAACTTACGTTCAATCATTAAACTAAGTGAAGCAAAAATAAAAGAATTTAATAGAATAAATAAATTGATTGGAAGAGATGAATTTAATAAAGATGAATTTTTAAACTCAATCCAAAATTAATTTTTATTTTTCTTTGACAACATCTCTCTTTCCATCATTACTGCATAACCACATTTTCTCAGTTTTAGTGGTTTGTTATTTTTAGCAAGTTCTCGCAGCATTTTTATCGTTTCCTCCCTTGTTATGATTCGTGGTAAATTTTGAGCTTGCGGGGTATTCATTTATATAAAAATTTTTGTTATCAGTTATTTTATCGTTAATGGTTTTCAGGTTATTCAATAATTAATTCAAATCATAACACCATGTTACCATGTGCTCCCAGGTCATTCAACTTCTCTGAAAAAATGAGACAACATGACATTTTGACAACAACATGGAAAATGATTTGTCATGACTTCATCGTAATGAGTGTAAATGACCCAAAAATAATGTTTAGGTGAAGAAGTGAGATCTCACCTCTTGCTTTGTAGAACGAAGAGCATTCATTATACTTTGCATTTGGTACATGTCATCTTTGACCGAACGAATGAGTCTCAATTGTTTGTTATATTGTATGTATTCGTATTCTTCATTTATGGCTTCATGAAAGATAGCAGTTGTTGTGTTCTCTGATGTTGACATATCTGTCATTTCATACAAAATAATTTTAAAACTAACTTTATTTTCTGACTTTCACAAAAGACCAAAAATAAACGCTTTACATGTATTTTTCAGCAACTTCGTCAAATAATTTTATAGCTTTATCTATCTCATCTACTTCAAACGTTTCTTTACCTTTTATGGGAGCACCATACATTTTCTCAAAAACTTCAAGCAGTTCTGTTTCAGCAGCTCTCATATCATTAACAAACACAACCTTGACTCTATTGACTGTACTGTCATATCTTTGAGTTATATTATATGTCCTTCCTATCTTATATCTTTTTGTGTTGAAGTCCTTCGGTTTCTGAACGATGTAAAGTAAGCCTTCACTGCAACGTTCCGTATCGAATGAACCATATGTTATGAAGTTATATCCAACAACTGGGTCTAACCATAACAAAACTATTGGTATAAGACTTTTGTCTATAAGATATGCTCTTGTTCCATGAAATGCTACTGATATCATAAGCTCAGGATTTCTTGTCAAAATTTTCTGAGTTGAAGCATTTCTAACCCAGTCGTTTGTTTTCTTTTCAGATGGAGATATAATGTCTGACAAAGAATATTTGTTGTATTTCTTTGAGTATCTTACGTTTAAATCACCTATTCTAACCACTTTGGTGTCATCGTCTATCTTTCTAACTGTTTCAAACTCAATGTTTGTCATTACTGTCTTTACATACAAAATAAAAAAGATATAAAAATAAAATTAGCGTTATTTTTCTAACTAATGAATTATTTTTGAAGAACTGATAGGGTCACCAGGTCACCAGGTCACCAGGTAATTTAACTTTTCTGAAAAAATGTGACAACATGACATTTTGACAACAACATAGGAGGATGGCATTTATTCATTATTTTTGAAGAACTGATAGGGTCACCAGGTCACCAGGTCACCAGGTAATTTAACTTTTCTGAAAAAATGTGACAACATGACATTTTGACAACAACATAGGAGGATGGCATTTATTCATTATTTTTGAAGAACTGATAGGGTCACCAGGTCACCAGGTCACCAGGTAATTTAACTTTTCTGAAAAAATGTGACAACATGACATTTTGACAACAACATAGGAGGATGGCATTTATTCATTATTTTTGAAGAACTGATAGGGTCACCAGGTCACCAGGTCACCAGGTAATTTAACTTTTCTGAAAAAATGTGACAACATGACATTTTGACAACAACATAGGAGGATGGCATTTATTCATTATTTTTGAAGAACTGATAGGGTCACCAGGTCACCAGGTCACCAGGTAATTTAACTTTTCTGAAAAAATGTGACAACATGACATTTTGACAACAACATAGGAGGATGGCATTTATTCATTATTTTTGAAGAACTGATAGGGTCACCAGGTCACCAGGTCACCAGGTAATTTAACTTTTCTGAAAAAATGTGACAACATGACATTTTGACAACAACATAGGAGGATGGCATTTATTCATTATTTTTGAAGAACTGATAGGGTCACCAGGTCACCAGGTCACCAGGTAATTTAACTTTTCTGAAAAAATGTGACAACATGACATTTTGACAACAACATAGGAGGATGGCATTTATTCATTATTTTTGAAGAACTGATAGGGTCACCAGGTCACCAGGTCACCAGGTAATTTAACTTTTCTGAAAAAATGTGACAACATGACATTTTGACAACAACATAGGAGGATGGCATTTATTCATTATTTTTGAAGAACTGATAGGGTCACCAGGTCACCAGGTCACCAGGTAATTTAACTTTTCTGAAAAAATGTGACAACATGACATTTTGACAACAACATAGGAGGATGGCATTTATTCATTATTTTTGAAGAACTGATAGGGTCACCAGGTCACCAGGTCACCAGGTAATTTAACTTTTCTGAAAAAATGTGACAACATGACATTTTGACAACAACATAGGAGGATGGCATTTATTCATTATTTTTGAAGAACTGATAGGGTCACCAGGTCACCAGGTCACCAGGTAATTTAACTTTTCTGAAAAAATGTGACAACATGACATTTTGACAACAACATAGGAGGATGGCATTTATTCATTATTTTTGAAGAACTGATAGGGTCACCAGGTCACCAGGTCACCAGGTAATTTAACTTCTCTGAAAAAATGTGACAACATGACATTTTGACAACAACATAGGAGGATGAAATTTGATGTAGTCCAAAAATAAAGTTAGTTTTAAAATTATTTTTTATTTTTTATTCCTATATAAATGACAGCAACAAACAACAACAGCAACTATATCGTTTCTGATGAAAAAGTTGATTCGTTAGTTGAGGAATTAGTTGAGGAATTAGCTGAGGAATTAGTTATGGCAGAAACTAAAACCCTCAACGAAAGAATTGGTGAAAACAAGATTGATTTACATAACTACCTCAAATATGATGGAGGGAGAGGAAGGAAAACTGGTATGGCTTTATTAGTAAATAAAATTTCGAATTTAACGATTATAGATGTTGATATCAATAAATCGTACAATGATGAACTTAAAGAAACAGTTAGAAAAGACATTCTATCAAAACTTTCGGATAAAGAAGTTAGTATACAAGTCTTGGGTACTGTGGCACTGCGTTCCACCTTACCCAATACTTGTGAATTTGACACTTTACAAAACCGTTAACGTATATTTTACAACATGAACGCAAAAACTAATTTAACCTTAAATATTTACAAAGCCGCCAACCACTTCACTAACGAACTCACTAATGTAAAAAATAAACGTTCTCACTATCGTTCTCACTAACGACTTCACTAATGTTCTCATAAATTTTCCTCAATATCTTCATCATCAGTGTTAACCCTATTGTAGTCATACTTGAAGCCATAAACTTTCTCTAACTTCTTAACGTACAATTTACATAACTTACCTTCGTCATCGTATGGTTTAATGATATAACTATTTCTATCTTTATACACAGTCAATGAAAAGTCAACTGGTCTCGGATGTATTTGAAAGAACATGTTATGCTCAGGAAGGAAGAATAAATGTTTAAATGTATGTTTGTTATACTGTGGAATTCGAATGAGTTGCTTTTGTTCTGTCATTTACATCCAAATAAAAATTTTCAGTAAACTTAAAAATAAAATAAAAAATTAATGATATCACCACCCGACACGTATGAAAACATAGCACAAAAATAAATTTAGGGTAGAAGGTTAGATCTAACCCGATATCTAACCTCTTTTCTAACCTGTTGAATTCATTGCTTTATAACTCTCTTCCTTTCT